ACCAACATGACTGTGATTATGTGTGCATCCAAAAGTGCTCTTAATCTTATGCCAGCTGTAGTTAGATGCAGACCTTCCAGAAAGTCCCCCATTGTCTCACCAGTCTGTGGAATTTCCAAAAGATCTTGGGATTATCAACAGGATTCTTGTCAACTGTTTTATGGGCCCTCCCTCTCTTTTCATCTATTTCTTCCTTGGAATTGTCCCATTTATGCCATTGTTCATTATCTTTTTTTATTTGTTAAAGTGGCTTAACCTTTCATAACATGAGGACCCAAATTTGGGTCCTCAGCACTCGCCCCAAGATGGTTTTTAGACCTGTAACATATTCTCTGGGGCCTTGCCTTTATTTTGATACCAAAACAATTAAAATAAACTCTGTCTTCTTAAGATATATTCAATTCATTTTGGGCATGTTATTTTCAAGCATATTTCTCAAAAACAGGCCTAGTGCTGATGAAAAGTATTCGCAGTACTTTAGATGTTTTTCTTGGTTCTCTTGTGATCTACAGATTACATTTTTAAGGGTTTTTGAAGTAATATTGTCTAGCCGGCCACTCCTCTAAGTGGTCTCGTTTTGTGGATAAATGCTCTCACTGCCATAAAGCATATAACTTATATCATTTACATTTTCTCCTCATTCATTTTCTTTTTTTGCTGCACTTTAGTGGGGTACAGCCAATCAATAGCAGGAAAAGGGAAACATCTTTAATATTGTTGACTGAGGTGCTGTTCACTCCTTTGCTACCTTTTTTAATGTGCATTATTGCCCTCTTAGGTTGAAGTTTCAATGGGATGAAAATGAGTCACAGATCTTCAAGCTTCAGTGTAAATGTAAGGTTTGGATGTAAGGCTTAATGGCAAAAAATCAAACTCTGGTAGGTTTCTATTACTTTCAGCTTGTGTTAAAAGTAGTGCAGTGCCTCGTGTCTATCATAAGTGACGGCTTTTTTTGTACATCTGTCTGGTTGAAGTTCTTTAAGGTACAATTTCTATTGGCTGCAGTTTACTTCATTCCTTAGACATTTAACTCCCCAAGCTTTTACTCAGGCATCGCTTGCTTGCTCAGCAGCAAGCATACTGTCCTCTAGACCTACTGTAGACTATTCCTTTATTTCTCTGGGAAGTTTATATCACATGCATTTGTCCATGGAAGAAGTTTCCTTCTTGCTGCATTTTAATACCTCTGTAATTATTCACCTGCTTATCATTGTAATTGTATAGGCTTGTATAGGATAGGTTGAGTAGTTTACTATTTATGTTTCTATGGCAATTTACTTGCACATTCATAACTGTCAGTCTGACTCCTTCTTAGTGGGAATTACAAAACAAACATGAAGTTTTAAACTAAAGTTCTGGTGGTACAGTGGCTCATAATAATTGTGATGCTCCTACATTGTAACATTGCATCTATAGCTAATATACATTAACCAGCACAAACAGAAAAAAATACTAGTCTGGAGTCCTAATTAAATTAATAAATATGTAAAAATGTGCACAACACATTATAATATTTTAATTAAGCTGCATACTTGTATATAGGCCGTGATGGCATGACTTGAAGAGTGGTACTACTGGTGTGACTTATGCAAAATCACAGACAGTCCTTCAACAACAGTTTAATCTAATAATTAAAATAAAATGACTTGATTTTGCAAATGCACACATATCACCACATCCTTAGTATAAACCAACTAAGTGGCTTAGCAACAAAGACAAATCAACAAACAGAAAGACACATGTACACATGTGGTGTTATAAATACACATGTATTACATTTTACACACACTTTTAACACATGTATGACTGGTTTTATGCAGTACAGAAATAGAAACAAAATGGCAAACTATCTTTACTCAAGTTATATATTGCTTACATTTGGAGAACATTTCCATCCTAGGTTAATAAAGCTGTTATTTGTTGCTCACTGTCAGGCATTTGTTGAATGAAAGACAAAAAAAAATCCTGAATCATGACTGGGCTTAATAAATTATTTACTGTTATTTCTAGAAGGGACTAATGTGTTTGAATCATGTCCAACCCCAGGTCTATGTCAAAGAGACAAATAACATTAGAACTTTCCACAAACCCATTAACCAAATAAGTTTATGCTTAATATCTGGGTTCTCAGTAGATCAGAACTATTTTTAAGCCTATTAGTAAGTCCTCCACCTCATAAATGTTTCTATATCTGCACCAAACATACTAGTCTGAAAAGTGGGTTGGGTGAGTGCTACTCTAGAATATACTTTCTGCATGTTTTCCCCTAAAGATACCCTGAAGTGCTGATTATGGGGTTTTACCATTCTATTTGACAGCGTCAGCTTGCTTGAAGTTCTTATGAGCTTAAACACTCAGCTTCCCCAGAGCAGGTTTTGATTGTTTAATCCCAACAGCGACAGGGATTGCTGTCAAAGTATCACAGGATGTGACAAATAACGTGAGGAGAATCACTCAGGTTCAGTTGAGCCTAAAATATTGACTTATGGTTTCTGAAAACATCCATCAGACTTAAGGGACTTTCCTGGTTAAATTAATCTCCAAAATTCGGATGTATTTTTTTTCACAGTATGTCCAGGCGTCTCTCTGCCACATTACAGGGTGTTTCCACTACATTTAGACATGGTTAGGGACAGTGTGGTCAGTTGGGATGTTTCCTCCTGCTGTGGAATTATTTCTTCTTCTTTTTCTGTAGATGGGGTCATAGTCAGTGAAACCGACCGCATACAGAATGAGTTCTACTGTGGTGAGCAGATAACAAAAATTACTGTATAATTTATTTTATTACTTGACATTGCTTTCCACCCACAAATGATTTATTACCTACCGTCAGATGCTCCTTATTGGGCAACTCCCCTTTAATGGGGTCACATTAGCATGACTATTAAGACGAGGAAACCATCCATGATGTCAGCTCTGCATCTGCTAAGCTTGATTAGTTTGCTTATTTTTTGTATTTAAGGGTGTAAAGGGGTTAAATCAAAGTATATTTCACATTTTGAAGGCTTGCATATATGTACATGCATGTTTGTTTGGAAATATCGGATATCCAGTTGTTACACTGGTTCCTAACAAATCACTTCCCCTTGCAGGTTAAAGGCAGTGGCGGCTGGTGGAGTTTTCTCCAGGGGGGGCTATACATTAAAAATAGACTTATACCAAAATCCTATCAAACATATGTTATCACACCAGTATAGTTATACGAATGCCAACAACTAAAATTATAAAAACACTTTATAAAAACAAAACATAATTTCATGTACAGGTTTATTTTTTTGTATATAAATCCTGCCCTCGCTTTATGAGGACAAATCTATTTTGAATGGTCGAATATTGTTTCACAAACCTAAAAAATAATGTACCAGTTTAATACTGAAGAAGCTGTTAGTCGGCTTTATATTTTTTTATATATGAAAACGATTTATTTTCTTATTTTAAGAAGAGTCAATGGGCAAAGATTTTTGCACCCCAGGGCAGAAATACATCACCAATGTGAATGATACTTTACTTGTCATTAAAGATTAAATATTTATCTTTCCCATCTAAAAAATATATATCAATATATTTTGAGATATTTCAAATTTTTTTATTTTAAATTAAAGTATAAAATATATATTATATATATTATATAGACAGACAGACAGACAGACAGACAGACAGACAGACAGACAGACAGACAGACAGACAGACAGACAGACAGACAGACAGACAGACAGATAGATAGATAGATAGATAGATAGATAGATAGATAGATAGATAGATAGATAGATAGATAGATAGATAGATAGAAGCTTACTTTCCAAAAGATTTGCAATTTTTCGACTAAGTCAGACTCACCACCCGTAAGACAAAACGGGGACGAGCACGTAGGACGGCCTTACGTAAACATATCACCTATGATTGCCAATTAAGAGGACCCCTTATTTTGATGATCCACCTGGGAAAAAGAACATCCTCCACAATACCTTTAACTAGTTGTTACTAAAATTTGAGAGGCAGATTTTTTTGTTATTAAGCTTCTCTCCAGTGGAACCAAGTTTGAGATTTAATCTGAGGCATACACTCTGTCCACTTTTAAGGCTAGGCTTAAAACTTTGCAATTTGACAATTTGGACAGTTATCCTTAGCTATCCCTATAGTAATGCTGCTATAGCATTTGGCTACTGATGAACATAAAGACCACTTTTCCTGCTTCGTCCTGCTTCTATTCTTATATTTTGCATTGGTTTTCTGTGTCTGCCTTTGTCTCCTTAAACCCCTTGTCAGTCACAGCAGCAGTTCTCTTCTCACTGGGCATGGTTTTGCTTTATGTTTATCCTTATTTTAAAAAGGGGTTTCTTCTCCACTGTCACTACATGCATGCTCAGCATGAGGGATTGCTGCAAAGATGAAATGCAAGAGACCCTTCACTGTTGTTACATGCTCATTCAGGAGGAGTAAATTCTGCAAAGCCAATGATTTGATGCAATCTTCTGAGTTTCCTTAGACAGAAAACTTGGAGAAAAGTCTGTCTGGATGGGTTGATTTTTTAATAAGTGGGCAAAAAAAGCTCAAAGCTTACTGTCAGCAAAATTGCAATTTTTAGTAGTTTTCTCTTTATAAATCTGATCAACTCCATTTGAACTAAATTCAGTTTGTTTACATAGCACAGTGTAATAACACATGACATCTCTTGTTTTTGTTTCTTGTTTTTTTTTTTTTGTTGTTGTAATAGTAATAGAATGTTCTACAGACCCTTCACTGGTTTTTCTATAGCATTTATAGGACTACATGCCTGTTTTGTCTCCTTAAGGAAAGATTTGCTGAAGGTGTGTTTACACTGACTTTTAAAAATCTGCAATTTTTTTATTTACATTGGCTTTTAATTGCTAACTAGAATTTATCTGTTTTCTTTATTCTAATTTGGCAAGTGTCTAAATACTTGATTAAACCAGCAGCTGAAAGCAGGACCGGGAGTTCTGTAAATTCCACGAGTTTATGCAATTCAGATTTGACTTGACCTTCTCGGCCGCCGTACTCCATTACGACAATTGTTTGCTACTTCGCTACGTCTGGCTGCGGTCGCTAAGTGAAAACATGTCTGAATATTCGCACGTAAAATCGACTAAACTTGTATTGAAAGGTCAAAATAAAGGGTAAGCATGCGTCTTTAGTCGTGCCATTAGTTTTTAGAAAAGTGGTGCTGTTTGCGGTTAAAAATCTGACCCTCTCTGGATTAAGCTAATGCGTTAGCCTAAACTGTGACGTTTATAGTCATAAAATGTTCTAAGGAGCCCGTAGGTTCAAACATTTCTATTATTAAACAGGTTTTTGCCAACGAAAACTTAATCAAAACGTAAGAAGGACTCGTTTACTTATTAGTCCGCGATTCATGCAGGTGGCTAATATGTTAGCTCATAGTGTTTACTGTTTTCATCCTCATTCAGTAAGTTGTCATTTAAATGATAACCTAAAACAGCTCCTTCCACACACATTCACAGCAAGGTCTCTATATAAATACCTTTTTAGAGATTTGATCGTGTTTTCCTTCTGTTTGTTGATAGCTTTTCCCGAAATTAGCTATTTGATTTTATAGTAAACTATTGAAAATATTGATAATATATGTCAAATTTGCATTCATGTGATCACAAAGTTCATTTTAAATGTTGTTGTTTTTTCCCCACAGAAAAAAGAAAAAGAACAAGGATAAGAAGAGAAAATCTACAAATGACAAAGATAAGCTTGATATTATTGGTATGTAAATTCATTTATATTAGAACACATTTTAAAGTGTTTTAGGTCTGGAGAAGCTGTGGTCTTACTAAACAATGCTTTAGTTATGGAAATACAGATTTTAATTAGACATTTCCCGGTTTTAAACCAAAGGCCTTGCATTTGAACCTACATGATATTCATTATTATCAATTCATTTCCTTTGACAGGGATTCTAAGTCCAAAGTAATATTTTTTGCTTCTGAAAATATTTTAAAGGTCCCATATTAATCTACGTTTGAAAATAAAAAAATATCAAGACTGAGGCTCCTAGAGTATGTTTGTGTTGTTTGAGCAGGACAGTTCCTCTCAGATTAGGCAGACAGCCTTTACCAAACATCTCCTTACTCAGCCCTCATCTAGACGAACTGCTTTGACTGTCTACTTTCTTCTCCTCCCGAAGGCCACACCCCCACAACTTGTAACCTTGACAACCAGTCATAGTTCGTCAAGATAGTGTAACACCTCTCTTTAGATCTTGATCGGTGTTACAGACCTTTAAGGGTTGTGGGTGAATCAAAACATGAAGAGGGAGTAACTTTTCAGGAGCTACTTTATTCAATGTTTTTCTCCATCTCAATCTATATCAACGTCTCCACCAGATCTGTTACCAAAACTCAAATCCCTCCGCCAGGGAACATTAAACCGTCATCCCTTTGGCAGAAATAGTTCTTAACAAGAAATATCGCTCTAAAATTGTTAAGGAACATTTACATCAATGAAACTCAATACAATTGATATGGTTGAATTTAGATGAAATAGATTAATGTAATATTAGCTTTGGAGCATGAAATAATACAGAAGTTAAAGATCGGAGTTTGACCGAATCATTATTGACTGCCCTGGACAGCTTAGACTGCTTCCGACTTTTTCATCTCCGATCAGATTTTTTTTCCATGTCCCACTGACAGTGAATAGAGAGGATCCGAATTAACAGGGTGAGCAGATCTGTGGGGATGCTTTTTTCACTTCTGCCTCTGTGCCACACAAATTGAAACAATTTCCCACATTTGACTTGGACAGATTATGAAAAGTTATTAAAAATAGATAAATAAAAATAACAAAAAACTAAAAAAAAGTGCAGCATTAAAGCAAAGCCCGACTTTATGAGTCCAGATGTCTTTTACTTTATCACTTCTCTCTTTCTGTCAGACCCATGAAATTACCACTGAATTGCTGTGTAGTCCGACTAAAATAGAGCTGGGGTCTATCTTGGTTAGAGCCCCCTGCAGAAAATCGTGTCAAGTGTGTTCTTCCCCATTGACTCTCAGTGAATGCTAAACGCCATAACCTGAGTTTCTGCCTGGTGGAAAAATCATTTTCGGAGTGTTCAGGGTTTAAGGGAAAGGCTTTTCAAACAGACCATTTTGAGCAAGCTATAGCTAAAAGGTGGAAGAAGGCAGTAATGCAGGTGAAAGTTTTTTTGTTTTCTTTTTTTTTTCCTCCATTAGTGAACCTCATACAGAGGTTTAAAGACACATATGACAGTCAAAACCCAACTAGTTCTATAGTTTTTGTTTTGGTGTCTTACAGTCACCATATCTAATTCATTGTTCTTTCTGTAAGAACTAATAAGATACTAACTGATATTTGGGATTTTAGTCCTTATAAAAATGTATAAGTGCGTTAATAAATGGGATAGCTTTAAGATAACTGCTGGCAGAATAAATATGTACCGTTCTGTTGTAATCTCTTTTTTTACATGATCCCAGTTTGTTCAGATGCATAATATCTTTATGTAAAATGATATTAAGACTCTTGTCGCCCAGCCATATCTGATTACTAGGGAGTTTGTTTTGTGATCGCAGAGCGGTTCTCTAAATATAAATAACTTAACATTTGTCATCTGAATTACATTTAATAAAACAAAATAAGCTTTACAAATAAAAAAAAAAGCCATGTTTTAAAATAACTATCATCAACTAAGGTAGAGCGTGTGATTCAAGGTAAAAGGGAAAAAATTACGTAGTAATCTAACAGCATGTTTTATTTTATGCTCCCTAGGTGGTTGGTGGTGTGTCAGTGGTTTCGGAGAAATTGTTGGAACAGTTGCCATAGAGATGCAGAACAACTCGTACATTCATGCCCTGGATACAGGACTCTTCACACTTGGTGCACCACACAGAGGTATGAAGGATTTAGTTTGTCTATGCTGCTCTATTTTTTCTTTACCTTTTCAGTCTAATTACTTTCCTTGTTCAGATTGAGCTGCTCATTATATCAGATTGCAGCTTTTATTATGCTATCCATGTTTGCAATTGTGAAAGCCCGCATGGATGCCATATCTATTGAACAATTATATTGTAGGTTCTTTACTGTGCATAACTGGGCAGTTGGATCTAAGTGAGTTAGCTCTTAAAGCACAAAAATACTGGTGGGACATTATGGTGGAAATAATCAGGACACTTTGGGTTAGTCACAACCAATAGCATCCTGCTACCTATATGCTATTGCAAATACATGCCTTCCTAATATTATGCAGCTCTCATTTATATATACTTAAAGCATATTTAAGAAACATCTTTGTTCTTAAGCTGTTTGCTGCTTTTTTTGTCTGTTTGATTGTTTAAAGCAGCAGTGTTTAATATTTGCCTCCATTTAGTGGTATACTAAATTAATTACAAAAGACTAAAAAGCACATTCTGGTGCCTCACCAGCAAGCGTGTAAAATCTACGGAAGCTACCGAATGACCTTCTATTCTTTCTGATGGAGGGGATACATCAACCTCCATCACCATTGTCCAATAAGCTAGAATAAACAAGGAAACATGTGGAACCTGTATCTGAAAACAGCTGAAAGAAGCCTGCACCTTTCGGCTAGTATGACTTCTGTGAAAAATAATTGATAATTGTTGAATTGGAGCTTATCCAATCATGGCTAAAAAGCTCCTAAATTGCCTCCACCTGCTAAAGCCACTGAAATAATGTCATTTGATCAGCTAAATATGGTTGTACTGAATTATGACTGTATTGAATACTATCCGGATGTAACTATAATATTGTATTAGATTGGAATTAGTGAGTTGATTTGAATAGAAATCTGGACCAGTCTTGTTTTTTTATGATTTTGGCAATTTAACTGCATTTTTCAAGACTGCTGGAAATTATTGGAATTGATTAGCTGTGGTTTATTGAATATGATGATGGATGTTACTAGTAATAGAACAGGGTTGTATTATTTGTTCTTAGTTATGAGGTCTTAAGTAGTTAATTTGGTTTTGAAAACAGAACACTGCAGCCTGTTAAGTAACAGTAATTCTACAATATAGATGTGAACATTTTCATTGTCCAATAGTCTAACGACAGGAAAGAAGACAGACTATACACAATTGCTTACCTGCTCACCTCATGTATTTTAAGCCTATTTTTCTGGCTGAAATAATACCGCCTGATTCCTTTGGACATCTGTTATAAGTGGCATCCAATAATTACAAGGAAAATATAATAAGCTGGAATCTGATCATCAGTATGCAGCAATTATAAACCCTAAAAACAGCAGAGCAATATGTGGAAGCTTAAAGTTTGAGCAGTTTAATTTGTCAATCAGGTTGCAATGTAACCGGCTGTATAGTTATTCCACTAGAGCAATAAAGATTTATTCTGGGTGTTATCCTAGGTGCGTTTTGTGGAATTAGAATTGGCTTTTGGCTTAAGGCCAGGAGGTAGCTAAAAGTGTAAGTGGTAAAGCTGAGTTGAGGAGAAGGTCGTAGCTAATTCTCACATATTACTCACCTGTAGGCACTTCTGATAGAGGAGTGCTGATTAAACCAGTCTGCCCTGAAAAAGACATTGAAGACAATTAATTCTGCCCATGTTCAGAAAGAACATTCGATTCCCTTAGTGAGCCTTCCCTCTCTGCATGCATATAAGCCAATTTGTAAGAGATAAAAGATAGCCAAAGCTTCCAGTATAAAAAGGATAAATAGAGATTGTCTCTTTTTTCCTGCATTGTTGTACCTGTAATATCTCCTTTTGAAAAGGTGCATATCTGGTTGCAAATGTTCAGTGTAGCCTTAAAGATGCCCATATAGCCATTCAAAAACACTGTCTTAAAATCAAAACCTAACATTTGATGATGCATTTTGATTTAACGTATACGTTTGCTAGAATAGCTATATAACTGCAAATCTCAGAAAGCTTTTGTGTTTAATACAATCCTGAGTCAAACCTTTATGGTAAAAGAAACAGTTTTTGTAAATAAACCTTAATATTTTAAATTTAATAGCAGACTGTAACCTTTCAACATATGTCTGTGTAATGAACACAAACACTGTATTCAGGAACTGTGTACAAACATATAGCATCCAGTCTTAATTAACCAAACTGGAGAGGTTTCTTTTCAAATTTCTCAATGTATTAAATTCCATGACGACCATTTGACAGCTTAAAGTACTTTTTGTCTTTTCCTTTCTATCAGTTCAGCAGTAGCCCCTTTCTTCTCATCAGATGCTCATGCCTCCTGCTTGTACTCCATTTATTATCAGTCATTAGAATGATTCCAATACTTTAGACCGCTAAATCATGAAATGCTTTAGTGTAAAGCAGTCAAGAGACGGCTGCAGCTGTGTTAAGGTTAACAAGTAAAATACACCTTGAAATGTTAATATTAGTGTTTTAGTATTTAGCCAAGTTTATTGATTGTTTAAGTTGTCCTGGTAACTTCTAGAGGTTATTAAAACTGTTGTAACTTACTTTTTGCTGACCTGGTTTCAAATTAGTGCTGCACTGTACACTTAGAAGTTTAATTTAAAGAGTTTGATGCTGAAAAATGTCATTAAAATAGAGCTGCAGTTCTGTATTTTTGGCCACAGGTGGCAGTTATCATTAGGAACCTCTGTAATGCCTCTTGAATTAATCAAAGAAATTAATTAAATATGAAACTTTAAGTATGTAGTTCATGTGTCCAGAGGCACAAGTAATTTGAAACATACTTAGTGAAACTGAGTGTGAATCTTTTTAAAATGTTTCAGATGATGAGGGACCTGACCCACCGGAACAGTTCACTGCCATTAAACTGTCCGACTCACGGTAAGTTCACAAAAACAGTTTTATAATCATTATACAGCTCCGTTCATTACTTTGTCTGAAGATTTGTTTCACAAGTAATTTACCAAGTAGTCTCTGATTACCAGCTTCGTCTTTTAAAGTTTCCTGTAATGCTTTTGTTTCAGCGTTGGAGCTCAAATACTCAAAAAATACATTTTCTATTTTCTTTTTTTAAGGATTGCTTTGAAATCTGGGTATGGGAAATATCTGGGCATCAACTCTGACGGCTTGGTGATGGGGCGCTCTGACGCCATTGGCTCTAGAGAACAATGGGAGCCTGTCTTCCAGGAGGTAAGTTAATTTATAAATGTTTAATTTGCTTATGTCTGAACCATGTGTGTAACGTTTATTTGCAGGACTTTCTATGCCTAGATCAGGTTTATACCTTAAGGCATTTCCATTATTACAAAACAGTCCTATATTAAACTAGCTGAATTGTTATAATTTTTCTACCGATATTTCAGGCACTTCTTGTAGATTATTTACTTCACTTTGTGGTTTTATTATCTAATAAAGTAGTTCACTGTGAATTTTAACATAATATGAAAGCTTTATGAGATTGTTTCAGAGCAGTCATAGTTAATGACAGAGTTTTTACGTTTTAGAATAATTAAACGTTATTTCCTTTAGGAGAGGGATATCAATGCTTTTTCCACTTTGAGCCAATATGGCAAAATAAAAGGATTTGGGTGTTTTTATTTAACTTAATTGTGAATTCTTCTCTTATTACCTTCTCAGCAATGAATTAATAATGTCATATTTTTATGAAGAAAAATGGTCTTGTTTCTATGGAAACTGTTAATAAAAGAAGGGGATTGAGTTTCTTAATTTATTCCTAACAAAGTCAAGTTCCTTACAAAACACCTGCTGTATTTAGCCAGTATTAACAAATAGGTATGCCCAAATCTTTTGTTTATTAAAAAGTATCTTGATGTGTGTTTTTTAGCCTACCTACTATGAAATTGACAATAAAAATGAAACTGGTAATACAAGAGAAATAGTTTTTTTGTTCTAATATTGTCTTTATAAGAAGACATAAAAATATAGTCTCCATCCACACCAGCTTCAGTTTTAATAAGTTTAAACTGTTGATAGACGGCGGTCAGGGATCCCACCAATTTATACCGCAAGTACCAAATGGCCCCTAGGCTGTGCTTTTAAAATGTCAGTTATGTCAGTACTTTTTTTTTAAATAGATAAAAGAATATTTTTCAGAAAAAACGGAAGAAAAAATCTTTTGTTTTCAGGATATTCAGTTAAAGATTGCTTTATGTTAAAGCCTTTTGCACTTCTTCACCAGGTGTGCCATCGAGTAGGGAGGGTTAAAAGATCAAAGGCAAAAAAATGTGTTAAATAAAAGTTGAAATCATTTGTTTAAAGGTAAAGTTTCATAAACCTCATCTTAATATCCTTCAGTTTTTTTTTTATAACAAACAATTTGTGTTTTATGTTTACTTAAGCATTATCTATTTTATCTGTGGAAGTCAAAATAAATGTTATTAAGGTGGAACATGTAAATTAAATCTATATCTTAGTGTGAATATTGACTATAAGATCCGCTGGAAGCCTCACATCAAACTAGGGCTAAAACAATTAATCAGGTTAATAGTGATTAATCGATTATTGAAATAATCATCAATTAATTTAGTAATCGATTAATTGTTAACTGGAGTATAGAGGCTATAAAACATGGCTTTAGATGATGTAAAAGCAATATATAAAACTTTTGCGTTTAAGATAAAAAATATATATATATATATATTTTCGCTCTATCCAGAACTCCTTAAGTGGAAAAGTTTTAGTTTCACCTAGTTTAATAAAAAAATAAATAAAAAAAAATTCTTTAATGAACCTTTGACTGTCTGATTCTTAACTGTTTAATCGTAAAAATAATCAACAGATTAATCAACTTGCAAAATAATCGTTAGTTGCAGCCCTACATCAAATGTGTCCAAATTAAACTATCTAGAAGCAGCAAAATTCTTAGTAAAGCAAAACATTTTCTGGAATAAAAAGCATTACGCATCTCTACTAACCTAATAATATTAAATACATTTATATCTTTGTTAATTTGTTACTTTTTTTAAACAATGTTTATGTCAAGGCTCAAGCCTTCACTTACATGGTAAGATATGTGGTTCATTCATTCAACTGTTGAAACGGCGTTTTATTGGATGGGAAAAAACTGGATCGGTTGACTTTTACTTTTGCCATTGACCAAATATTTATTCCAACTAGGGCTGAAACAGTTAATCAGATTAAACATGATTAATCAATTATTAAAATAATCGTAAAATAATTTAGTAATCGATTAATCGTTAACTGGAGTATAGAACCTGTAAAACATCCCTTTAGCTGACAGATTAACCCACTTAGATTATTACTTTTATCAAAATAAAAATTAAATAATTTCATCCAGAACTCATCAAGTGGAATAGATTTAGTTTGCCCTGGCTTAATTCTTTAAAAAATAGTTTTTAATCAACATTTTGCTATCCGATTATTAATTGATTCATTGTAAAAAATTATCAACAGATTAATCGATTAGTAAAATAATAATTAGTTGCAGACCTAATTCCTACACATTCTTGTGAATCTTTATATGTATGTCTTTATACACATAAATAAGTCTATTTGCTCACTTACTGGACTCTGGAGCAGTATGGACTCCTAAGTGAAATAGGAACCGGGAAGATTGTTGATGTGGAGGACTAAAAGAAGTGAGAATTTAAATAAGTTTCAGTTCTCTGTATGCCTTTTCCGACATAGGAACTAAATTATATAATTATATAGATCATTAATTATACATGTTTGTATGTGTTAAATTTTGAATTTTACTGTATTTTCTTAAATAAAAGTTATTTTTTTGTTTACCTTTAGAGGCTGTTTGTTATTTTCTTGATGCAAAGGATGACAGGTTGAAATTAGCCCAAGCAACAAAGCAATCAACCTCTCATTCTGGCCCTGACAATCCATTGATTGTTTTGGCATCTTGTTAAAACCTTTAGACTTCTTTTACTTTAAAGATCTGGGATTTTTTATGTTTCTGTCCCAATAACTCATTGCAACTGGGTTTAATCTTTGTTTTTTTGTCTGCCCTACTTCAGGGTAAAATGGCGCTGCTGGCTGCAAATAGCTGTTTCATTTCCTACAGTGACGATGGAGACATTGTGGCCAAGAACAAGACGGCAGGAGACAACGAGATGCTTAAGGTGATGGATTGGAATTTTTTGGTCCAAGGATTTATGTTAATCCTTAGAGTTTTTCCACAGGCAGTCTCTGCAGGGATTCGACAGCTTAAAGAGAAGGGGGGGAAATGTTAGCCACCTCACTTCAGGGAGGTCATGGTGTTATTGTTTAATGCACAACATCTGTCTTTGTTTTTTTCTCTTCCTGATAAATAGATCCGGACTAATGCAGAACGAGAAGTCAAGCATAAAGATGACATTGCAGATGAAGACAGAGGAAATGTAAAATCCTGTGAGGTCAATTATGTGTAAGTTATCACTGTTTACAGGAATATTGCTCAATAGCTATGTTTACATGAGCATAAGTAATTAGAACAAATGGACAATTGGACTAAAAATGTGTCATATAAACATTAGTCGGGATATTCTGATCAGATTCAGCAGGATCAGACTATCATCACTTTTAATTTGACCGTTGTGGTTTATGCCGATTTACAGTCCGTTTGGCAAACATGTTGATGCTTTTCAAGATCAAGTTATCCTGAATGAGGCAAGCTGACCTAAGTACACGTGTGTACCACACTCCAGCGTTGCATATTATTCCTTTGGATGGCTTGATGTTAGAATATTCTAATAGGCAAGTTTATGTGACATATTTTTAGTCCGATTGGCTGTTTTATTCCAATTACTTATGTCCATATGTTTTTTTTTTTCTAAACTTATTTCAATCTACGGGAGCCTATTGCATTCACCTTAAAAGAAAAGAAATTGTTCTGTTTTTGCGGAAGTGCTGAGGTAATTCAAAACAAATGAATAAAAATGTGTGGTTGTTCTGAATCAACGAGATCATTTTACAAAATAAATAAAAATATATTTTTTTCTCAGTTAACAAGATAACGCTGCTGTGATTTCATAGAGGATGTTCTGTTACTGATGGTATTGCAGATTTCTAGGCTAGAGATGCCTTTCCTTCCAGGAAACTTCAACATGTTTCATTTGTTGAGTTCATTTTTAAAAAAATGTTTATGTCGGGATTGAAACACTGGGATCACTACTAGTTTGTTGTCTTTGTTAAGGCACCTACGTGCTACTCATGACACAGTTGTTCCCCACCTTCCTCTTCTCTTCACAGTTGATTTTGTTAATTCAGACATTTATTTCTTATTTTTCCAAAAATGCTGACCAATTTCTTTTCTTTTTATTTCCAGGTGAATACACTTCTCCTTCATATAATTCTGATTGTGAGGGTTTATGCATGTAAACAGCCATTTATGCACTAAATATAGCATTCATGTTACATCAGTGATAATCAGCTTTTGTGTGCAGCTACAGGTGTAGAAAACAAACATAAAAAGTTGTTAATTTCATAATTAGGGTAGTTTAATCATATTTTAAATGTTTTTTTTTTTTTTACATGTATGTGTTGTACTAGTTGAGATATAAAATATTCCACTACAGTAGACAGGAACTGAAGGTAAATTAATGGGTTGACCTGCTTTCTGATTAATGAACTGATAATTATCTTAACAACTGCAATGAATTCAGACTATTGAAACTTTAACCCCAGGTGGCCAGTTAGTCCTTTCATTATTAACGCTCTATCCTGACTCCACAGAACCCTAATTCAAACATCCACGTTGTAATATGAGAAAAACTCCTAAAGACAAGACAGTATATAATGTTTATTTATTGTTGCTGGTGAAAAGCTGTCATTTGCAGATCGTTGAAAAGATATCAAAAACTGGGTTTGCAACATCTTTTCAACATCTATGATTGGACTAAATTGAGACAAAATCAGAGCGACCAAACACAGCCCAATTTTCAACAACCATTTCTGGACAAAATCAAGACTATGATGGACCGAACAGATTTAGCCTAAAAACCAAAGTGTAAATGACGTCTGATGTTTGGGGGGTTAGACCCATGTAGCTCCCATTCACTAATAAACCAGCCGACACTGCAGGATGGGAACCCTTGCAACAAAATCTTTTTTTTTTTTTTCCCAGTCTAATTTAAAAATTACTTGTATTTATGTACAACATCAGTTTTCACTGAGTCATTTTTAAATTCCATTTACTGTTTACTTGGGTACATTTGTTGTTAAATGTTATAGTTAATTTTTTTCCCCCTCTCTTCAGTAATCTGCAGGTTCCTCCACATCTGTCTCGTCTACACTGGCAGATTCAAACTAATTTTTGGGCCATTGTACCCCCCTTTGTGTGTGGCTAGCCTGTGTTTTTATTTATTTGTGAAAGGCACTTGCTGTTGTTCAGGGTTATAGAAAATGAGATTACTTATAATTAACTGATTAATTGAAAGGGAGCTCACATGTTAGAGTGCGGTCTTAGCAGCTCAGCAAAGAGCAACAAACTCATTTGAAAATGTTAGTCGCAGTTGAAGTATTGGTGGTTTTAAAAAGAAATATCACAGATGTCCTGTAATTGCTTTGCTTACTGTTTTTGTTTAGATGATGGCTTAGCTCCTGATGTCTGCGTGTATCATTAAATCCATATTGCTTGTGCAATTTGGCCTAAACGCTGTTGTGACACTGGCTGTGTAATGATGATGATGTATGTTTCAATAAGCAGATACACCTTTTCAATTCCTCTAAAGTTAGTGCTAAAGCATTTATTCGAATCGGGGAGACGGATAAAGTGGTTATTACTCAAATGGCTTTTGTTTGTTTTTACTTGTCAGTCTGTCCTAGCAGGAGTTTGACAGATAAACTGCACACTTGAATGAGATCCCGCGTTTAAGCATCCGCCTCATCAGTGCCATCATTCAGAGGTGCTGTTGATGGTCTGCTGTTAGCGTGATGAGAGAGCAAATAACACATTTCAGCTTCTGACTGTTTTTTATGCAGCCTATAAAAGGTGCACAGAATATGTCTTTCTTTTTGTGGGGGGTTGGCATGCTTTAGATTGTGTTTCCACTCTGTTATTTGTTTTAGATGAATGTTAGGAAAATGGACTCATCATGGTGACATGTTGATAATGGCTGCCCTTGAGCCTTGTGCCGTGATGAAGTGTTTAGCTGGTGAAATGCCTTTCAAGATGGAGTGCAGTCTGGTGATCATCAAACTCTGGCTAAGCAAGGAGAAACTAGATGTCAGTGGAAGTTTCAGGCAAAAAGGGCCTCAGGTTGTTTCCAGCACTGTTACAGATATATGGGTGATATTGGAAGGTACTTTCACTGTCTAATTGACCTGCTGCTTGAATTATTACACCGTATGGCTGCCACAGACAATATGCACTGTTGATACCTTTTTTTTTTTTTCAATGTTTTTTTTTTTTTACTGCTAAGAAAATCAATAACACCCTTTACCATTGCATGCTCCTTTTGTTTCCACCATAACTTTTTTTTTTCTCTGTATCGCAGGAAAAAATTTCAGAGTTTTCAGGACCAACGACTCAGAGTTAATGAAGAAGACGCCACTAAGCTCAAGAAAGCCAGGATGGATGGAAAATTTCACGAAGCTTTGCTGGACAGGTAGGAAAGCAAAACTACACAAGAGGTTCACACATAGTTTAGATAGTCTTTTACCTTTTTCCAGACGTGGATTTAAATGAGATTAACGCAAAAAAAGGTTTTGAAATTTGTATCTATGTGCCTTCATCTCCCAATAAATGACATTGCAGTTTGTGGCTCTAATGCAACAAAATCTGAAGCTCAATTGAAAGGAATACTTTTTTTAGGAACTGTAAATGACAAAAGGCAAACATTTTTAATCCATTTATCTGAGTTTGTTTGTTTGTTTGTTTTTTGCTGCAATGAAATGTAGTTTTTTTAATTTTGAATTCTGTCACTCCTAACTTTTAACTAAGACAATAAATTATGCATTTAACAAAGGCATATGTTAAGAAAACTTAGCTAACGTCCCTACGGGATCAAATTTCTTGTCTTATCCAATTCCATTCAGTGTATTTATATAGCGCCAATTCACAACGCATGTCATCTAGGCACTTTATAGTTCACCAGATCATTTGAAATTTTGTGTCTAAGAAAAACCAGTTGATTGCATCAACTCATTGAGTTGAAGGCAATCCCTCACACTAAAATTGCTTGTAGCGGAGAGGAGTTTTTTTTTTTTTTTTTTTTTCTGAGTTTTTGCGGCACTAGTGTCTCGCTTTTTTGACAGTAGGACAGTTTTTGACAGGAAAGGGGTTTCCATTTGCATGTTTCCAAGCAATACAAGGCCTTGTCTATATAAAGCTTAAAACTCACTGCGGATCCAGACATTTGAATTGAGAAAGCTTCCTGGAGGGGAAGCGAAACGTCTTCAAACCTTGGAAACTAAGTCCAGGGGATTGTTTTTAAACTTTTACGGAATGACTATAACCTGGACGACTGAGAATCTTCATCAGCATGCTGACAGGAAAGGGCTATGAGAGAGGGGGATAGACATGCAGCAAAGGACCACAGGTCATATTCGAACCCGGGTCAGCCGTGTCGAGGACTAAGGCCTCCGTACATGGGTTGTGCACGCTAACTGCTGTGCCACCTTCACGCCTCTCCCCATTTGGAGTTATTTTAATTATAATTAGATTATCATGATTTACTCCTTTGGGAAACTTTTCTAATTTATTAGATTTTGGTCGTGGGCAATGCACTGTCTAAAAGAATAATGAGTGGGTAACAGTAGAGAAGCGGCAGAGAGGCGGGTTAAACTATGACTGCTTCATGGGTTGCACCCTGGGTTGTCAGGGTTTTGGAAGACTAAGGAACCTGATAAAGTAAATATATCAAAAATAATTTAGAATACTTTAATTTACTAAAATGTTGAAGAAAGAAATATGTTCTGTGCATGAAAACAGTAAAATTAAAGAGTTTAATATGGATTGCCATTTTAACATTAATCGCATTAATTATAAAAATGTCTGACTACAGCAGAACTTCTACTCCTCAGTTGTACTGACATTTAAATGTCTTTTTTTGTTTGCAGGAGAAGCAAAATGAAAGCAGACAGATACTGCAAGTGAAGACTCATGTATTTCTACTATGTTTTAAGTAAAATCCTGTTTTTTTGCAGACTGGGCATTTTTGGTTCTATTTTTTTTAATAAACCTTTTAATAGTTTAATTTGGTGTGTTGCTTATTGCTTTGACTGCTATATATGTTCATACCTTGTGATTATGGCCTAAGAATTTCAGGTGATCCACTGGCCTTTCAAAGTAAATAATTAACCAGTTTGTAGCCACATTGCTCTGTAGTATCACTGGTGTCTACAGGGTTGCCTGCATGATCGAACTGCTTCTAGAACCGTATAAATAACTAAATGTATGATCGTTTTATCTAAAACTTAATCAGTTTTTCTTCAAGCTTTATGTTACAATGAAAATATTATATATAAATAGATGTAAATTTTGTCCTCCCTGTAGGAGAAGTTTGCTTTGGACTGTGTGCTAGAATAAAACAATCTACAGCGCGGTAAAGGGACAGGCATAAGTGAAACAAAGGCTGAATATAGCAGGTGTTGGTGTCCATAAAGGTTTATCCCTTAGTACTTGAATTCATTATTTACTGGTTTGCTTGTGTGTGAAATGCATAAAATCATTGGTGCAATAAATTAATTGTAGCACAAATGTGCTGTACATAATGGAAAAGAAGAGGTAAAGAGGCATAAGCCTAATTAGAATTAGAAAGCAGATAGCTTTTTGCTCTGAAAAATCATTAAGTTTTATGACCTGACTAAAATTATTAACCAGTCAGTGGCATTAGGTATTCAGGAAGCCCAAAGCTGATTTATTAGAGAAGGAAAATTAAGAGCCGTTTTATATTTTGTAGCATTGATCTTTTAAATATTGAGTTTATGTACTGGTTTACCCAGGGGCCCTGGATTAGTTCTACATGCACAAATCAGAGCAGTTTGAGGGCCAAACTTTTTATTGTGTCGCATATTTATAAAATCTCACCTTGAAAAGTAGGAAAACTAAGACGTGGAGTGATTGAGCAATGTGTAACTTGAACATTAAATGAGATATCTTTGGGTCTTACAAAAGTATTCACACCCCTTAAGCATCTGTTAACATTGGTCTGAACTTTGACTAGACCATCCTAACCCAGACGCACTTCCGCAGGGGCTTAAAAGTCCTGGTTGATTTGAAGTACCGTATTCAGATTGAGAGTGTGATTAGGAAAGAAGTGTGGAACTACTCAGTATCTGCTTACTACTCTGCATAGGGTGTCAATTCTTTCTGTAATGGGGCTCTGGCCACAGGCCTTCAAATATTTGTGTTCCCTTTATATGATTTTCTTATCCAGCCAGTGTCCTATAAAATCCAGGTTTATGGAGTACTTCTGCTGTCGTCTGATTCTACAACCGATTCTACCCATCCATTATTACCATGGGCCTCTAGGGGGCTTCTCTGAGGGACACTCCTCTTTCCTATCTTGTAGCTGTTAAGGGGTCTGTTTTACAGTAGGCTGAAAGTTCAGCCATAATTTTTCTTCTGTGGCATGAAAAAGAACTGTCATAGGTATAAAGCTTGGGACATTGTTTTAAGAACTAACCCAACTCCATTATAATATTTATTCACCTTCTCCTACAAACCTCTAAAACTTTAACAGAACAATTCTGTTTACCAATTAAGTGATTTGTGAAACGTTTTAATTTGCAGATCTTTTATTGAGGAATGTTTTATTCAAACGGGCTAAATAGAAATGCACACACTTAAAAAAAAAAAAAATCTAATTTATTATCTTTCATCCACACAGTACTGGTTAAATAAGATTGTTGTAACATGAAAATGTGAAATAAGAATTCCAGGCATTATAATTGCCTAGGTAATGTTCCTGTGGACAGATCACTCCTATTGGTTTAATAATGGAAGTGTTTTTATTCTTTTTGTATCAATTCTTTGATAAACCTATCTAATGTTCTCAGTATTTCTGTAAAAGTACACAGCAAGATATTTTATTGATAATTGGAATTAAGCCACAACTTTATCGAAGTAAAAACATACTGGAAAAGGTTTTAACTCTAGACTCCAATAGTTGAGTAAAATACTTTAGTTCTGCTTTCTTAATTCAGTGAACTTTGACACTCCAATCTTTAAGGACAAATTTAAGTATCCTTGAAGTCTTCACCTACTTTTCTTAGTCTAATGTGCTATAATGGCCATATTTCTTTTCTTATTGCTCCTGAATCAATATTTTACTCTTCTTTAGATAGTCTTTGTTAACCTGACAACAGCCAGATGCATGTCTCACTCCGCTGTCAGGTTAAGTCTTTGTATCAATTTAGGGAATCTTTTTTTTTTTTTTTTTTTGTCAGCTACATCAGTTTAACAAATCAGGACCAGGTTTATCCTCTTAGACACATTTCTTCTTTCATAATAGGTGATATTGAGTTACAAGAGTAAGATTATCCGACTACAATGTGTTATGTTTGATTCTTTCAGATTAAATCTTAATTCTATCTCCCAAATACTCATCTTAAGCTGTGTTGATGATCCTAATGCTGAAGCTCTTACTGCTCTTACTCTAACCAAGACGTTATAAAGTTGTAGGATAGCTAAAATAACTCAGAGAACTGGTGTGAACTATATTTATCAAGTAAAAAACGCAATCATCTGTGACAGATTTTGAAAAAATTAGCACATTAAAATATTTAAACCTTTTGACTAAAAACCATTATATCCAATGAGTAGCCTAATGAGTACATGATGAAACAGATCAATACGATTAAAGACGTTAGTGTAAAATTAAGAGCAACGAGACAAAAAAAGATAAAAACAAGTTAAGAGAGAATTAAACATTGATGTAAATCAGATAAAGCCAATGAAATCTGCCACTCATTACTTAATGTTTACAGCTCAGTTAAATAATGAATTAAATGGCGTTGGGTCATTTTCACGATACAAAATGCTGAAATGAATGAGGAATGCAGCGGCCATGTTTGCGCCTGGGGGCCAAATGTTTAGCAGTCTGTCTGTGTTGCAGCCTTTTAATGGAGAGTTTTGTTCATCTTTCTTATCGAATACAAAACCAAATGTAAAGAGACTCGATGTAGAAAATCTGTGCTTAACAAACATGCTTGGTCACTGTTTCAACATAAAAAGCAGGAGTCACATGCAGGACTGAACGTTATCTACCGCATGAGTGGGAGTGCGGTCAACTTTCATTTCCGCATGGAACAAACCACCAACATCAACACTGAGGGGGGGAAAGTGGACGGTTTGAATTGGGAAATTTGTATCTGTAAAATTAAAAGCCACATTTTTATACATTCGTATAATTTAGCTATAAGTAAAACAACAACACATGTTTATTTATATTTTTACTGAGTGGCTGGGGAGCTGTTTCCCTTCCTGATAATGGGTCAGCCCGAAGTCACGAGGAGAAACGGTAACTTCCGCAAACTTGAAGGGTCTCCCAAACACAAACAGAAGCAGGAAAACATTCCGGCTTCAGTCAGGCTGTTGACATGGCTCGCTGGGTTTTCCTTCTTTCGGTCGCTTTTTTCTCCGCTACATCGGCACAGTTTGTGCCACCGGTGAGTTACAAACCACTCAGTCATAATTAACATTTTAAAAAATCCTGGCTAGTATAGTTGTACTAATATCAGGTTATTTACAACTCTGTCATGTCTCCTCAGTACACAGAGGACTGTCGGACTGACATGTATCCTCCGAATGGTCCAACGTAAGTACAAACTGCTGAGTCATTTATATGTTTGATAACCGTTTGGGACTAAACCCTGCTGCGTTCACTTGCTTCTGGAAATCTCATTGCTACTTCAGTTGCAGCCTTATTCTTAAACGTTTGCAGACCAAATAGAGATATACCAATCCAATATCAGAAAATAATAATAATATCACATGCACCTAAAATCTCTGATATTGACATGCTGTTAAAAACAGTGTTCCCCTCTAACTTTTATGTAACTCGTTAGTTAATAATACATAGTCAATTATTGACACGCCTATTGTTGACTCATTTTCTCTGTATGAGTAATATCAATCAATCAAACCTTTTCTAACATCCTGCTTTACAAAATAAGTGTTAAGAATATGTTTGATTCATGCTGATATTTTATAAGTTAAACATTAGTATTAGATTCTCTGTGTTTTCTCATTACATGTGTGGGTTGTGAAGTGCGTGCTTATGAGAATGGTAAACGTGACAATCTTTAAATATGGCTGTAAGAAATCCTTGCCTAAACATGTCCGCATGTACAGTCAGAGTAATGAATGTGTAACACAACTGGAACTGGCAAATAAGGCAGGAGAATTGTGTTTATCTTTATATCATGGCGGGTGGATTAGAAGAATCATCGAGATTCAATATCAGAAGTTTTTAAGGGCATTTTACACATTTTTTATCAGGGTTTACAACAACTATAGATGTAACTTAAAACCCAAATGCTCCCACCATGAAACACAGGAATATCTAGCCTTATTATCCTGCCAATAACCGCATTCAAAAAGCATAGCCCAGATTATGCTTTCTCATTATGAATTTCTAAAATTTCCTTCGTAAAAAAATCAAATGAATGGTACAGAATATTCACAACAGCACATAATAGGATGTCCTACACCTTTTTTTGTTTTTTTATTTCTTCCTGTACAGGTTCAAAGGACCTGTCAAATGGTACACCATTGATCTGGACCTGCCGCCCAGCAAGAGGTGGACGGCTGTGATCTCTGACAAAAAAAATGACGTAAGAGAATTACCAGCTCCTGAAAAACATCAGTTGTGACTCAACAAAAGTGTCAATCAGGATGTCATTGTTTGCAGCTGGTTGATATGATCCAGGCCATCAGAGACTTGGCTGATGCTTTTGTGCCCAGCGGGAGGCTGATAGAGCTGGTTGACATCACACTGGTGAGAGTCAGAGTGATTTCTGTTTTAGGTTTGTAGGGAAAGTTTTTCTCATTGCATTGTGCTTTTCTAATGTTTCACAGCCTTTAATGGTGGACACACTCCCAAACCCGTTCAGGGAAGAAATCAAGGGAATAACTGCTGCCTCAGGGGTTCCTCTTGGTAATAAAAAAAAATATACAACAACTCCACTTGTGGCAAAATTAAAAAAAGAATAAGCCAAACTAACCTCTGTCTTTTTCTTTATATTTAAGGTGAAGTAGTTTTGTTTAACATTTTCTATGAGGTTTTCACTGTGTGCACTTCTGTTGTTGCACAAGACGAAAAAGGTGAGTACCTGAGAGAAACTGGTTGTAAGAACCAGAGAAATTACCAAAAAAAGACACCTTTTGGACTAAAATTTTATGTTTTTTTTTTTTTTTTTTTATTATTATTTCAAAGGGAAGCTCCTCCATGGCAGAAATTTGGATTTTGGATTATTTTTAGGGTAAGAACATCAAGGATTAAACTGTTTATTTTTTGACAATTTTGTTGGATGAAAAATCCAAACATGTGATACGTTTTATTTGGATAGAGACCATTACACCCAAGTGACTTTGAGTCACATTCCTTGTTCATTTAAAGTTTTCCTGTTTGTAGTTTAATATCTGCATAAATTAGGCTGGTCTGTAAATGCCACAGAGAAGTGACCAAACATCATGAAAACCAAGAAAGCTCGGAATCATCTTGTGTAGAAATTCAGTGTTTCTTTAAAAAAATAACAACATACAAAGCTTTGTACAGTGTTCACAGAGCTGTGTTCAATCTAAAATTATCACAATTATATTGCAGTGGTCCATAACCTAAAGTTGCAATAAAAAGCACTCATATTTGAGGTTGTGATGTCACAATGTGCAAAAAGGTTAAATATGAATGAATACTGGAAACTGTGGGCTCTACATGCCTTAGTTTCAGTTTTTGCTGCTATGGTTGCATCTAAACATGTGTTTCTTTGCAGCTGGGATGTGAAAAACAAGTCATGGGCCATCAGTGAGAAGCTGAAGCCTCTGGTGGTCAATCTGAACTTCAAGAGAAACAACCAGACAGTCTTCAAGTCAACAAACTTTGCTGGCTATGTTGGCATGCTCACCGGCATCAAGCCTGTAAGACATTATCAAGAAAATCTGCCTTAATCACCAGCTTTTATTTCCACACTTGGGGAAACAATGATATAAAAACAACTTCTCCTTTTTGTGTAGCACATTTTCACTCTGACGATGAATGAGCGCTTCAGCCTCGATGGTGGATACATCGGTAGGTGAACAGCCGTACGTTTTTTTCCACAATGTATAAGTACTTTGTCTTTTTGTGATGGCTAGTTATGGCATATTTGCATGCAGGAATCCTGGAGTGGATCTTGGGACAAAGAGATGGAATGTGGATGAGCTTTCTAACTCGATCAGTCCTGGAGAATGCAAACAGGTACATTACTTTGATATTTAAAGAGCATCTGTGAAGTTAATAAACTTCACAAAAACTATTTAAATATCTTTCATTTCTTATTTTTGACCTTGAAGATGAATCAATGTTGTCACTATTATGCAGAATCATACTCTACAATAGCAACATGAAAGAAATAAGGCTTTGATGCTAATGTGATGCAAAGCCGTCTCTGAAGTCTGCATCAAACTGATACATTTTTAAAAATTAGACAATCTAAATTATGCCAGATTAAGAGGAAGGAGTATGACGATACAAGACAGAAACAGCATAACAATTTACCCAAAATTTATTAAGACCTGAGATTAAAAGCTGGTTTTTCTGTTCATGAAAACTGGATGCCAGAAGTGAGTTTTGCTTTGTTCCCATCAGCTATGATGAAGCCAAGAGTCTGTTGGCTCAGACCAAGATGCTTGCTCCAGCCTACTTCATCCTTGGAGGAAACCAAACGGGACAAGGCTGCATCATCACCAGGTCCAGGGAACTCAGCATTGACGTGTTGGAGTGAGTAGTACAGTATAGTTTCATTTAGTCTTAATTTCCTTTTTTTTGTTTAAATAAGCTCTAGAGGCGTTTTGATTTGTTTGGCCCTTTTCTTAAATCATGAAAATCAAATATGTTGAATCAATAAGTAAATTAAAATGTTCTGATATGTCCATCTCTCTGCTTTCAAACACTCAGTGCTTTGTGAAAGGCCCAGCTACATTACAGGATTTGTTTATTTCAGTATTGATGTGAAACTGGGCCGGTGGTACGTGTTGGAGACAAACTACGACCACTGGAAGGAGCCTTTCTTTCTGGATGACCGCAGGACTCCTGCCATGAAGTGTCTGAACCAGACAACACAGGCTGTATGTAGTGATAGCTGTCAAGGAGTGGAATAAATGACTACCTGAAGTATTTTAGATCAAAAGTCTATATTACGTCTTTAGTTTCCTCATTTATTGATCTAATCATATCTTTTTCAGAACATCTCTGTGAAAACCTTGTATGACGTGCTTTCAACAAAGCCAGTGTTAAACAAGGTGAGTGTCCTCATGACAGGATGTATTTACTGACAGAAGTATTTTTGCCCAGATCCACCCTGCAGGTGCACAGCATGTGACAATACACCACTCTAGTACATTGTACTCAACCATCACCTTTCTATTGATCTGATTCTTTAACAAGGACTTTAAATTTTCCAAGATATAGGTAGTTTATTATAAACTAAATGTGTTCACAATGAACAGATAGTTAATGTATGCCATGATAACAATGTTATTACTGATTAATTACTCAGCTCGCCATGCTGAATGCTTGGAATGGGATTTAGCTTAACTCTTGTCCTAGTTTGTCTCACCATTTCATCTCAAAGCGCACACAATTTAAAAATGATTTTTTTCAACTTTGAGTTACAAAGTGTACCTAATTTCAACATTCAAGTCCATAGAAAACAGTTTTAAGAGATGCAGATATACACAAGCAGATAAACGGTATCACTACGTATGAATTATGGTGTACAGTCTGCAGCAGGGAGGGCATCCAGCTAAAAACTTTGCAAAGACTGATGACTTTCTATGGCTATACCTTAATAAGGGAGCAGCTGAAAGGAAACAAAATATGTATGAAATACATTTTGAAGGCATTTTATTTTGTTTCAGCTGACCACCTACACAACACTGATGCAAGTCTCTGAGGGCACACTGGAGTCGTACATCCGGGACTGTCCAAACCCATGCATGCCCTGGTAATCCTCCAAGCACCAACCGTGGGAGAGTTTGAGATGCTGCACAGAAGACTCGACTCAAAGCTTTGCACAGCAACTGTAGACCTGAACCATTCCATGTAACATTAAAGTCGTTTGGACTTTGATTTCTGCTGACTATGGTGACATGTTAAGTTCAGAGGGCACTTTTTCAGCTTTATGAGAGAAACTAAACCTCTAATTTTGTATCGTCTTCTTTAATTCTTTGTACTACTGTGAGAATCCAGCTTTACACCCAAATGTGTTTTTATCAACGATGTCTGACCAATGAACCTCAGTGATGACCACTTTATTTTTCAAATGTTTAACAAATTATTTCCCAGATTTTATGCTGTGTTTTGTAACAGGATTTTTATGTTTAAAATAAGATTTAATCTACCAAGTAAGGATGTGACTGAATTATTTTGAAAAGCCGATTCATCAGCGTGATATAGAGTCATTCAGTTTATCACAAAAAAAGAAGGATGTTACAGGTTTCAGGATGATGCTGTGAGGAATCACTTGTGTGAAGAAACACTTCATCTAACAGCAAAGCCGGTCTATTTGCCCCTTTTCTATATATACATACACCCATAACTAGAAAAAAAAGTACACTGTCAATTCCAGAGCTTTAATAAATCATAAGGTACTAAAATTGCTTAAATCCAACCTTAGGTGTAAAAACAAAGAAAATCATATGATGAAAAACTTGGCCGAACATGGCTGAAAGTCACAAAAGCAGAAAACAAATAAAACCCTAAAACTAGGAGGGTGTACTTAATTTTACTTAGGCTACATTTCTTGTAACAGCAGCTGATTGAACCGTTAACTCTTTAGGATTATGGTGAAAAGATGAGCTACAGCAGGCCAGGCAAATACAAGTAAAACATGCGAAAAAACGTTTGTCAAACTAATCCCACAACCAAGAAATTATCTGAACAAGGGATTTAGGACAGAAAGTTAAATATAATCAGTAAATTACACTGAAAACAAATGGTAACCTTCATGCCTCTGCAGTCATTTCATTGGATTCTCAGCAGGCATTCGTTCAAATTGAGCGGGATCGTTCGTTTTTGGTTCTCCAAAAATTTGGTGATAAATTTATGACATTACTAAAATTGCTCTACACTCACCCCAACTCCTGTTTTGACTAATCATGACAGGTCTGCCTCTTTTTCATTACATCGCAGAACCAGACAGGGGTGCAGTCTCTCACCGTTGCTATTTCCATCAGGATCCATGCGTTGATCACCAGTATTTCGGATTATGCTACAGATTGGTCCCATTGGCCTTTATGTGGACGCTGGTATCTTGACTCAGATGTCAATCTTTCTCTGCTTCTTTCTCTTATAAAAAAATTAGGCAAGTTTTCCGGTTTTACTATTAATTGGGACAAAATTTATGACAAAATGACTAGTTTCCACTAGTCATTTTGAATATCTGGGTCTAAATATCACAAGGGACCCTTAACACCTTTTTAAACATAACTTTCTGGATTTAATCAACAAACTTAAGTCTATGGTCGATGAATGGAAGCTCCTTCCTCTATCTTTTTCAAAATATACCCATATATCTCACCGCTTCGTTTTTAAAGATGATTACATGAAACTTCTTTTTATCCTGGCCAGCAAACATTCTCAAATTTCAGTCTCACCTACTGCTGAGGGTGTTCTAGGCCTTCCTGTTTCTGTCCTAGTAATACCAGAACACGGGTTTTTTGGAGTCATGTGTATCTGAGGGGTGAAGAGGTTGACTCGCTATTGCCCAATTGACCACTGAATGAAAACCTTGCATCCTTAGCACTTACTACTTCCTCTCTGCTGTACTGTTTTCCAATTTTTATTTCCCTTTTCAATTGCTGAAGGATAATTTTATACTAAAAAAAATCATTAAAGATTCTGATTCTGACAAGATTCAGATAAAGTCCATCCTGAATCTCAGTGGTTTTTCCATCTATGCTCCTATTTTTCAGAAAACCACATTAAAGCCAGCCAATATGGATGTAGTTTTTAAGTACTGGTTAAATAAGGGCATTGCTGTTAAGGATTTATACATCAATAATAACTTTGCTTCCTTTACCAACTCTAATATAAATTTGGTCTTTTGTCAGACATTTCCCTCACTTTGAAACCATATTGGTGCAACATAGTTTCTACAAACTTATAAAAAAAAATTTAAAAAAAGCCCCCTACCACTAAAAAGCTAATTTCTCAGTTTGTTAATATTTTCAGTTCATCTCCATCTACTAATCATATAAAAGAGGTCTGGGCTTCTGATACACTAGTCGAAGTTTCAAATGAGCTGTCGGATCTGAGTGTCAAGAATAAAAACCAGTACCATTAATTCTAGATTGCAACTTATTCAATTCAAGGTTATCCATCGTCTGCACTTTTCTAAAATCAAGCTTAATAAACTATCTCAGTGGCAACATGTGGCAAATGTAAATCAGATGATGGGGCTTTGGGTCATCCGTCTTGCTCTTGCACCAAGTTTATGGACTTCTGGTGCAGGATATTTAAATTTCATATTAACGCTTATGGCAAACTTCTTTATCCACATAAGCATTTGATAATTTTAGGTTGCTCTAAATTCTCTATTACTCTTCCCATGGCTCTGCAGCAGGCTGTAATGTTTGGGTTGGTGGTTGCAAAACAGGTTGTTCTGCAGGAATGGAAATGCTCTTCCCCTCCTTGCTTTAAGAAATGGCTTAATGCTATGGTGTCTTGTATCTATCTCGAAGAAATTCGACACTCTTTGTCAGACAACCATCATAATTGCCTTTATGTGTGGGGTCCTTTTAATAGATACATACAAAATAATGGGCTAATGACTGTCCTACTCATCTGGACCTGTACTTTTCTTTTCCTCTCTTTTTTATTCATTATTGTTATTACTGTCATTATAATTTATTGCTTTCATCTTTTATTGACATCCCATGTTTTATGGTGAACTGCTTGATACAATGTCTCCAGAAAAGTCTGTTGTTCCCTTTGACTCTGTCTTGTCACTAAGCTGACACTGTTTTGTCTTATTGAATTTTGTTATTGTTGCATTTGTTTATTTTTTGTTATCTTGTCTGTTTAATTCTGAAAAAGCATAAATAAATGTATTTAAAAAAAATAAAAGGTCATCTGCATAAAGCAGAAAAAAAAAAAAAACACCGGAAGCATTTATTTTATCAACAAGGGTTGAGAATAAATTGAATAACTTTCTCTCCAGTGTTTCATGCATAACAGAGAAAAAAACAACAACTTGAAAATGAACAAATAGTGTTGAGCTTTAAAGATTCACAGCTAACTCGTAACTTTGCTCCTTTAAATGAGCAGATTAGAAAAAAGCAAAAACACTGAAGGTGGGATGAGATCTGTAGCTTTCTTTATACATTCTGGGCATCAGCAGTCTCTGAAAAAGAAGAAAAACCGTATATGGACAACAGTGTGGGATTTAAAAGGTTCCTTTTAGGTTTTTGGCAGCGACACAAACTGCTATCATCTTAAAAAAAATTTAAATCATTCCTACCTGGTTCCTTCAGCTCCTGTGCATTTCCCACCAGCCCAGTTAGCAGTTCAGTGTTGCTGTTCAGGATCTCCACAGAGAGGTTGTTATTGTGCTGCTCCTCTACTATTCTCTTCTGAAGCTCCTCCTGATGTTAGTAAAACAGACAGATAAGAACCAGTTCACTGGGGCATTAAAACCAATCTATATTTTCAGGTCATGAACTGGAAAGTTTCTTCTTCCACACCTCACACATCACTGTGAGCTGCAGAGGTAAGTCATCCACTTTGACAAAGTCCTCTTCATCAGACTTTTGACTTGTGTTTCCGGATCCGATCTCCTGTATCAATAAAAACAGAACGGCATTAATAAAAGGATTGGACCCTAAATGATCCGTCTCAAACAGACTGAACACAAACTCACATCAACATTAACAAGAACAGGTGAGTCTGTGTTGGGGCTGCTGCTGCTGCTGGGCTCCTTGGGAACGTCTTGAGATATTTCAGAGTTCCCCTCGGCAGCAGAAGCCCCAACTTCCTGCTGCTCCACAAGAGTGTGTTCTCCATCTGAGGGATCCGAGGTCTCAGCTGAATTACTGATCTCTGTAGGACAGGAACATAAAAAAATATATATAAGAAGGTGCACTGCTTCATATATTTTTTTAACCTTTCAGACATCATTTTAACAGAGGTTATGTTTTAAAACATTGGTTTCATGATTCAATATCATTAAAGTACTCCAAAAACAGCTAAAGCTACATTGAAATTCTGTACAGGCGGGTTATAAAGAAATATAGCTATGTTTACAATTTAGTATAGTAGTCAATAAAATACAACATTCTAGTAAAAGACTAAGGATAATCGCCTAATAAGCAAATAAAGGTGTGTCATACCCAAACAGTTAAAAAAAAAACCTCCCAGAATGTATGCCTCTTTATATCTGCATATACTTGTTCTATGCCACATTGTTATCTATATTTATTTTCCTTTTTTTTCCTTTAGATGGCTTTCTGTAATAATAAACTTCCCTTACTTCTGGGTAGATCTCCCTTAAGTTGGGAGTCCATTAAATAACATTTGGAACAAAAGGACGATTCCACAGTAGTTTCTGACAACATAACCAGTCATAATACTTCAAAATTCTGTAGTGATAGTACATTAATGAGTCTAAAGGGTTTCAACAGCTATGGTGAAGTCGTTTAGCTTTACTAAAAAGTTATAGGAGCCTAATTTTTAAAGGACTTACAGGGAAACAGACTGATCCAACCAGATACACAGATAAAAAAACATTCTCAACAACAAAGCCAACTTGAGAATTGACTTTAATCTGTGCTTTATTCTCTTTAAATTGAGAATATGTCATCCATTAAAAAAAGAAAAATTCCCTGCAAAAGTTCAGAACCACTGAACTGATGCAGAACTATAAATAAATCTAGATCTTTATTAGACGAGGAAAGTACTATTTTTGTACCCTAAGGCAGGATGTAACAGTTTCTACGGGGTTAGTTTTGCTAGTTATTTTATTCATTAATCCTTTTCTTTTTTATTGTGTACAATTGATACATTATATAAATGTATATCACAAATATATAAACTTACTTTTAAAACTAACTTATTGCTTATTTCTTGTTGTTGATATTACATCATAGACTCACCATTATTTTCTGAACTGTTCTGTTCAGGGTTTGTCTTCTGCGCCTCACAGCTAGTTGTTGCCTGGAACAAAGCACAACAAACAATGTATATCAAAGGGACTATAAAACTTGCTTGGATTACTTAAAATAATTTATTTTGCCTGACCATAGCGCTGATTTCCTGCTCTGCACATCCATTAGCTAAAACCTGCAGAGACGTTTGAACATCAACAGGCCCAGCTTCAAACTCCTCCATTTCCTCCTCGTCGTTTTCATCCTCGCCGCTGCCGTAGTTCGTCAGAGCCTGACTCTCTGCTTTGGAAAGACCTGAAATAAAACAATTGATATTACAGGAGGTCCAACTTACCACTCAATAAGTTATAGCAACAATGTAATAGAAGCAAAAATAATAAAAGAAACGTGTGAATTCATGCAGCTTGTAACTTACTGATTGATAGAGGAACCCCTTTTATACATCCTTCATCCTCTTCACCTTCTGAGGTTTCACTGCCTCTGTTGCTCCTCACCTCTCTCTGTAGATACGTCTCCTGGAGGGAAGCAGAGCCTTCTTTTTCCGTTTCATCTTGATCCTGAAAGAAAATGAATATAAACATGTCTGGATGCTCCATCAATAAGCCAGAAATCTGTATTGGGAAAGCTTTTCTTTATTAACCGTAATCAACAATCAACTGCTTGAATAATGAATAGATTTTTCTCCCTTTTAATTAAATGTATCAAAATCAAAAGAACCACCATCTTTTTCAGCCAGTAAAGGCAGACTGCAAACCAACAGTATGTAATGAGAACGCGTTTGCGTTGTTTTTTTATTTCATCGGATAAAAAAAAAAAAATATTAAACACAAGTGCCTTGAAGCATAAAGAGAATTAACTTTTAAGTACTTGATTTCTTGATTTAAATTTGCTGGATTATTAACTATGATGGTCAAGAACCAGAATCACACTATTTTCCTTATGCTAACAGCAATAAAAAATAAAATAAAATAAATGTTCCCTTCTCCAAAGAGGATAATCAGTATAAATCTGGAAAAGCTAGATTGGTGCAGCTCTGATGTGATACACAACAATCATCCTTAAAGTGCTATGAAGGTTTTTATTTCCTATATTCCAATAACTCACCTTGTCTTCATCAGCAAATGCTGGAGAAACAGATTTAGCAGCACCAGCTTCTGTGTTCTGCTAATACCAACAAAAATAATTAGTCCAGATTGAACATTATAGGGACTTTAACACTGATTAAAAATAAAGATGGTAAATAACCTCTTGGTCTCTTGTTTTACGAATCTGTGAGACTTTTCTCTTATTTTTGTATTTTGCTCCCAGGTTGGTGGTGGAGTTGCTGCTGTCCAAATCCTGCATCAGCTTAAAGAAGGCTAGCTCATTGAAGAGTATCTCTGAAATCTCCACCAACAGGTCCTCCCCGCAGTCCTTTAGAGTACGGCCCACAAACTTACTAAGAGATTCCTGGAAAAAAAAAAAATCCAAAACATTCCCTTTGAATGACTTTTTTCTAACTTGTTTAGCTGCATTACAGGAGGCTGCCGTTGGTCCTACCTGCAGTATGCCTCCAAGCTGTTTGTGGAAAAAGCGAACAAACTCCTTGCTTTCATCATTTTGCTGAGTGAGCGTCAACACCATACGGCGGACGGATGTCAGCAGCTGATGCGAACACACCTCATTCATATTTTCCTAACAACATAAAGTGTTTGCAGAAATAAATTATAGAGTCAAAGGACGTGTAAAACATGGAGACTTTGCAAAGGCTCAGATGATGTGAAGACAAAAAGTCGTGGAGACCAAACCAAAGTGAAACAATTTTAAAGGGCCTTGCTTTAAACATTATTTTAGTTCCTGCAAATGTTTAAAGAAAATTTGCTTCAGGCAACTAATCAGCAAGCTAACACATAAAAGACCTACTGACTAACTGGTTTACTGGAGCGCCTCACCTTTGCAGTTGAGCACATAGTTCCATTATTTAGGTGAACCTGAACTTAAATATAAGCAGAACCTTTAACCCAATGTCTCTTCAACAAATCTAAGAAAATGGTAAAAAGTAAAACAGACAAACCACTGAGGAGCACAATCATCCAGCTGAACACCAGCTAATTTAGCATTAGCTTTGGGTGAAGTGAGTAATGGAGCTGGGGGACTTCACTGACTCACACCTTTATTTTGAAAGTAAACACCACCTCACTGATCAAAAGGACAGAAAAGCGGATGTACTTCTTGCAGAGGATGAGGAGAGCCCACCTGCCCCCACCCATCCTCACCACCTTCTACAGAAGCACCATAGAGAGCGTTCTGACCAGCAGCGCCTCAGAAGGTGAGAAGAATGGTAAGAACAGTAGAGAGGATCATCAGGGCTCCTCTTCCCTCCATTACAGACATTTTATCCCAGCGCTGCCTTTCCAGAGCCCGTAACATTATCAATGACCCCTCACACCCCCCACCATGGACTGTTCTCCCTGCTGCCCTCGAGGAAGAGACCTTGAAACATCCAATGCAGTTCCAACAGATTTCAGAACAGTTTCTTCCCCACCGCCATTAGGCTGCTGAATGTTATATAAAATAGGTTATAAAAAAATAAATCTCTGAATGCTGGAACTAACTATACAGTTGTATGTTTACATACATTTTTTTCCACCATAGTGTTTCTATCACTGCTGCTGACCTTTATCAAGGCTGCGCTTTAAAAAATGAAAAGTCTAGAGAGCTGTACTAAATGTAATTTCTTTTTGTATACACTTGTGTGTACAAAATGACAAAATAAAATCTATCTAAGTCTTTAAGTCTGTCTTTATAGGTTTTATAGACAGAAAAAAATTGTAATACATTAATAAAGGAAAATGTTTGTCCCAGTTTGCTCGTCAGGTTCATTTTCTCACCGGGCCTATGTACAGTTGAGGAAAAGTAGTGAGGTGGAAATTAACTAAATATTGTAATTAGTTGCGTTTAAGTACAGCCAGGAGATTTACACTGTGTTTCAATAGTTGTTATGTTGACCAATCAAAAACAGTTGCCACAATTACCAGTATCTGCTACCATTATGTTAAAATTTGAATTATAATTATAATACTTTACTGCACAGAGTGGCTTCCTTATGTAGCAAGGTCTCCACAACAACCATAAGATGGGACTCAGAAAGGTTTTCAACTAAAACTCTTCTTTATTCAAATGTGACCAACATCAAGTTTGTAAAAAAACAAACAATTATATTAGTCAATTTTATTGTCAGAAAGTCAATAAATACTATTATGTGTGGAAAACAATCTGTGATTCTGTGGGTCTGTTTTTTTTTTTAGGACAAAGGATTCTGGACAAAAATCTTCCTCTGTCTAAACATTAGCCTTCTTTAATGTTAAAGCAAACAAAATAGTGACATCCTCATGCCAAAAGGAGGATGAATAAAATAACAGTATATAATATGAACCCATAATAAAAACATTCTGTATTTTAAGGCTCGTATAACATCCTTACTACCCCCTCACAACCTGCCATACATTATTCTCCATACCTTAAGGAAGGGAATGACCTCTGTCATGATGGCTTTTATCTGCCGGTCCAGCTGCTGGGTGTCAATCTGAGGGCAGTGCACACCATTGGCTGCACTTTCTGATTACAGAAAACAAGTTAGTTAAGCACAGATGGTTATAACTGAAAACTAAAAGATGATGACTTGCGCTAGAAGTTTCTAAGCACGGGCGACGTCATGTGATCATATACCTTCCACTGGTTCAGCAGGGTTAGATGAAGCACCATTAGCATTTGTCAATTCAGACCTGTTTGCGCCTGCAGTGCTGGCATTGCAGGGGTTAAACTCGGCTTTAAGCTTCATGCGCTCATACTCCCTAATCCTTGCCAGAGCTTTGTCTAAATGAATCACCGTGTTGCCTGTCAGAGTGGCACAGAAAGGAGAGCAAGGAGAGAGAAGAATGTGAAAAGTTTAAAACTGAAAGGAAAGGGTTGGAATGAATATTAATAGAACCAGGTTACAGTATAGGATCAAAGATTCTCAGCTTCACTAGGAATTTATACTAGTGATGTCCGCTAATGAAGGGACCCTGGGTCACTCTTCCACTTCAGCATTCATCCTAACATGTAAACTGGTTGGTTCAAAGAGATTAACTTGAAAAACCCTGTTAATAAAGTGTCAGATCCTCTATTAAAGTTCCATGTTAAAAAGCAAAGCAATTCAGCAGTATACAAAGGTAGGGAAAAAGAGTGAATCATAAACTTAAACTGCTGTTCTTAAAAACGACCCAAACATACCAAGGTCATCATTAGCAAACGGTTCCAGGTTGGAAGAGGTGGACATGTTGCTGTCATTATCAACAGATTCTGCATCTTCTCTCCTCTTTAGGTCCTGAGCATGCCTCAAGTTCTTCTCCAACACCTCCTGCAAAAGGAAAGCCTTCTTTATGAAGTTGTACTATGCTGGCTGGCAGGGTAGTAAGAGAGCAGATGATTCAACAAATATTCACTTCAAACACCTGAACTCCTACCTAAAATGCCTGCAGACAGGGGAAATGTGGGGCTTATTTTATAGATACTATAGCAGCTTCCCAAGCACAGTTTTATAGGAAGAGGGGATAAATCCAACATTTCACCCATCACTCTTGAACAAAGGCCGTATTCAGACAGACAAAAGACCTGACTCCCAATTAGCACAACTCTGGGGACCTTGGAGGAGAACAAAGAACACATGTCTAATCTGGCAAAAGAGACGTGGAGAGATGGGGGTCATTTTTTATAGACAAGCTTCTAAGGCTTCCCGTTGAGGCAAATTCAAAGACAATGTAGAAGGGCGAGAGAAAATTAAGATCAGAGAATAAAGAAACATGTAAGGATGACAGGCGACAAGATAGAGGCCGATGAAAGAAGACGAGGCTGAGTAAGAAACTAATGAAAGATGCATTTAAATGTAGGAGAGGGAGGATGTTAAGGACGACACGGGACGGTTATAAGGACAGAAAGAGATGTCAATAAAGACTAACACAAAGAGAAAGAGGAAATAAGCAACAAAGAGGTTAGAGATAAGTGGCTTATAAAAGTATTCAAACCCGAATCATTAAAAACATAAACGTCTTTGAGTTTTACTGTGATTTTATACAGCAAATCAACACAATGTTGTGGATAAGTGGAAGGAAAACAATATATTCAGTGCCTTTAACTTTGGTGGCCATAAACAAATGTAATGACAAAAATTGTCTTCAGAAGTAAGCTGATCAGAAGATAGAACTTGTGTAATTAAATCTCAATGTGAATACAGTGGTTCCTAGGAGGCCTCAGAGGTTTAATCAGAAAACATTAGGAAGAGACAGCATCATGGAGACCAAGGGGCACAGCAGACAGCTCAGATGATAATTCAAAAAATTAGCTTTCTAAAAGGGTGAGGACTAAAAAATAGAAAAGAAGCACTAAAGGTGGAACAGCTGGACTGACAATGCATTACACCCTGTACACACCATCTCTAGAATGAAAGTCAGAGGCAGCATCATGCTGCGGTGACATGGACACTCCATAGAGTGGATGAAAGGAGCAAGATCTTTGAAGAAAAGGCAGCAAATGATTTTATACTGGGGTAGTGCTTCACCTTTCAGCAGGACGATTATCTTAAAAATACAGAGACTGATGGAGGGGTTTACATTTAAGGATGTTCTTCCTGTTTATAGTCCACACCTAAATCCTATTGGCAGTTGAAGACTTCAACATTTAAAATTTGCTACACCTGTGGATATACCTCCACAGATGTTGCAGTTTATTACCCATCCTATCTCCCACTTTTTAGCTGCAATACGATGAAATCTCAAAGAGTCAGAGGGATATGAATACTCCTTCAAGCAGTGTATAACAGAGTGGCTGGAAAGAAGACTCACTTCATCACTGGTGATCAGACTCTGGCTCGGCGTAAGCTCAGACTGAGAGCCTGCTGTCCAAACAACAGAGCCAAGAGGGGGTAACTGATCCTCCGCTGCACGCCTCACTGCCAGGTGCTTGGTTACTATGTCCTGTGGGATATATGTGATGACAAAAGCCATCCTCTGATATTTCAATGGGTTTTTTTTTGTGTGGTTTAATTCTGATTTTTGATTCAGATTTTTCAACTGGCTCAGACAGATTATTATTATTATTATATTTTATTTTTTACAAACATGTTCTGGAACAAAACATGTTTAGCTGCACTGATCAGAACAGAAAGGAGTCACCTGTAGAGAATAGAGAGCTCTTTGGCGTAGATAGTCTGTGTTGAGTAGCTGCAGCTCGTGGAAAAGCTCAATTAGAAAGTGAGGTCTGGACTCATTTTGGGATATCAACGTCGCCACCTCCGAGTAGATTGTTTCCCGCAGAGCCTCAAACAAGGAGAAGTCACTGCTAGCATCTACAAACCAGAGGTTTTAGAACGTCAGGTATATTTCATGCATGTTTTATAATCAGTAAAAACAAATGAGACAACATTTGCGAGCAACAAAAGATTGCACATAAATGTAGACATTTTGGAGAGGGTAAATAAAAGGCATGCATGATGGTGAGAAAGTAAGAACCAAATGATGGAAGATTTGCATGGGGACTTTACCTGGTGCTTCTGTGCATGCAATTCTGTTAGAGAGGAAGGGTGTTCTCCAAGCATAAGCTGTGAGTAGGATAAATTCAAAGCAACAACGGGTAGAAAATTAAAATAGTCAGAAAAATGGCTAATGTATAAAGAAACATAATCTATTCAGATTAACTAGATGTTGTAAGTTTATATGGAAAACAGTTTGAAAATAATGATAGAAATCAAAATATTGATACAAATGTGAATGATAATTGTAGACACAAAAAAAATATTCTACAGACTGAGGAAGGGGAACCGCTTTTCTAAACATTTTCTTATGAACGGATCTGAGCCATACCAGAGGAGAGGTCATTTCGCTTGCTTCCGACCTTCGTCTTGCTGTCCAGTTTTTCTTGAGTCAGTTTGTCCAACAAAGCCTGGTTCTGGTCTTTATGATGTGACGAGGCTGCCCTCTCCTGGACAGATTCTGCAGTGCTGCTATAGCTGTCACTATCATGGCCTGGGGAAAAAAATGACAGGAGAAGCTCTGGTATTCTATCAAGATTTATATACCTATACAAAAATGTAAAAGTTTTCAGTGGTTTATTTTCACATATTTTATGATACATTTTAAGTAGATTCAGGAGAGTGATTTGACTTTTGTACCTTCACTGTTCTTGTGTCCTTTGCTCTTCCTGCTGCGTCTATTTTTGGGAGTTTTGCTCCAAGAAGCCAAGTTTGCTTGAGCCGAGGCTTTTTTACCAGCCTTGAAGGTCTTAGTGACTGTGGCGGGATCAACAGGGTCAGGAATACTGCAGAAGCTTTCCTGTGATGCCTTGTCAAACTCCTGCGGCCTTGATTGGTATTTGTTAAAAGTAGGGGATGAGGAAGGAGATTCTTGCAGCTCTGTTTTAGACAGGGAGTGTTGTGTTATGTTGTTTGTGTAGGAGGTGTTCAGTTGTGTCCCAGATCTAATGATGTAAACACAAAAAACAGGAGCATTAACTAAAATGTCTAGCCAATAAGTTTCCTCTCTAGAGATAATAAGGTTTATCATACCGTCTTTCTGTTGCCGTGTTAAGAGGAGAGCGATGTAGAGGAGGAGGAAAACCCATGTACTCCGTTTTCATTGATGTGTTCTGATCCCTTTTTTGATGTTCAGATGAAGCTGTACCTTCTGCACCCAGAGGCAAATCGCTCATGGCACCAGGGAAGGTGGGATACAGGTTGAAGCCTTAAAAGAAAGAGAAAACATATTTAAATGCTTTCAGGATAGGATATATTGGGAGAACAAAATTGTTTTATTTTACTGTAAAAAAAAAAAGGGTTAGATTTTTGAAGGATTTGTTACTTCTTCTGCGAGGTAAAACCCAAAGTGGTGAGTATATCATAGCAGTGTGATAATCATACTGGGAGAGAATGGAGATAAGGAAGGGTTTGCCATGTTGACAGTCGAAGGGTTCATTGCAGAGGAGAAGGGAAGGAAGAAGCCAGGAGAGGCTGAGGGTCCTGGACTGGATTCCCGAGCAGAGCTCTGTTTCTGTGTCTGCCAACCTGCTGCTGAGGAGGAAGAGGCCTGCTGCCGAATGAGATCATTCAGGACCTGTTTTAGTCTAAAACACAAAGGGAAAAAATTACAGAAAATCTCCCATCTGTGGGGATAAAACTGTATTTATTAATGTCACTTCTTTCACCTTTGAACGTTGTTTTGCTGCCAAGCGAGCTGGGTGTAGCACTGGTTAAGCTGATGCATCACCAGCTGGACTTGAGGGGATGACACGTTGTTTGGAAGGGTGTTGTACTGACCCGTCAGTAGAGTTTGTAGCATGTATGATAGTGTCTGTTGGGAGAAAAAAAAAAACTTTTTACAGACTGAGCAACAATCTTAAACAAAGACTAGATATAACGCAATCATAACAATCATCCTGACTCTGCTTAGACATGGTATTAGTGTGGGAAGCTGCAGGAGTTGATAATCAAATATACATAAATAATTATCTGCTGGTAAACAAATCTAATCTTATTTTCTATCAATGATCAAACAGCATTCAGATAAGTGGGAATAATACTGAAATCTACTGAAAATATAATGTTGCTTAATGCTGTAGTGATGACACAGATAATGATTAACACTGGTTTCCTTTACATTTTTTCCTTCTTTAACATTACAAAATGTCATTACCTCTACGTTTGTTTTAGCATCTACACTTAAAAATAAAATAAACTCAACCAGGCATGAAATGCATGAAATGTGTGAATACCTGACCATCAAACCTAGTAATATTGCATCCTAGCAGCTCTTTGGCACTATCATACTGACCCAGATATTAATGACTTATTCAATACACTGAGGCTTTTATCAGCACTAATATACCATCACCATGTTACTGAAATCGGATAATGGTAGATTTGCCTGGGAATTGTATTTTAAAATTTCAAAATATATCCTGATACAATGACAAACATGCAAGAAGAATAAAACTTGTTTATGGTTCATGTTCCTGCTATTAAGGACTAGGTCTACTGTGTTAATTTAGGCTTAGAATTATTAGGCTCACCATTTTTCCAGAAATAAATACTTTTCTGAAAAGAAATCACTCCTCGTGTCAGACAGAATGCACTGCTTCTAGAATCTAATTCAAGCCAAGAAATTTGTTCTGAATGCAAAAATTTGACTTGAACTGGATCCAAACAGCCAACTGACATCCAGTAACACCTGTTAGAAGCAGGGCAGACCAAAGCTTCATTAGTGAGTTTAGTGATCTGACCTGCTGGTCCTGCAGGAGAGTTTGACACATGCTGGTGCTGAAGTCCAACTGTCTCTGGAGCTGGTTTATCTGCTCTTGCCAGTGAGATGTGCCCTCGGCGAAGGAGAGCTCAGAAGCCCAGCGCAGGTTCTCCTGTCGACGAATACCTCCAGACTGGCTTGAGGACTGGTTGAAACTACTTGTCTGCTGTTTGACCTTTGTCTCATTATGTAGATGACCCTCAACGTCACCAGAAAAGCCTGCTGGAGGCTTCAGATTGCTGAAACATTAAACATAAACAAGCAAAATGGACTTTAGAAAGAGATGACAGATATCTGTTCAGAAATTGAGGGAAAAAATTGCTATAAATCTGTGCATCTTCTGTCAGCTGCTTTTACCTTCCTTGATTCTTCCTTTTAATAAAGGCGCGCTGGCTGTACACATGGATGTCATCCTCTGAGCCACTTTCTGTACATTCTTCCTGCTCCTCCTCCTCGTCAGCACATATCTCTGAGCGATAATCCTCCTCTTCCTCATCATCATCATCTAGGTTGCAAGGACTGGAACCCCATGTGGCCATTGTTCTGGTAAAATATAGTTATAGCTTGCTGGTTCATAATGACTGATAATATACACTGAAATAAAGGCCTGTACATAAGAGGCATGATAACAGAGCTCTAACTGATGAGGCAGTCCCATTAAGAGGTGCATCTCCTACCTTTCATCCCTGTTAATAGAGTGTGACAGTGTAGCGCTACCCTCCTGGTCTTCCATTGGACAGGGAGAGTCACAGGGACCACTACGCCTCTGATGTTCAGCCATCAGTGACTCCAGGTGCTTCCTCCGCTGTCTCAGATCTTCTCGTAAAATCTGTCCCCGCCGCATTTCTGACCAAAGCTGTAGGCGGAACAAAAACAGAATACGTAAATGAACAGATAATATCTTTTAACAAAGCGTACAGGAGGAGATGAGGGAATGAGTTACCTCATTGTCAGTGACAGAAGAAGAAGCTGCCTCTGGAGCAGTGGGTTTGAGCATGGCTAAGTTGGTTTTAGGTCCAGAAGATGAAGGTTTGACATTAGCCGGAGTGGAAACCGCAACTGGAGCCTTTCTTAGCAGACCCTGCTGACTGGCTGTGCTGGACACAGACGACTGGAAGGGGACAAATACGCTTTCATTTTTCACATTCAATGAAATGCTCAAATCAAACCCAAAATATCGCTTACAGGTCATGTTCAAAGCAAAAGCATATCGTTCTGAATGATTGGCATAATTAAGACATCACACTATATCATACTCAAGCATCTTAGCATGCATGCTGTAACATGACTGTCATAAAGGGTTAATGTGTCTGATGACAAATGCTGCTCCTAGTGACATGACCTCCTGGATTTGAAGTGAGACTTTACTCCTAGGATCTCCTTCAGAGGAGGGAAACAGCATACATGAAATGAATCACTTTTTCACTCTCAATTCTGTTAACAGCTCAAACATACATCTTACATCCCAGCTAACTCACTATTCAAAGGCAACAATTGTTTTGTGTGATTATGAGAGTTAAATACCAGATGGTCTGGGCAGGTCCACTGCAGGTCCTGGATCTTGCCTTGGATTTCAATCAGTCTCTGTCGCTCTTCGTGGAGCTGCCTCAACTCCTGCTTCTGCTGACGCAACTTTTCCTCATACAACTTTTCCCTGTGAGAAAAACAAATATTGTATAAAAGTGATGAAATGAACCTAACTAGACAGCTGTACAACAAAGTGCAAGACTCAACTATTTTATTTTACTACACCTGGCCTTGCTGGTAAGTGCAATATCTCCAGGACCCTGTTTGGATCCACCCTTGGAGGCCCCACACACAGGTGCTCTGGTGTTATTTGGCTGCTGATGTAAAGCTTCATCATCATTTGCTGTTGTTCCATCGGTGTCATCACTCTGTGTCACACAGATAGCTTAATTGTTTCTCATCACTAAAATCATAGGTGGTTCGATTTTTTTCTTCAATGCATCAAACAGTTTTCCAAACAATGTGAGGTCCCACCACCAGAGGCTCAAGACTGAAAGCCATTGCAAGCTCTTTGTCTGATTTTTCTACTGAGTGTGAACAACTTCACTGCAGAAGTTGGATACGGCTAACGTTGTTAGCTTCTTTAGTTTATCGGTGTTATACCTGGTGACGGCAGCCGTTTTCGCCCCCTCTCCCAATATATGCCCTACTTTTGCAGCCTTTTTTCACTGGTCTGCGCTGTTGTAATTGGTGAAGGTAGCGGTTTTCGCCCCCGTACCAAGTGTGATCAAGTTCTCTTGCTGAAGTTTGGATACGGCTAACGTTGTTAGGTTTGTTGGTTTTATACCTGGTAATGGAAGCATTTTTCAGAGATGAAGTCCTTGTTGCAGACACGTCAGTCTGATGCCTCACTTCCAGTGGCCGGACTCTCTTCCCTACCCATGCCCGAACTGGTTGTGGAGGATGACATCATATCTCTGGTTCTCGCAGCTCTGTGCCACCCTCCATTTGAGCCTTTGGCACAAGCTGACCTCAAGTGGTTTTCCTGCAAGACTGCTTTTCTGATGTCTATCTTCTCAGCTAAGAGGGTCAGCGAGCTACATGCTCTCTCTGTCAGCCCTATGTGTATCAGCTGGGCTCCAGATGGCTCCGGTGTTACCCTGTGGCCTAATACTGCATTTGTGCCTAAGGTGTTTTATACTTTTCACCGTAACCAGCCATTGCGGCTTGTTCGGTTTCAGCCTCAGTCAGGTGCAAATGAGGATAGGTCTGAGTTATTGAGTCCAGTAAGAGAGTTGGAGGCATACATTGCAGCCACCGTCAATCTGAGACACTCTGACCAGCTTTTCCTATGCAACGGGGATCTGAGGTTAGGCTGTCCTCTTTCCAAGCAACGTCTGTCCCATTGGACTGTGATTTACATCTGCCACGCCTACGTCGCGATCTGGCAGTCATCCGGGATTCATAAAACCGTAGTTACATATGTAACTTTCATTTTATTCACCCATCAAGGTTAGAGAGCATCCTCAGCCATAAAGTCTCTCATACCTGAACCATGGCCACCAGCTCCTGTAGCTGCCTCAGTTTCTGCTTTGCTGTCTGGCGGTGAACCTTGGCAGGAAAACCAGCGCCGCTCCCAAAGCTGCTACCTCGACTAGACTCTGAAACACTGTCTGGAAGCATGGCATGTGCCCCTTCATTGTTATCAAGGCCATCCTCGTCATCATTTTCATCCTTTACCTGGTCATAGGGAAGGTCCCTGTTGTACTGGCACTCTAAAGCACAATAAAAAAATACCACATGCTGTTACAGAAAGCCGTGTTTAGTAATGATTTTTGCTGCAAGCTGCACTAAGTTAGACTTTTCAAAACATTTTCTTTAGAAAAGGACACTTGACATGAATGTGCAATATTAACTAGAATAAGTTAATGTAACTGGTCTATAAATTTGAATTAACTCACAAAAATAAATTTGGTAATTATACAGGAATGTGGGTCAGCCTAAAGCTTATGGGTTTTTTTTACCGATCCAGTGGTCTTCTTCCCTATTACTCAAACTGGTACCTTTATAATAGGAAAATTCCTGTTTTACTTCTTTATAAGTTAGTGATGAATACCTTAACAAGAATATATTCATGTAAACAATAAACATGTTTCAGACAAGACTGGCTTACCGTTTGAAAATAAAAATTCAAAAGGAAACCAGAAAATAAAGGTAAACATAACATTTTTGTCCTTTTCCTCTCTAAAATTGTGATTATTTAATGCAATTTAATAGGCAGCACTAACTCCCAAGTACATAGAAACTGTTAATCTAAGGTAAAAAGTTTTCAATACTTTAAGAAACCTGTTACAGATAATTTCATATTATTAATTCTATAAACATAACTTCTATGATTTCATGAAAATTTCTTTGAAATAAAAAAATTATCATCTATTACTAAACTATAATCACCAATATCACTTTTAAGGGATAAGGACATTATTGTCAGTGTTTCATGAGCCAACCTATGGGTGTGGTGACTTTGAGGCTGCGGAGGTTGGCGGCTGCCCGGTTGTTGATTTCACACTCGGTGTTGAGTCTCCCATCCTGGTTGTTTGTTGAGCCACTCCTGACACTGCGTCCATTGGTCAGGCTGTTCAAGTCTGCCCAGTTTCCGCTACGCTGCTGGTTTCTGGAGACGCAGAGAGCAATAATGTCTATTATTGATATTCAAAGAACCATTCCCTAGAAAATGACAAACTGAGATAAGATGACATGAAGCTTTTGCTTATTTTTGTAATATTTCCAAGGTAAATTTGTTCAGACATCAAACCACGTTGTCCTCAGAGATGTTCACACTCACCTAATATTTGCGACAGGCTGGTGATTCTCATGCTCCAACTCAAACACCGTTTCAAACATTGATCCATCCTCTGTCTCATCTTCCTCCTCATCATCATCGTCAGCCTCCTTTACATTCTCATTGACAGCATCCACCATCATATCAGAAGTCTGCTCATAGTACTGAACCAACTCCCTCAGTTCATTAAGGCGCTTATGGACCTCTTTTAGCTTCCTGTTGGGAAATGTGAAAAAAGTTCTGAATGCATGGAGTCAGTATAAAAGTATAGTTCATAGTCTTCTTTTTGTTGCTTTCAATGATTGATCCCAACAAGGAATCTGATTCCACTGACTGAGAAGATTAGACAACAAACAACCTCAATAGGTTTTCAAACCCAAACATTTGGTCTACAGTCACCCCACCTTGACTGGACAGGAGAACACCTGCAGCCAAAGGCTCCCATCAGTGGGCAGCAGCCCCCCCACCATCAAAATACACAACTTCAACTGCTGCTAAGTAACGGGTTGGCTGCACATCTGACACTTTGGCTCTCAGTAAACTGAGATATTGTAGGCAAATACATTATTCATGTAAATCATTTATTATGTATAAATCTAACTTGCATATATTGTTCTGTTAATTCATACTCCTTGCTACTTGTACACTACCTCACTTTTTGGAATCTTATTGTGTTTTGGGTTTACTTATACAAAGTAATTCCTATGAAGGTTTTTCCTGGAGTGATTTTAAATATTGATTGAACAGGTTTGCTTCCTGGCAGAGAATAGGGGGTTTTCAGTGACGTCACTGGCCAGCTCCCGGTCTGCCATCTTGGGTGGCATATTATCGTATATTAAATACAGGTGCTGGTCATAAAATTAGAATATCATGAAAAAGTAGATTGATTTCAGTAATTCCATTTAAAAAGTGAAACTTGTATATTATATTCATACATTACATACAAACTCATATATTTCAGATGTTTATTTGGTTTAATTTTGATGATTACAAATGACAACAAATGAAAATCTCAAATTCATCATATCAGAAAATTAGAATATTGTGAAAAGGTTCAAAATTGATGGCCCCTGGTGCCACACTCTAATCAGCTAATTAACTCAAACCACCTGCAAAAGCCTTTAAATGGTCTTTCAGTCTAGTTCTATAGGCTACACAATCATGGGGAAGACTGCTGACTTGACAGTTGTCCAAAAGACGACCATCGACACCTTGCACAAGGAGGGCAAGACACAAAAGGTCATCGCTAAAGAGGCTGGCTGTTCACAGAGCTCAGTGTCCAAGCACATTAATAGAGAGGCGAAGGGAAGGAAAAGATGTGGTCGAAAAAAGTGTACAAGCAAGAGAGATAACCGCACCCTGGAGAGGATTGTGAAACAAAACCCCTTCAAAAATGTGGGGGAGATTCACAAAGAGTGGACTGCAGCTGGAGTGAGTGCTTCAAGAACCACCACACACAGACGTATGAAAGACATGGGTTTCTGCTGTCGCATTCCTTGTGTCAAGCCACTCTTGAACCACAGACAGCGTCAGAAGCGTCTTGCCTGGGCTAAAGAGAAACAGGACTGGACTGCTGGTGAGTGGTCCAAAGTCATGTTCTCTGATGAAAGTAAATTTTGCATTTCCTTTGGAAATCAAGGTCCCAGAGTCTGGAGGAAAAGAAGAGAGGCACTTCATCCACGTTGCTTGAAGTCCAGTGTAAAGTTTCCACAGTCAGTGATGGTTTGGGGTGCCATGTCATCTGCTGGTGTTGGTCCATTGTGTTTTCTGAGGTCCAGGGTCAACGCAGCCACATACCAGGAAGTTTTAGAGCACTTCATGCTTCCTGCAGCTGACCAACTTTTTGGAGATGCAGATTTCATTTTCCAACAGGACTTGGCACCTGCACACAGTGCCAAAGCTACCAGTACCTGGTTGAAGGACCATGGTATCCCTGTTCTTAATTGGCCAGCAAACTCTCCTGACCTTAACCCCATAGAAAATCTATGGGGTATTGTGAAGAAGAAGATGCAATACACCAGACCCAACAATTCAGAAGAGCTAAAAGCCACTATTAGAGCAACCTGGGCTATCATAACACCTGAGCAGTGCCACAGACTGATCGACTCCATGCCACGCCGCATTGCTGCAGTAATACAGGCCAAAGGAGGCCCAACTAAATACTGAGTGCTGTACATGCTCATACTTTTCATGTTCATACTTTTCAGTTGGCCAACATTTCTATAAATCCTTTGTTTTTATTGGTCTTCAGTAATATTCTAATTTTCTGATATGATGAATTTGAGATTTTCATTTGTTGTCATTTGTAATCATCAAAATTAAACAAAATAAACATCTGAAATATATGAGTTTGTATGTAATGTATGAATATAATATACAAAGTTTCACTTTTTAAATGGAATTACTGAAATCAATCTACTTTTTCATGATATTCTAATTTTATGACCAGCACCTGTATATCATGTCGCGAATAGATAAGTACGCCAGCACGCTAGAGCCACCAGATCATGGAACATATCTGAGGAAATGTTCCGTGATCGACCATATGGACCCCTATGCCCTCCACGGTGCCTTGTTTAGCACTAATCCAGATGATTGGCTAAATGTAGAGCACGGCGACATAGTTCATTACCCGGTGTTCAGTGAAAACCCTCTGCACACTTTGGAGGAAATGAGAGCGTACAAGGGTCTAGAGGCTCACAACCAGTTCACATCTGGTTGGGTACGAGATGTCGAAGTGATGTACATGAAGGAAATCGCCATCATACGTGGACGGGTGAGTTTTAATAAGATGGTAAAAATGTAAACAATCCGACGCAGGGCTCGCTATGCTAGGTGGCTAACGGCCGGCGGTGCGCGAACAGTTCCAAAGCTAAAAGTCCTTGGAGTCTCATGTGCAGTTTACGAATGGATGGGTTCAGGAGCTGCAGCTCATAAAGCCAGCAAACAGTGCTAACCGTTAGTGCTAACAACCACTCAGGCATGTAATGTACTTTTAACTAGCTGCTATGTGTTTCAAAGGTTTGGTTAGTAACGTTAGTTGCCAAACCTCCCTAAACCCTCCGGGTTTCTCACATATTTGAGCCTTTTCCCGCTGGTTGAAATCAAGTTAAGGTGAAATTAATCAAATTAAAACACGGCAGAGAGAGGGAGTCCAGTACGCCGTGGTCATAGGCAGTAGTCTGAGTAGCGGCGGCGGAGACGGTCAACATTGCGGCCACGGAAAGTAATACGTCATGACGCCCAAGCCCTATTATTAATATATTCTTACATGTTTTAAATGCTTGACAGTTAATTACCTGTGACAAAGTGAGCACTGCAGACTCTGGCGTGTTCCAGCTTAACACCGTCCAAATCGGACCTGGATATCCGTGTCAGCCATAGGTGACGGCGTTGTTCAGATAGCTGTTTTGTTTTTTCACATTGATTCACGATTACGGCTGGTATGCGATAGAAAGAGCGTTGATCTCCACCTCCACGGGCCGTGCAACCAACAATTACACACGATTTCACCATTTTTCACTGTCAATACTGCCTAAGGCTGCCACCCAATATGGCGGACGCGCTGAGTAGTCACGTGAGCGCGACGTCACATGAAAACCCCCTATTGGCTTTAAAATCATGACCAATAAACTGTTCATAGCGCTAAACTTGTTGCTGGTGAAACGCCAAAACATTCAGCTCCTTTAACCATCCATTAATCAACCCAACCTCAACCCCATCAATAATCCAAAGGTTATAGTCAAAATGGGGCTCTCATACAGGAACACAACCAAATGTGGGTCTGGTAATGCAGGCGGAGGAAAGCACTGGGCCGTCCTCCAGGCAACCATCACCGGGTCGGGTTTGGTTGCTCAGCCCCCTACTGGCTCCCTGCCCCCTTCTGCCTGGGTTCCCGCCCAGGCCCGGAGCTGACAGCTCGGTTCAAGTGCCCGGTGTGTTTCAACTAAGTGCTGCACTGTAGTCGGCCAAAATCCCAGACAATTTTGAAATTTTCCCTGGACATTTTTGAGGTATGAAAAGTAGGACATTTGGTCACCTTACCATATCAACAATTTGATGTTTTAGTGAGTGCTTTCTTGCAATGATGCGTCTTTGCTTAGCAGCTTCGCTTGTTGTAAACCAACCAATCAGCGCACAGCTCATCTAAATATTCATGAGCATACCATAAAAGGAAGAAAACCTGTCGTTTCCTTCTAGGGCTTTTAACCAGGCTTGCATTAGGGTGCATAGAACAGCAAATATGCCATTTTCAGCCCAACCACCATTACACTCCCTATTCAGAGACCTTAAGGACCAGCACCAAATACCCTATATAATCATTCTATGATCCCTTTAAGGCAAAACCCGTTGCTGCTGATATCTGACCCACCACTACCAAAGCAGCTCAGAGCACTGTGTGTGTGTGAGTGATCTTGTGTACCTTAGCTTGTCAGATGACCCAGAGCTCTCCTGCTGTGAGAACAAAGGCTGAAAGGAAGAAGAGGTTGAGGCCGTGTTTGAGCAGAAAGCTGATGGGTGATCTGCAGATAGTCCTCTATTTGGATTGAACTGTGCTGACAAGCCACGACCTGAGGGAGGCCACAGACAATTCATCAACACTTTCTAAAGGTTAAGCTGCACCATGTTTGCAAATACAATAAAATAAAAAGATGAATACATGAGTTATTGTTCAGGGTCTGGTCTCGTAGTGAATGCAACTCTTGCAGGATCTTGTCCATGGTTTGCTTCTTGTCTTGAAGCTCCTGTAACTTAGTGAGTTTGGCACTGGCAGTCACTTCGCTGGTGTCCAGGCCGGCATGGGGGCCAGAAGCAGAGTGAAGGAGCGGCCTGTGTTGAGGAGGGAGTGGGCGGGACCAGGACAAGGACACCTCTCCAGAGAGGGAAAGACTCTGTGCCTGACGCCGGTTATCTGGCACCATTTTAGTCTGGTGGAGGAATGTTGTAGAGGAATTTCAATGGTCAAAATAATGCTGCTGCTGTTTTTGTTTAGATTATTCTCCTCTAAATGGTTATTCATCTGAAATTCATTAACTTTAATACTTACAGTGCTGGTCACATTTAACGGTACTGCAGGTAAAGATGTGTAAAAAGCCTTACTTAGAGAAATGTAAAATAGAACTTTTTCCTGAATGTAAAGTTAGATTTCTCCATTCCTTCAGGGTAAAAATATACTGGAATAACTATTTCAAGGCTTTTGATTCATCTTTACCAAAAGCACAAATTATTGTGGGCAGCATTGTATCAGCAAGGGCAGATAAAATGTTTCTATGCAGTTAATTTTAAATATTTTACAAAACGTCTAGGAATATTCTAGCTCTCTAGTTCTAGTTTCTACTACTGATCGACTGATACATTTTCTATTTTAAAGGTTGATGCTGACATTAGTCTAACTGATCTCCGATGTGTGTTACTGATATTTTTTTAGGACGATTCTTAATGTAACGATTCTTAACATTGTTTTTTTTTCTTCTCACATTTACATGATAAAAAACCCCAGAATGATAACTGTTACACAAGTCTAAATTCTAAATAAGAAACTTTTATAAACAGGTCAAACAAAAAGCTAAAAATGGACTGCAGATGGAGGGAGCGGCCAAGATATGGCTGCTAAATGCACTAATGAATTTGATAAACAATTGCATGAATATAAATAAATATGCACTCAAAAAGAAAAAAAAAAGCTAACATAGGCAAAAACTATCATCTGCTTAATGTATTGATCTACGTCTAGTTTCTACTGTACCTGAGATTCATGCAGCTGGTTGTGGAAACGCTGAATCAAATCATTTAACTCCTCATTTAGTTCTGATGTGATGCTCAGGCCAGAAACACTGCCGGTTGTTTCTGTCACAACTATAAGCAACAACAAAAGTTAAAAGAGAAACATATGGACAACTTTTTATGCTTGACATGCTGCTGTCATAATAAAAATAAAAATAAAATATTTACCTCCAACACAGAAATATAAAAACATAAATATTTCGGTTTTGCTTTTTTGTTGTTATTTTTAAAAGTTGTGTGGAGTAAAAAAAAAAAAGGAAGCCAAACTGTAAGGACTGACGTGACATTCTTAATCTTCACACAAAATTGTCTTGTGAAAATGTGTTTTCTTTATAGGTTTGTATGTCACCTGTGTCTTCAATCACAGCCAGAGCATGTTCAGCACTTTGTTGCATGGCCATTAGTGCCTCCTGTCGTCCCTGAAGGGCCCTAAGCTGTTCCTGCTGCTCTAGCATCTTCTTCAGCAGCTCATGCTGCTTTCGCAGATTCTCCAGCTCTTCCTTCTGGTCAGCACCAACAGCTTCTGTCCTGCCACCCTAAAAATGCACAACCCCGCCCCCACATATCAATATCAGCTCCGAGGATATCCAAATCAGCAAATAAATGCACTGCTATACTACAAGAATACCAACTTAAAAGATACATGGTAGCCATGGTGTTGTTGCTTTTTATCTTTGGAATTTAAAGTTTCAGATAAAATCTTATAAAGCCAGACAAATGTACTCACTGCTGTATTTGAAGCATCTGAAGACTGAACTTCTATGTTTAGAGAAGAGCTCTCTGCCAGCGACCCTGAGCCGACAGCAGAATCCAGAGTCCCCAAATCACAGTCATTCTCATGGGCCTGGGAAAATAGTACCACTGAGATTGTTAGGGACTTCATAATAATTTCCTGTTAACCATCTCCTTGGGTTTTATGCATAATGGAAAAAAGTACTGCATGCATTGAACTGAAGAACTTTAAATAGCTATTTTAAAATACTTTAAATGAATACACACCATAAGCCAACTTTATTCATTTTATAGAAAAACAATGGAAACAAGCACTTACAAGCACTTTCTGCAAGAACCGTAAATAGGACTTCTCCTGCTCCTTGAGGTTGTCAATGAGGTAAGAGAGACGCTCAACATTGGCTGGAACGTCATTCTTTTCCACCAGATCGTCCCTCATGGCGCTGACTTTACTGATGTAGTCCCGAATCTGCACCAGCTTGCTCACCACCTGATGCCGTTCAAAGCCGGGAAGAGTAGAGGGCCGTATGGTGATGGTAGGGGTTGTTTAAAGATAATAAAAAGCGAAAAAGGAAACAAAAAACAAAAAAAAAACATAAGAAAGGTTAAGGGAACATCTGTAGATATAGCCATAACTGGGATACAAAAGGGCTGAAAGGGGACGGGCACAGAAGTCGCTAGGCACCACTGGTGGCGTATTTATAAACTGTCCTATATACAGTCTGGTTTCAGCTGCACAACCTCTCCCTCACTTTCATCCTAGTTGGGTTTCTTCTCCAAATAATCTAGGGTGCTGTGAGGAAAAATATGCTAACATACAGGTTCTGGGAAAAAACTATGAATTCTTCTTTTATCTTTTTAATCACATTACTTTTCACAAGAATCGCAAACCTTAATGTGTTGTTTCAAGTGCCTGTGGTAGAGCAACATAGTGAATCATTGCAAGTTGGAAGTCAATGATATACAGATCTCCATTTTCATAACAAAAAAAAAAAGAAAAAGGGATGGTAAAAATAAGAAAATGAAAAGCGGAATAATAAAACAATGAAGGTATAAACACCTGAGGGGTTTTCTATCTACATTTTAAAAACTCAAAACTCCACCAGGAGATGGCAGACTGACTGACATTAGAGACTAAATTCATCCTTTAGTCATATAAAGTTACTATCCAGCTACTACAGCTAGAAACCAGTGATTATGGTGTCATGATAGACTCAGGCCTGAACCTTCAGAGGCACATAAAGGCAGTTACTAAACCATCCAAAACGCTGCTGCCCTTGTTCTCACAAGAATTAAGAAAGTAGAGCACATCAGGCCGGTTCTGAAATCCTTACACCGGCTCCATGTAGCTCAGAGAATAGACTTTAAAATCCTTCTGTTAGTTTATAAATGGACCTCAATGAATAACAGATTTGTTGTCAGTGTATCAACCTCCTAGACCAGAGGTCTTCACAGGGGGGTCTGCGACCCCTAGGGTGGCCACAGAGGTACTGCATGGAGGTTATACCCCCCCTGCAATTTTTTCCACTAATTGAAATGTTTTTAAATACACATTAACTTGAATTCAACACACTGTAGTAAACAGATAAATGGAGGCAGATGATGTCTTTCAGCCATCACTGCACACATTCAGCAACACAAAGGAGCTCTTTCATGCTGGACACCATTTCATTCACAACACCTGTCCCATCAACAAATAATCAGAATCAGAAATACTTTAATAATCCCAGGAAAAAAATACTTTTGTTACATTACTCCATCTCTAATAGAGTGACTATGGGACCAGTTTGATATAACACAATTGCATACAATAGGGGGTCCCCGCTCCATCTCGCCATCAGTTTTGGGGTTCTTGCCTGGAAAACGTTGGAAGACCCCTGTCCTGGACCACTTAGGTCTCCTAGTTCCAGCCTACTCTCTGCACCCAGAACTAGAACCAAACATGAGGAAGCAGCATTCATTTACTAAGCTCCACTTATCTTAAATCACCCAGTTGGCGTTGTTTATTTACACACAGTTAAACATGTCGTGACTGAGCACAGAGACAGAGCTGAGCGCAGCAGGCAAGCTAAAGAAAGAGCACAGGTAGCAAACCAAAGTTTGTTGGCGCTCAGCGTGTGGTAGACATGTTTTGAGTGAGGGGGTCCAAGTTCAAACGCTGCGTATCGAGCCATGGTTTTTAAGGTTGAATATCCATTGGAGCAACTCCTGTGATGCTTCTTGTGCGTCAGATTTACAGGTGTACAAGAAACAGTGATAATAAGGGCTTCTGATTGGGATTTCAATATGTATAAAAGAAAAAGGAATGAACTGCTTTATTTCTTAATGCCTTAAAATGTTTCTACTTAATTAATAGAAATTAACACATTAAAGTCCCAGCCTAATTTTAAACAATGAAACATTACCTGGCTGCTGTCTACTCTTGGTTCTTGTCTCTCATACTCTCTCTCCATTAGAAGCTCTCTCTCTGGTCCACCATGACTCATCCTTGAAGACTCCTTGTGAGGAACAGCAGAACTTGATGTTTCCCTGCGCCCAGGACTTTGCTTTTTCATTTCCTTGGAGGTAGCTGGGGTAGTTGGTGCAGAAGCTGAGGGATGGAGCAGCTGTTTGCTTTTGTTAGTGTTGACATGCAGAGGCAGGTAGTTGTACGGCTTCTTGTTCTCTCCAGCCATTTGCCGCTGGTTGTTGGCAGCTGTAACACGTCCTTGGGAGTCACTGCCAATGCTCCTCTGTTTAACAAAAGATCAGAGGAAAAGGAGAAATGCACTGATGGTTTTAGACAATTTTGTTTTCAAACTGTAAGAGATGTAGATGTACAGGCATTTATCAGAGAACTTATTTTGTGCAAACCTTGGACCTAATTTCTGAAAAGTATAAAATTCAAACAAGTAGAATTTCTCTGGCAGACATACAAAGATGACAAAACTTAAGCAGGGTTCAGAGCATCGTCACTGCTCCAGTGTGTAGCCACCCCAGTACTCAGTCAACTAAATTCCTTTTCTTGTCAGATACTTCCTGTGGGACAGATTAGCGACATACTCACACTACCAAAAATGTTTTTAAGTGCTGTGATGCTTACCTCATCCAGATCTGTAAAATTTATCCTCTGACGTAGCTTGTCCAGTTCAGCCTGGTCAGGAACAGACATTTGGGTAGTGTATTTGATATGGGGATAGGATTGAGGAGTGCGAGCTCTCTTGCGGCCCACCCCTGGCGTGGACTCCGGTGAAATATCATTAGTCAGTCGGCTCTCCACCACTGATGCCGACAGCTTTTTCTTGTTCTTCTCTGATGACCGGTTAGCCTTCTTTTGCTGGATCCCCCAGTTCTGCTCCAAAACAACAGAAAGTATAAGTGATGTTTTTTGGTATTATGAGAAAAAACTAAATAAAGAAGACGACAAAGGCTATAATAAACTGCAAAGTTGACAAGATGTTTACATTGCAGTAGTGAAAGAACATTGAAAACATATACTCTACAGCAATGGTGTCCAAGCCTCACCTCACACTGGGAAAAAATCTCCACTCTCAAGTGCTGGTAGGTCAAAGAAAATAACTTTTTACTAAGTACTAATCACTTTGTTTATTCACTTTTGGAGATGACTGAAAAAAACAGAACAAAGGATTTGCCTTTTTTCAGCCATAACAGCTCTCTTTAAAAGTGCTTACAGCAGTTAGAAAAGTGTAACTATTTGTTTAAAAACAGACTTGCTGCTTGGAACTGAACTGACAGACGAAAGTGGGATTAGCAGACACATTTTTGTAACAGTAATCAGGATAACCGTTTAGCTTCAAACGATATATTTTCAAAACACCATGGGTTTGTTAGGGAGCACATGAGCAGCCAAAACTAGTTGGTTTCAAAAGGAGGGCCAAACCAGCCACTAATCACTATCCCTAAGCCCTAACTCTCTGTCTGCGCGTTCCCATGGAGAGTCCCCCCATTAAGGGCCATCCTAAACCATGGTAGGGTGAGTGGACCATTCAGCCCTTAAATGATGAGTTTGCAACAGTGCCGGCTAGAGGTGTAAATAATAATCACTTTGTATCGATGCATCGATCCAATGCATCGACACGTCCGCAAGAGTATCGATTCATGTTTCTTTCTCCATCTGTCTATTTTTATCCATTTGCTCCTGGACGTAATTCTGACTTGCGTGCTGCGGTGGTGCTAAACATATTTTGCCCTCCTAAAATATGCGGATTCTTGAGTATCGAAAATAATCAAATCGATGGGTCAGGAAATTGATACTGAATCAAATCGCATGATGGGTGTGATTTACACTGCTACTGCCGGCTTGCTGGAATTTGGCAGTGGGTGTAATGGCAAACTAGTGACTGAGGAAACAAGTGCATTCAAACATAAGTTCTGCTGAATCTTCATCAAACTGTCAGAAGATCACAAGTTAGAAAGAAGACTTCATTAATCCCTAAATTGAGGGTCCGCTTTTAAAGAGTTTTATTTGACTGGTTAGATTTATTTTTTAAGAAAATGGCAAATGTTTAATAATATTATGTTACCCTGGGCGACAGAGCTACAGCCACGCACATGCTGTGTCGCTGTGTTGCTATAGAAACAACTGCTTTCCCTTTACGTTGGAGAGAAAAAGCCACACATTCACGTTTATACCCCACACACAGTGGCAGCTGGTGGAGTTTTCTCCAGGGGGGGCTAAAAATTAAAAATAGAAGTATACCAAAAACCAATCAAATGTATACTAAGTTATCACACCAGTATATTTATATGAAGAACAAAAAAAAAATTTATAAAATCACTTTATAAAAATAAAAAACAAAACATAATTCCATGTACAGGTTTACTTTTTGTACATAAAAGTTGCCCTTCTGATGTTTTGTAAAGGCAAATCTGTGTTTTGCATGCTCCAATATTGTGTCACAAACCTAAAAAAAAAAACAAAATGTACCAGTTTAATAATGGAGAAGCTATTGGTCAGCTTTATATATTTTTTAATATATAAAAACTATTTTTTGAGACTGTGTTTATTTAGGAACAACTAGGCAAATTAACAAACATTCAGAAAAATTACACTATATTATATTATTTTCCATGTGAATCCCAAATTATTCATTCTTCTTTGGCTTTAAGTCAGTCCTACAAGTCTTTATCCATGCTGGCTCAGATGCTGACGTTTGAAAGAGGAGGCAGGGAAAGCAGAATAAAGTGCAAGCCTCGCTAAATGCAGTTAGCCAAGCCTTCTTGCAAAACCAGGTCCTGGAAAAGGGCATTTCTTGCACCATTCCTCTATCTCTGAGATATAAAGCATGAAGCATTCTCTCTCTCTCCAATGCATCTTCAGCCCCCGCACCTCGACCATCTACAACTTTTAAACAGAGTCAATTGGCAAAGATTTTTGTGCCCCAGGGCGGAAATAGGGCACCAATCCGACGAAAAATTTAATGATGCTTTACTAGTCATTAAAGATTATATATGTATCTTGGACATCTAAAAATATATAGATATTTTTCAAAATATTTAACATTTTTATTTAAAATTATAAATAAAAAATCATATACATTTTTATAATGTCTTAATCCGGGTCATTGGGTGTTGGGCGGTGCCCTAGCACCCTCTATTGCCCACACATACAATCCAGGCCTCTTCCAAAGCTGTGAGTGTGACTTTATAGCGAGTGACACTTGATAGTTAAGGGTTAGTGCTTAGGGGGCAGTTTCAAGTATCTTTGGATCCTGCTCACAAGTGAAGGGAGACAGATCGATGCGCCTGTCTCTATACTGTAGACGTAACACCGCTCTGTTGTGGTAAAGAGAGAGCCGAGCCATAAGTGAAAGCTCTTGATTTAATCAGTCTATGTTCATACCATCAGCTATGGTCATGAAATCTGGATCATGACTGAAAGAACGAGATGCAAGCAGGTGAAATGAGCTTTCCTCGCAGGGTGGCTGGACACTCCTTTAGAGCTAGGGTGTTAGTTCATCAATCTGGGAGATGCTCAGAGTAGACCTTCTCATCCAGAGGAGTCAACTGAAGTAGAGAGTCTCTGCTATGACTTGCTGCTCTCATCACCAGGAAACGGATAAGATGAAAACAAGTACTAATATTATATGTGACTGGCACTTTGTGCAAAATCCTCACCATGTTGTTCAGTCTGTCCTCCAGGCTGCCATTGGGTGCTGTCCAGTTGTGCAACTCTTCTGCACCATCATCAAACGGAGCGCCTCCGGTTGCCATGTCACCCGGTTACAGCAGCTGATGATAATAACAAACAGCTTAGAGGTCAACACGTCAAAGAAATTAAAGAGCAGTAAGAGAAACGGCTTCATTCAAATACACATTCATCGCCGTACAAATCGCATGGAGTAAACTTTATTTATATCCTACATTAAAAACACGCAAAAAGTAAATAATCTGAAAAAACACTGCGTTGAGATGTAATATTACAATTGTCGACAAAAACACGGGCTATCAAAATTAACAATCTGAAAAACATAATTATATTACTGCTAATTTCTTACCGAAAACTAAGAGAACAAAGTTAAGGTTGGTTGGTTAGCTGTCGGTTAGCGTTAGCTGCTACAGGGCTGTGATGGCCGCTCGGATTCCCGCCGGGGAACCAAACTGACCGCTGTCTTACAACTAAAGAGATACTAGCGCTAGCTTCCAGTGAGCTTCTCCGTTACCAAGTAAAAAGGTGAAACAACCGCCATTGTTGCAGTCACTCCTACCAGTTAACACCAGGTTTGATGCTTGGTTAACTTCGCTAGCCAAACGTATGCGACCCTTCTATGACCAGCAATTGCCATGGCAACAAACATTTTTTTTTTACGTCAGTAAATTGTATTAATAGTGGTCCGTTAACTCTGAAACTTTGCTAAAAACTCGCTAAAGTTGCCAGTCTTGGAAATTTAGGTGGCTAAAACCCATTCGCCTGGACCCAGCTTGCCACGACAGAGACAAATTGAAAGGTGTCTGTGACAAAGTATTCTTTTATAACGACACGCTTCTTTTATAACGTCTATAAACACAACATAATCTAAATCGGGTACCGTTGTATACTTAGCAAAGCTAACAAAAGTTAACACTAAACAACGCAGGTATAAGCTGACTTTAGCGATTGACAAGTTTAGAAAAGGAGATGTGTTACCGTTTAAAATATTAGCGAAAAAGTCACAGCGAAGGTACTCATATATTTAGTTGTAGTAGAGTGTCATATTCTGTTATTCTATTAATATATATCGTCCATGGCTCTCAAGCTCGAAACAAACAACGACAGCGTTAGCCTGATGCTAAAACTGCATAACAGCAGGTGGCGCTGTAACGGTTGATGAGGCAAAAATCTAACCTCTTCGTCTTCATCATCTTCGCCTTCTTCTTTCATTTGTTTGGCGGATTACAAACAGCTTATGAGTGCTTACTGCCACCTACTGTACATGAGTGTGTAGCCTTAACGTTCCACCTACTAGATTCTATTTTTTAATTTTGTGTTATGTGAAAATAAAAGAAAATCTTTATTAATGACCCTAATTTCCTCCCTATCTCCATCTGTCCCTAAAATTATTTTAATACTCCATTCTCTCCCTTTTTCCCTTATTACTTCCCTCATCCTCTCTTTCGGTTGTATATTTATAGCAATTCATATAACATGATCCACATTTTCTTTTCCTCCACAACCCCTCACATATATATAATTATTTGTTTCTATATAATATTCTTCCTTTCTCATCTTTATCCCATTTTTTTCCACCTTTCTGCTTCTTTCTTTTTAATTATTGATTTACCTTTCCCGGAATCTGAACCGTAATCTGCTTTCCCAAAGCCTTTTTAGCTTAAACAGCTTATCTACTGTTTCATTTCCTCTCACCCTTTAATCTGCTAGAACCCAACAGAACTGAACATCTATTCCATATCTAATTAACCTGAATAAACTCTGATGCATTTCTAAGACTAGGTCTTTCCTATAGTTTCCTTCTGAGGGAATGCTTTCTATTGCTGCTTGAGAATCTGTGCTCATTACTAACCTGTCTCCTCCACCCACTGTAAACTAATAATTATTGCAGCCATTTCTGCTGTGTATACAGACAGAAGGTCGGTTAATCTTTTACAGATACATATATGAATCTCTCGAATGTAAATCCCTATTCCCCCATTTCCATTTGAATTTTTTTGAACCATCTGTCTTCATTTTTAAATAACTATAATACAATTGTCTAATATAAAAGCCAATTTTAACCCCAACCCCATTATGTTTCTATTCTCTTTTCATTTCATTTAGTTTCAAGTCAACTTTTGTTTCTGGAAATAGCCATGGTGACACAGCGCTAATTGGGTTATTTTTAGAAAATGTCTTATCATCTAACTCAGTCACTTTTGCCCATTCATTTCCTCTCCAGCCAAAGCCCATTCTTGTAAATTTTGAATATTCCCAACAGTTCTTTATTATGCTTGTTACTGGGTTTTCTTCACCGCTACTTCTAATTCTGATCCAGTATGAAAGTGATATTTTGACCCGTCTCATTTCTAAAGGAGTTTCCCCAGCGTCTAAAGGAGAAGTAATGGGGGTAGCTTTAGTTGCTCCAGTAGCTATTCTTAATGTCTTATATTGCAATTTATCTACTACTTGTAATGTCGATTTTGCTGCTCCTCCATATACCATGGATCCATAATCTATTGCTGATCCCTGTAAATATGCTTAATATGCATTTTCCATGTATATGAACTATTATTTACTATACTATTTAACCATACTCCTAAATATTTGAATTCTGCTGCGCTTCTGCTTTTTATGGGCTGATCATATAATTTCACTTTTCCTGAAATAATGATCATTTCCTATTGGGGATTCTCCCCTCACACTCCACTCACAAGAACTAACGATCAAACTAGATACTGAAGGTAAACCAGGCAGGACATAGTACCTGTATGTTATTTCTTGTTCCCTGTCCGTTATTAAGGGACACCAGTCACCTTTCATTTCTTCCACTATTTTACCATTATTATCCATCTGTCTGCTTCCCCATAGGTTATTATGAGCATTGTAGTCACCACATCAAATTTCTCTTTTTGTTATTGATCCTGAAATTTTATCAAAAATCTCACTTTCTAACTTTTTACATCAATTATAGGAATTGAGAATCCTAGTAATTCCATTTTTTTCTAAGTTAAATATTTCTACACTGACACATTCATACTCTCCAGGTACATGATTTCCTTTATATGCCAGTCCATCTTTAATGAATGTTGCACAACCTCCTTCATTACAGTTGTTACTTCTATCTCTTCTGACTGAACTGTAACTGGAAATTATAAAATCTAAAAATAGTTTTAACAAAGTCTCTTGAACACATATAACATCTGGAGCTGTTTCCCTTTTTTTTTTCTTGACCATTTACTAAGAGACATCTAGCATTCCATTCCAGCTGAACTCAGACGTTTGTGAATTTGATCCGCTTGGACTTCTTTCATGCGTAGGAACCCTCCTGCTGCTTCTACAATCGTTTTAATTTTATCACTTTTCTTTTTCATTTGCATTGTAACATTAATAATGTGACAAATAAATGTCACAAAGTTATCTTTTTTCACCATTATTGTATTTTCATCCACATTACATTTGTGCTTACATGCATTATGTTCATCTGTGAACTGACAACAGTTTACTTTTGTTTAATTTGTTAAGTATTATTGTCCTGACTTAAATCTCCTTGATTTGTTTCTCTAGTTCCCAGGTCATTTGTACTTTCTTTTCTAACTTTTCTTAATGCCTCAGCATATGAAACCTTCTCTGTTATTTTTATTCTTTGTGCTTGTCTTGCTTTCCTTTGTACTATGCATCCACCATATGCTGCACTATGTTCTCCTTCACAGTTACAACATACAGGTCCTTCTCAAAATATCAGCATACTGGGATAACATTATTTCCCATAATGTAATGGTAAAACTTGAACATCCATATATTTTAGATTCATTGCACACTAACTGAAATATTTCAGGTCTTTTATTGTCTCAATACGAATGATTTTGGCATACAGCTAATGAAAACCCTAAATTCCTATCTCACAAAGTAAGCATATTTCATCCGACCAATAAAAGAAAAGTGTTGTTAATCCCAAAAAAAAAAACGTCAGTCTTTAAATAATTACATACAGTTATCCACTCAATACTTGGTCGGGAATCCTTTTGCAGAAATGACTGCTTCACTGTGGCGTGGCATGGAGGCAATCAGCCTGTGTTGCTGCTGAGGTGTAATGGAGGCCCAGGATGCTTCGATTGCGGCCTTTAGCTCGTCCAGAGTGTTGGGTCTTGCGTTTCTCAACTTTCTCTTCACAATGTCCCACATGGGGTTCAGGTCAGGAGAGTTGGCAGGCAATTGACCCCAGCGATACCTTGGTTAGTAAACCATTTACCAGCGTTTTTGGCACTGTGAGCAGGTGTCAGGTTGTGCTGAAAAATGAAATCATCTCCATAAAGCTTTTCAGCAGATGGAAGCATGAAGTGCTCCAAAATCTCCCGATAGCTAGTTTACCCTGCCCTTGATAAAACACAGTGGACCAACACCAGCAGCTGACATGGCACCCCAGACCATCACTGACAGTGGGTTCTTGACACTGGACTTCTGGCATTTCCTTCTCCCCAGTCTTCCTCCAGACTCTGGCACCTTGATTTCCAAATGACACGGTGGCTCTGGAATTGGCCCTTCTCCACAATCTTCCTCAGGGTCCGGTCACCTCTTCTTGTTGTGCAGCAGTTTTCTGCCTCACATTTTCCTTCCCACAGACTTCCCACTTAGTTGCCTTGATACAGCACTCTGGGAAACAGCCTATTCGTTCAGCAATATCTTTCTGTGTCATACCCTCTTGCTTGAGGGTGTCAGTGATGGCCTTTTGGACAGCAGTCAGGTCTGCACTCTTACCCATGATTGGAGTTTTGAGTGATGAACCAGGCTGGGAGTTTTAAAGGCCCGGGAATCTTTTTCAGCTGTTTAGAGTTAATTTGTTGATTCAGAAAATTAGGTGCACAGCTCGTTTAGAGACCTTTTTCAGGATATACTAATTTTGTGAGATAGGAATTTTGGGTTTTCATGAGCTGTATGCCAAAATCATCATTATTATTAAGACAATAAAAGACCTGAAATATTTCAGTTAGTGTGCAATGAATCTAAAATACATGAACGTTCAAATTTTATCATTACATTATGGAAAATAATGAACTTTATCACAATATGCTAATAATTTGAGAAGGACCTGTAATTTTAACAGTTTACAAATATATAGACAAAATGGGGGTAATTTTCCATAAAACGTGTAGCCGTTTTAACCAAACTAAGACTCTAGATGGAACCAATAAAAAAAAATTTCCAAGACCAACAGCGTCTTATTTCTCTGTGTTCTGAGTTGTGAGTGCGCTTTAAAACAAAATATTTACACAATGATTCTCTTTATTGATTTAATATTATGGATTTCTTCTTATATTTCATTATAAAAGAAAAAATTATGAAATATGAATCTTCTTAAGGTTTCTCTTGTCAGGTGTACATGTTGAACGAATAAATATAATCTATTTTATTCCTACAGGTCAAAAATACAGTTGAAGATGTTGTTCATTTACTGCCCATCCACTAGGGGGCAGTAAGTCATCCTATATGGAGCGGTCAACCGCCGGATAAGGCAAAAGAAGCATAAGGTTGTCGTTCAATAGTCGTTTCAACTCAAACGTCGTTATTTGTGGACCTTAGAACTGAAATATACAACACTTTTACGGGAGGCTCAAACAACTAAACATATGTTTGGCAGATACAGAACGTCGAAAACAAGATCTGTGTTATTTTTTTTTCGAAATGAGTGAGTTGTGCCATCGTGGTTTAATTAGCCTCTAAAGCTAACGCTAGCTAGTCTAAGAGTGGAAGCTAGCTGCATTCCCTTCCACATTCAAACTAAATAGGACTTTTCTTTTAACTTTCGTGGAATTACAACCTCACTGCTCTAATCAGAAAGCAATGGGCTCTTCAAAAAAGCACAAGGAAAAGAGCCGCGAGAAAGACGCGGAGGAGCGCCGCCGTGAACATAAGAAACATCGTCACAGAGACAGAGATGCTTCAGATCGGGATAAAGACAGACGGAAACGCTCCAGATCAAGAGAAAGAAGCAGACGAGAGAGTCACAGTAAAGCTGAAAGAAGCACCGGAGAACCTCGGGTAAAGAGGGAGAAGGTTGATGCTGGATATGAGGAGAGCAACACGGATCTACAGCCTCAGAGCGCCAGCGGAGATGCCTCTCTCAGTATCGAGGAGACGAACAAACTCCGCGCAAAGCTGGGCCTGAAGCCCCTGGAGCTGAATGATGGCAAGAAGGAGCTGGGGACCAAAGAAGAGCCCATGGTGGCTGAGACCATCAACCCTGTTCTGATCCGACAGCAGAAGGAGATGAGGGAAAAGCTCGCTGCTATGAAAGAAAAACGCCTGCTTAACCAAAAGCTGGGTAAAGTCAAAGCGATCGGTGACGATGATTGGCTGGATGACACCGCAGCTTGGGTTGAAAAAAGTAGAAAGATGGCCAAAGAGAAGGAGATGGCAGAAAAGAGAGCCAAACTCCTCGAAGAAATGGATGAAGAGTTTGGAGTTAGCAGCTTGGTGGAAGAGGAGTTCATTCAAAGCAAACGAGACTCTTATTCCTCACAGGATCTGAAAGGTCTCAAAGTGCAACACAAGGTGGACTCCTTTGCTGAGGGCCAAACTGTTATCCTTACTCTACAAGACAAAGGCGTGCTGGAAGAGGAGGAAGATGTGCTCGTAAACGTTGGAATCGTGGACAAGGAGAAAGCTGAGAAGAATGTGGAGTTAAAAAAGAAGAAGCCCGACTACAAGCCCTATGAAGAAGAGGAGAGTGTGGACGATATGGTTTCCTTCAAGCCCCAAACGGTGCTCTCAAAGTATGATGAAGAAATCGAAGGGGAGAAGAAAAAGAGCTTCCGGTTGGGTGCGTGGGGCTTTGCAGATGGGGAGCGAGAACGTGAGCTCCAGGCAATGAAAGAATCACTGCGAAATCAGGCCCAGTCCCTGGAGATGCCCGCTCTCACCATTGCCTCTGAATACTACTCTCCTCAAGAGATGGTTGGCTTCAAAAAGACGAAGCGCAGAGTCAAGAAAATCCGTAAGAGGGAGAAGCTCACTATTGCAGACGAACTTCCGGATGACACCCGCACCACCGATTTTGGCTCAAGGGTACGAGGAAGAGGCCACAAACAGGTGGAGGACAAGGAGGAGGAACCAAAGAAAGAAGGAAAAGCTAAAGATGTCAACAAGCTGCCACATGAAACTCCCCAAATGTCAGATGATATCAGGATGGCAGAGATGGATATAAGCGACGAGGATGATTATGTTCCTCCAGAGCCGACTGTGATTGAGGAGGATGAGGCAGAGCAGGAGCTACAAAAACAGCTGGAGAAGCAGAGGAAGCTGAGGCAGAAACAGCTCCTCAAAGACTCTGGAGAGAAGGTGGCAGAGAAACTTAAAGTGCTTGCCAAAGCGAATGATGACAATGACCCTGACAAGAAAAACAACATTGTCTTCAATGCCACCTCAGAGTTCTGCAGAACTCTGGGAGATATTCCAACTTATGGACTCTCTGGCAACAGAGAGGACCAGGAGGATATTATTGATTTTGAGCAAGAAGAAGAGAAAGATGACGGTGGGGGTTCAGACTCTGAAATGGATGAGAATATTGGGTGGAGCACAGTTAACCTGGATGAAGAGCAACAACAGGCCGATCTCTGCACAGCCTCTGCCACCATTCTGGACGAGGAGCCCATCGTCAACTCCGGCCTTGCAGCTGCACTGAAGCTGTGTACAAACAAAGGCCTGTTGGACACTCAGATGCAGAAGGTAGCTCGTGTCAAAGCACCGAAAGCTGCCCTGCCAAATGATAATTACTGCATCGAAGACAAAATGGGCTTTGATGACAAGTACAGTCGCAGAGAGGAATACAGAGGGTTCACGCAGGATTTCAAGGAGAAAGATGGCTATAAGCCTGACGTCAAGATCGAGTATGTGGACGAGTCCGGGCGGAAACTCACTCCAAAAGAAGCTTTCAGGCAGCTTTCACACAGATTCCACGGGAAAGGTTCCGGAAAGATGAAAACAGAGAAGAGGATGAAAAAGCTAGAGGAAGAGGCGCTGCTAAAGAAGATGAGCAGCAGCGATACTCCTCTCGGAACGGTGGCTTTGCTTCAAGAGAAACAGAAATCTCAGAAAACACCATACATTGTGCTTAGTGGGAGTGGGAAGAGCATGAATGTAAACAACATCACAAAATAAGTTCCTGGGCTGTAATGTACTAGATAAACACAGAAATCAATGCAGACATACAAGATATCATTTTAGATTTTTTTTTTTTCTTGATTTTTTCCCCCGTGCTAACTGGTAAAAATTTAATTGTTGATAAAAAAGAATAAGTCTGGCAAGTATTGAAATTTAATTTGTTAATGTTATAAAGTGAACTTCATTTTAAAGTGCAGGACAGATTCACTGATGTATGAGAATGTGAAAAATTAATATGTTTGAACTAAAGTTTGGTGAAATTGTAAATCTTTTCTCTTTGGTTTAATATTTGAATTAAAAAGAAGCATTTCCTTTTAATTTCCTAAGTTGCATTGTTTTTTTGTGAGCTCAACTGATTGCCAAACCTGTTAACATAGATAAAACATTCTAAACAGCTTGATTGGCTTAAAAATGTTTGATAACACATTAAAATTCAAAGCTGTTTTATATTCAGCTGATATTTTTTGCTGTTAGACAAACGGACAAAGTACCTTTTAATGTGTTGAAACAAATTTTATATCGGGTAAAAAGTAAAAACACAGGGTTTTTTGTAGTATTAAACAAAAATCCTTATTTGGAAACCAATTTCCTATTATGGTTTGTAAGATGGAAAAAAAGACTTGTGTGCAGCTGCTAAATTTTACAAGATGCATTTATACATGCTACAGTAATCACATTTTACACCAATAATACAATTTAACCCCTACTTTGCCCTGAGAATAAGATGCTCAGCAAACATTTACAATTTATACATGTAAGAGTATCCATGCGTGATGACATAATTAAATCCATAAAAATATTTTTTTTCAAGTTCTTACATTTTGAGGACCATGTGGTAGTTTTTTCAACGTTATCAACAATATATTAAATTATTTAAATATATGACTGGAATACAACTAGAAATAAATATGTTGAATAATTTTCAAATTTTCCTGATTTTACAATTGAAAGTTAGATGTACGTTTTTTTAATTCTGCCCATCATAGTAATTAGTTAACTGGACTGGGATTTTGTTTTGTAGATTTCTCATACATGTTATATTATTGGGGGTAGTTTTCAGCGGAACCAATATGAACGACTGAGAGGTTGGCCGAACAGCATTTCGATGCACAACGTGTAGCTAAGCTAACGCCTCCAGAGCTACGCCTCTTCTAACGAGATGCTCCCCGACAGGTAATATACATGATGGAGCTCATTAAATGGGAACATTGGCTTAATAACGCCGAGTTGCTGGAACCTCTAACTTTCACGTCAAACGAAGCTCAAACTTGTTTTTTTTCCCTGCGGTTTAGCTCGCTATGAGCTTAAAGACAGCCAGAGTTCTAAGTAGCTTTGATGCGAAGAGCTCTGGCATCTATTTCCTCGGTGTAACTTATCCTCTCTCGATCCAGACCGTGTTAATTTGATCCTGGAATGTCGTCTATGGAAATAGCTTAGCTGTTGTTTTTGTTGCTTGTTATTTTACTAGTTTGCGGGTTTAAGACTATTAAAGCTATTAAGTTCTGGCTTTCGACAGTTTATAACTTGCCTGTTAACGGACTTGTTACGTACAGTGACTTTGCTTATTCTGAAATGCACCTAGTAACTGCCAATACTAATGAAACTAAAATAGAATTTAAGGCAATAAGATATAAAGCAAGACATTATACATTACAATAATAGAATGAAGATAAAAAAAAATGTAAAAAGATAATGGAAGAACTGCACAGAATGTACATTTGTGCGTATAAAATATATATGTATATAAAAAAAATAAAAAATGTAATAATCGCTTTGCAAAATAACTGATTATTTTGCAAAGCGATTAATCTGTTTATTTAATATTTTTCGATTAATCGATTACTGATTAGATACCGAAAGGTTCCTCAAAGAAGACTTTTTACGAAATTGAACCTGATTAAATAGATTTTTTCCACTTAAAGAGTATTGGATAGAGCATACGGACAATTTTAAATGCAAAATGTTTAAATATGTTTTTACAATCTTAGTGTAATTACTGCTCTATGTGGGTTGCTCTGTCAACTAAAGGCATATTTTAGAGTCTCTATACTCCAGTTAATTATTAATCGATTACTAAATTAGTTGAGGATTATTTCAATAATCGATTAATCACAATTAATCCGATGAATTGTTTCAGCCCTAAAAGTGTGTTTCTCGGTTTATTTTAAAGCAGAGATCTGAAATAAGTGGGTCCACAGCCCTTTTTGCTTCTAAATAAAACACCAGAGCAAACATTTGCTTATTAAAATAAATTATTTGTTTGAGAACATCTGCAAACAAACACCGTCATGAAAACCAGGGAATAGACCAGACGGGTCAGTAGTAAAAGTTGTGGAGAAGTTAAAATAGGATTAGATCTAAGGAAAATATTTCAGGCTTTGAATATATTATAGACCACTGTGTGATTCATCATCTGTAAGTAGAAAAAGTCTGCTGCATTTACTCATCTACCAAAGCTTGGTTCATAAAGGCACGACTAGCAGCTGGCACTGCATCAGAGATGTTCTAAAAAATGTTGATTTGGGGGGCTGATTGCAAATGCAAGCCACATTTGACTGATGGACAGACACACTGTTGTGGATCGTTTAATAGAATGCATGTTAGAAAATTGTATTTTGCATCTTTAACAGTTTTTTTTTAGTTGTTGAATTTCTCTGTAAAGTAGAACACTCAATTTCTTTTCACAGTATTTTGTTTATGAGCTTTATTGCTCTATCAGATTTCTAAAGCGTTTTATCTAACTGGCTTATGGTCACATCAAATTTGTCAAAAAATGGAATAAAGATGCATATTGCAATCATTTGTACATATTCAATATGTGCTTTCACTCTCCAGGGTTTAAACCCGTTTGGTGAAATCACAGGCCGTTGTGATGTCGGAACCCAAACCTCCCACTCCTACTACACCAACCCCTGAAGACTCGTACGAGGGTTGGCTCTTCAAATGGACTAACTACATAAAAGGTTACCAGAGACGGTGGTTTGTTCTCAGCAATGGATTGCTATCTTACTACAGGTAGGTTTTACAATATTTTTTTGTAAAATAATGCCTAAAGCCTGTAAAATGTAGAAAAAATATGCTTTTGTTGTTTAGTATGAAAACATGCTTAGAATCTCTTCACGTTTACATGGAAACCTAAAACTAGAAAATTAGCTGTAATGTTTTTTTTTTTTCTTTTAAAAGTTTGAAATATGGGCTGACATTGCTGTCAGATTTGAACTTTGCTCTTATGGATAACAAATAATTACAATTATTATATATTTCACTGAATTACAATCATATTTCAAGGAAAATCACAATGATATTTTACTGGAAGCACAACAGCGTATTGTGGTTAGAATAGAATAAAATGACTTTATTGTTAAAGTGCACTTCTGTCTTACACTTGCACCCAAGTTTCTTACCAATCTGTGTTTATGTGTTTGATTATGTTTACCTCTATGAGAGAAATTTGATGAATGTGGTTGGTGTCGCTAGAAGAGCGCAATATAAATTCAGTCCATTCAACATTGTCTTTTTTGTGGAAATTGGACTTTATGATTCCTCCTTAATGTTTGTGAATATTTTTGCTGCTTTTTAAATTAACACACATTCATTATTTAGAACTAACGTATGCCTTTGGCTGTAAAAGTTAGGGGTGTTTTAATACTCTATTTTACCTCTATTTCCAGATCTCAGGCTGAGATGGGTCACACTTGCAGAGGCACGATTAATTTGGCCACTGCCAACATTGCTGTGGAGGACTCGTGCAATTTTGTCATTTCTAATGGAGGGGCACAGACTTACCACCTGAAGGCCAACTCTGAAATTGAGCGCCAGCGATGGATCACTGCACTGGAACTTGCTAAGGCAAAAGCTGTTAGCATGCAGGAGGAATCTGGTGAGATAAAGTCTGAACTCGGACGGTGGTTAAAGAGGATGTGATCATTTTATTTTCACCGATAGAGATGACGCTGCATTGTTCTTCTTGTCTCTGTAAACAGATGACTCTGGTGATGAGTTCTGTGTAGTCGTCCCTGTTTCAGGACAGGGCGGTGGCTCTGATATATCAGAAGTTCAGTCTACATTGCGCACCCTGAGCAGCAAGGTGGAGGACCTTACCACCTGCAATGATCTAATTGTTAAACATGGCTCTGCTCTCCAAAGGTAAATATCTAAGAGATATACTTTTAATTTTGGCATTCATACTTTATTTAATAGCCTTTTTCTTGTTTCACATATTAGGTCTTTATCAGAGCTGGAGGGTGTGCGTATTGGAACGGACATGGGGGAAAAGATCAGACAAGTCACAGAAAGGGCCACACTTTTCCGAATCACCTCTAATGCCATGATAAATGTAAGGTTTAGTCAGTTAAGAGTGACTTAAACTGCTACTGAGGTGTGTTTTTGTTTTTCTCTCTGTTTTTACTGCCATATGGGTGTTTTTATCCTTAAGAGTTGTAGAGACTTCCTCTCCATAGCCCAGAGCCACAGTAAGCGCTGGCAGAAGGCCTTGCATACTGAGAGGGACCAAAGGATTCGTCTGGAGGAGACTCTGGAACAACTAGCCAAACAGCACAACCACTTGGAGAGGGCCTTCAGAGGGGCTACAGTTTTGCCATCTTCCTTGAGCAATCCCAACTTAAACATTAAAAGTAAGGGTCTCATTTTGGATGTCTATCTTTTTAGGCTAATAGCAAGGTTCCAGTACAAGTTTTAAAGGGCAGAAAAAGAGAAAATGTTATGCAATCATTTTAGTATTTTTTTTATTCCATTAACTACAAGCTAAAAAAAACAGAATTATTTTCCAAAATGACAACAGGTTTTTCTTTGATTTTTCACATGAAATTCCATAATTTTCCCTAAGTTTTAAACGCATTTCAAAATCAAAAACTAGTTTTTTCTAATCCGAGTCGGGATTTGATGCTAGACACATTTTTGGAACTTAAAGCTGTATGGAGAGATATTTGTGCCATCGGTTTGAGCGCGCAGGAACCAATCCGAGCGCGCAGTGAGACAACACGCGCGCGCGCAAAACCGGTCTGGCGCGCGCTCAACTCTGAAAAACCCTCTCAACACACTGTTCTCGCGCTCAGTTTCATCTCTGCGCGTGCTCGAATCCGTCTCTGCTCGCGCTCGCTCGACCTGCTCTCTCTCCGCGCTCAACACCAGCTGTGCGCTCAGCTGTTTCTCCGCTCGCTCGACTCTCTGCGCTCGCAACTTCAGCAATGTATGTAAATGAACCATACCATCAGCCAATCACACCCAGCTTCTTTTCATCCAATGAAAGCATTCCTTCCTTCTTCTTCTTTTCTATCATGGCGGATCGCAAGCAACTTTAAGGTGCATACCGCCACCTACTGTTCATGAGTGTGTAGCAACATTGTTTTACAGCTATTAAATTCTATTTTTTTATTTTGCATTCTGAAGATAACTAAATAATGCTTTCCTTAATCTATAAACATCCTTTATATTTCCTTTATTTCCCAATAATCCTTTAAGACTCCATTCTTGGCCTGTCATTTCAACTACTCTTCTCAATTTTTCCCTTTCAGGTTCATATGTTTTACAGTTCATTAATATGTAAGCATTCGTTCCAAATACTACATCCGGTTAGATGAAAAAAAAATACATAAATAAATAAAAACACAACCAGGAAAATCAAACAACTCTTACAGTTATTTTGTCAACATTCCTAAGATAGTAGTATAAAATATCTTGAATTATCTCAAATAAACTTCAGTAAAACAGTTATTAGATCATTGCCTCATCCATCTCTTTTACCTGCTATTGACATGGATTTAAATTTGATGTTTTAAAAGAAAAATAAGGAGGATATTTCAGGTTCCAGTATGGTTCAACAATATATAGATAAAAAATATTATGGATATGTTAAATTTTTTATGGATGCTTCAAAATATTCCAATATTAGGAATGGTGTTTTGTTTTAGTTTCATAATTTATTTTTAAATCGGGTAAAAGAATCAGTGATGGAATTCAGCCTACAAAGGAGAAATGTTTTGGATCATATTGGCCTTACAATGGATTGAAGAAATCGTTCCATTAAGAAGTTTAGTTTGCTCTGATTTTAGATCAGCGACCGTTATATTAATTTAAACGCAATTATTCAGACAGCAGACCTGATCTGAAATTTAACAATTATTATTTAGAAGACCTTTTACAGATGGACTCTAAATAAGAGGGTTATTCTTTATTATATATATTAAAAAGAATAATTTGATAAACAGGATTTTTCAGTTGGTGGCGGTAATTGTTGTTTGCCAACCTCCATAAAAAACAACAAAAAGAAGAAACACCCGCCACAAAAGCTAAGAGTAAGGCCAATATGATCCAAAACATTATCTATATACTGTTGAACCATACTGGAACCTGAAATATCCTCCTTATTTTTCTTTTAAAACAGCAAATTTAAATCCATGTCAATAGCAGGTAAAAGAGATGGATGAGGCAATGATCTAATAACTGTTTTACTGAAGTTTATTTGAGATAATTCAAGATATTTTATAGTACTATCTTAGGAATGTTGACAAAATTACTGTAAGAGTAGTTTGATTTTCCTGATTGTGTTTTTATTTATTTATTAATTTTTTTTTCATCTAACCGGATGTAGTATTTGGAACGAATGCTTACATATTAATGAACTGTAAAACATATGAACCTGAAAGGGAAAAATTGAGAAGAGTAGTTTAAATGACAGGCCAAGAATGGAGTCTTAAAGGATTATTGGGAAATAAAGGAAATATAAAGGATGTTTATAGATTAAGGAAAGCATTATTTAGTTATCTTCAGAATGCAAAATTAAAAAATAGAATTTAATAGATGTAAAACAATGTTGCTACACACTCATGAACAGTAGGTGGCGGTATGCACCTTGAAGTTGCTTGCGAACCGCCATGATAGAAAAGAAGAAGAAGGAAGGAATGCTTTCATTGGATGAAAAGAAGCTGAGTGTGATTGGCTGATGGTATGGTTCATTTACATACATTGCTGAAGTTGCGAGCGCAGAGAGTCGAGCGAGCGGAGAAACAGCTGAGCGCACAGCTGGTGTTGAGCGCGGAGAGAGAGCAGGAGAGCAAGCGCGAGCAGAGACGGATTCGAGCACGCGCAGAGATGAAACTGAGCGCGAGAACAGTGTGTTGAGAGGGTTTTTCAGAGTTGAGCGCGCGCCAGACCGGTTTTGCGCGCGCGCGTGTTGTCTCACTGCGCGCTCGGATTGGTTCCTGCGCGCTCAAACCGATGGCACAAATATCTCTCCATAAAGCTGCAGTCTGTAACATTGAGAAGAGAGCAGATTTCGACTGAAAATTTGAAGAAAAACAGGTTTCACGCCACTCCCCCACCCTCTCTGCTTCACTCATGCCCCCCCTCCAAGCTCCACCCCTCTTACAGCATCTGCGCGGCTACCGCATGCGACCAGAAGGGGGGGGCGGGATTCAGCGTGTGTGAGCTGTGATTGACACTCCATCAGACGCTCCTCTGGCTGTGATTGGTTGTTTTGACTCGTCCCGAATGATTCTTTCCAGATTGAAATACAGGCAGTAGGCGGGACCAATTGAAGCAGTTTTTTTCACAGGTTACATATCACATGTACTGCTGTCTGGGCATAGGGACAGTTTTAGCCAATATGACAAAAAAGTGATTTTTAAAAACTTACAGACTTCAGCTTTAAGGCTCTTTCATTTTGGCCCCTAATTTATAGCCATGTGTGATGATTTCCTTCCTTTCATCTCCATTTTCCTTATGAAACAAATAATTTCTTTCACGTATATATGGTCAAATACGGATTACAGAGAGAAAGGGTTACAGAGAAGACTCCAACCTACCAAACATCTCTATTACATGTTTTCTACAGATTGTCAACTAATTGATACATCATTTTAAAGCAACTCAGAAGTGAGTACATAGCATACCTCTAGATACTACTAGATCAATATTTGGTATGAAACATCTAATGGCTCCATTTTACACCAAAAAATGGTTAAGTGAACAAGGACCAAATTTAAGAAGTTACGAATGGGTAAAATCACCTGCCATTATATTAGGTACTCCGGTTCAAGGAGATTTCCAAGCCCAGCCATGTCTAAGGAGTACTTAAAAGTCAGGAGAGATTAAATAAACTGGTTTGATATCCTGGAAAGCCAGCAGCAGTAGCTCCACACACCACCTATTAACACTATGCTGAAGTTCAAATCTTGGAGCTGAAGACCAGCTGCAGAAGATCACATTGTTTTGCCATTTATACCTGCAAAGGTTCACTAAAACTGTGAGTGATTCCAAAAATGTAGTGTTAGTTGATTGGATTTAAGCTGCCACTGTTTTATGCCACTAAGTGTCTGTTCAACCACCTGAGCCCAATGTGGTAATAGGAACTTTGCCTCATGCATGATTAGAAGACAAACGTTCATCCACTGTGAGATGCTACCCTGCCAAGATAGAAGAGGCTCTGTAAAAAATGTCACTGCCTTCGTGTTGGAGGTGTGCCATGAAGAAATAAGAGAGTTCTGAATAAAGGAGGGGATTCCATTTAAGAGAGGTGGAGAAGTGTGTTAACAATAAGAAGAAAAGCACCATGAGTCAGGAATTGGGTTGTAAAGAATCTGAATTTAATGTTGAAATAAATGACGGTTACATGGACCCAAACACCAAAGAAGCAGTGGAATAACCAGGCTAACAGAACTGTTTTTTTTTTTTTTCAAACAGATAATCAAGCCCAACTAGCTAACTGTAATGTACTCCAATTTTCATTATTGTTTACAAAATGTTAGAAAAATGTATGAAAATTGTAAAATATCAAACATTTGGAATCCTTATACCTCCACTGTCCCTTCGTAGACCTGCTGGAATGTCCACCGATTCAGGGTTTGTTTTTCTAAGTTTATCGTGCTATATCATTTAAGGTGGTGTCTCAGTAAAAGGCGATGCCAGTGACGAGGACGATGACAATGAGTTCTTTGATGCAATGGAAGACCCGACAGGATTCATCACTGTTCCTGCTGACCCCAAGTACCATAGGTATTACCCATTTCTTCTTTCTATTTTTCTGAGGCAGGTTCTCTGATGATGGTGGATGTTTTATCTTCTGTGTTTTCCAGGAGATCTGGCAGTAATGTCAGTGGGCTAAGCAGTGAAATGGGAATGGACGATCAGTCGGTAAACATGCCGACTTTTATTATTTGATCAGCTCTGATTCAACGGGCTAGATTTAGACTAACATTTAAAATATTTCTCCTTCTCTCAGTTTGATGAACTCTCCTTGGCATCCAATTCAGAGTCTTTGCCTCCAGTTGAGCTGGAGCCAGTCAGGCAAAGAAGGACTCGTATTCCTGACAAACCCAACTACTACCTTAATTTGTGGAGCATCATGAAGAATTGCATTGGAAAAGAGCTCTCAAAGATACCAATGCCTGTAAGAACGAGTCAACTTACTGACATCTGGGTTCTTCTTTCTTTTTTGTTGTAATAATAGTACTAAGTAATTGTCCTTTTACCTCTGTTTTTTTTTTTCCAAGGTAAATTTCAATGAGCCACTGTCGATGCTTCAGCGTCTTTCTGAAGATCTTGAATACCACGAGCTCTTGGATAAAGCTGCAAAGTGTCATAACTCCTTAGAGCAGATGTGTTATGTGGCAGCCTTTACCGTCTCTTCCTACTCCACCACAGTCCACCGCACAGGAAAGCCTTTCAATCCCTTATTGGGGGAAACCTTTGAGCTTGATCGGATCAAAGAGTCTGGTTATCGCTCACTTTGCGAACAGGTGCATTTAACAAAAAGTTTGCATGATTACACTGTTTATGTTCAGTGTCAGTTTACAAGTGATGCACAGATGTCTGATGGAAGCACTGCATTCATTTTTCAAACAATGTTGCGAACCAGCCGTCTTTACTCTGCATACTAACTCCTTAGGTCAGTCACCACCCTCCAGCTGCAGCTCACCATGCCTTCTCTGAAAAGGGCTGGACGCTTAGACAGGAGATAATGCTGGCAAGCAAATTCAGAGGAAAATATCTTTCAATCATGCCTTTGGGTAAGTTTGAATTTGTTTTTGTAAAATTGTAGCTAACAATAATGATCATAGGATGCAATAAAAGGGTTAGTTCCTGCAGACTTGGAACAATACAGAATTTGCTTTTAGCGTTTTTTCATGCCTCAAAACTACATTAATAAAAAAATGATTTATGTCCTCGTATACCCTGTATATAATAGAATGAATGGAATAGAATTTAACTTTATTGTCATTGCACCCTCATGAGTACAAAGCAACGAAATGTGGTTTGCATCTATCCAGAAGTGCTATACAGGATATAAATATTATAACAGGTGTATGTACAACCAAAAAGTAATAGTTTGGGACTGTAAAAAGTTGTGTATAAATATAAATATGAATATGGGAGCTACATGCACAGATTATACAGAATATACAGGAATGTTAGGAAAAGAATTATATATGTATTTGCAGGTTTATAATACAAGATAAATAATGGCAGATAAGATTTACAGATTATATACATTATATTATTGGATGATATATTTAAAAGCTCCAGGAAATAGTTGCTGTGCTGTAAAATATACCCCATCATAATTTTAAACATCATTATATCTGTCACTTAATGAGATTAAATTCAATGTATGTTATTGCATTAAGCCACATTAGGAAGGGTCCCTTTAAAATACACTTGCCAGCTAGACTAATTAACACCATGTACATAGTCAGTCAGCAGAAACAGTTTAGAACCATTCAGATAACTACAGATGTTATGCAAAAACATAAAAGAAGCTGTTGCAGCAGCCAGTTGTTGAAATTTGAACTTGAACTGAAGCTGCCTTTTAATAATGGCTTTCATATAATGAATCTTCCACTGAGGCTCTATTTTCAGAGTTAGTCGTTAGACTTGAAATGGCCCTTAAACTTATAGATAAAAAAAAAAAAAAAGATGAATATTTAAATAGGAATGTATAATTTGATTTTACTTTGCATTAATCATTTATTTTATGTTGGTCTCTCATATGAAATGCTGATCAAATACATAAACGTTTTTGGTTGTTAAATGACAGAAATGTGTAAAAGTTCAAAGGATATAAAAATTTGAAATTATTGTTTATCCACAATACAAATTGACCAAGAAATATTCAGTCTGGAAAAATGTCAACTAATATAAAATTCATAGGAACTATCAGCCCATTTTATGGCCTTTGGACAAGCGGTTGGTGAGCCATTCCACATTTCATAAGTGAACTTCTAACCAGCATGGAGATAACTTGCCATCAGTTTCTTTTAGAGTAGAATAAACCTCTGTTCTTATCTCCATGGCCCTGTCTGTCACCAGGTTCTATCCAGTGTATATTTGATAAGAGCAACAACCACTACTCTTGGAAAAAAGTTACTACGACCGTACACAACATTATAGTTGGCAAATTATGGATAGATCAGGTAACAATGTCATATTCGTAAAAGATTATGTTCAATATCTATTGTAAATCACTTTTGTTCTTACTATCAAAATATTTGTTTTTGTATTTCTTTGCGCAGTCAGGGGAGATAGATGTGGTGAACCACACTACAGGAGATCGCTGTCACCTCAAGTTTGCTCCCTATAGCTACTTCTCTAGAGATGTTCCAAGGAAGGTGAGCCATTGTTTAAAAATGTCCTTTGATTCCTTTTCATGTTATCAAACCCATCCCTTCTTTTCTAAGCTTGGGGAATAATACATTTCAATCTATCTTAAAAACTTAATTTCATTATATTGTGAGATCTTAACAAAATGGACGGCTAGACCAGTTAGTCCAACATCTGTTCTGATTGCAGTTTAACAGTGTTTACACTATGGCCCAATCCCAAACTAGCCCTTGAGCACTAATCCTCCATTTGGAGTCCCCGCAGAGGATCCGCCACTTTAAAAGCCATCCCAAACCAAGTAGTGGGTAGGGTGAGGGGACCATTCAGCGCTAAAATAGCGGGTCTGCATCGGTGCAGGCTCACTGGAATTTGGCAGCAGCTTCAACACCACCTAATAGCAAAGGAAACGCATGCATTCTAATGTAAGTTCTGCATCTTTGTCACGTTGACAGAAAATCAGAAAAAAGTTAGGAAAAAGAAAAAAGACAGATCCTCTTTCTAATAGTTTTGATTTACTGTATACAGAAAGGGGCAAATGTTTGATTGCATGTCAACCTGCAGCACAGAGCTACAAACTGATACATGGCGTCACTGTGTTGCTATGGCTAAGGCTTCTTTCCTTTTCCGTTGGAAGGAATATACCCATTCTCGTTTATACCCCCCATCTTAAATGAAGGCGACACTCAATAGTTAAGGGTTAATGCTTAGGTGGGGGTTTGGGATTGGGCCTTTCTGCCATGTACTGTATGAGTGCAGTATGTGGTCCTTTCCCTACAAAGGGAGAAAATGGGAAAGGAAGAAAAAGGAAAAAAAGCAACAGTTTCAAAGGCAATAAATTAAAACACAATAACAATGGAGTGAAATAAAACTTTCCAGTGTTGCAGTATCTAAAATTTGTGGATTTTTTAAAATCTTTTTTTCCTTACAGGTGACTGGAGTTGTGACAGATAAGGATGGGAAGGCTCATTACGTGCTGTCAGGAACATGGGATGAGAAGATGGAGTTTTCTAGGATAATGCAAAGCAGTAAAGGCGAGAATGGCACCGAAGGCAAACAGAGGACCGTTTACCAAACCCTCAAACCAAAAGAAATCTGGAGAAAGAACCCTTTACCGTACTTTTTATTTATTCATATACTTCCAATATATTTAGAGAATTATCAAAATGCCACTCCTTCAGATTGTCAGTTTTTGCCATGAACGCTTTCTGATGATGTCTTTGCAGTGAGGGAGCAGAAAACATGTACTTTTTCTCCTCCCTTGCGTTGACACTCAATGAACCTGAGGAGGGGGTGGCTCCAACAGACAGCCGGCGACGTCCGGACCAGAGGTTGATGGAAGAAGGCCACTGGGATGAAGCTAACGCTGAGAAACAAAGGCTGGAAGAAAAACAGCGCTCTACTCGACGTGAAAGGGAAAGAGATGCTGCTAAAGCAGCCACCACACCTGAAGAAGGTAAGGAACATCTAGAAAACTGTATTATGTCCATCCCTCTTTCTTTCACCTTAAATGTTCATCCCTAAAACCAATTATGTTTGTGACCTCACAGCTCATTTAACATGTGCTGTTTTAACATCCTTATTTGTGTTTTAACTCCTCCATGTTTGTTCCATTTAGCTCATGCACATGACACCAGCACCACAAGTGAGGTTTCTGATGAAAGCAAGTATTAATGTGTAGTTCACCTTAGAAAAAAATGCTTTTAAAAGTACTATGTGTTGCATTTGTACTTAAATGAGAAAATTGTTTGTATTTAGCCGCAACAGACATGCAGATTTTAATCCTTATTGCTCTAATTTACAACCTAATGCTAAAGCAGATGTGGACAGATTTGCTGCAAAGAAGTATAAAAAGCTTTGAAAGAACTCTTTAGTCAATTATTATTGACTAAACATTTTATTACATTGTTATTCAGACCCTTTGCTGTGATTCTCATATTTAACTCGCATGCTGTCCAATTCTTCCGATCCTCCTTGAGATGGTTCTGCTCCTTCACTGGAGTCCAGCTGTGTTTAATTTAACCAATTGGACTTGATCAGGAAAGGCACAAACCTGTCTATATAAGACCTTCACGCTCAGAGTACACATCAGAGCAAATGAGAATCATGAGGTCGAAGGAACTGCCCAAGGAGCTTAGAGACAGAATTGTGGCTAGGCACAGATCTGGCCAAGGTTATAAAATAATTTCTGAAGCACTCAAGGTTCTTGAGAGTACAGTGGCCTCCATAATCCTTAAACGGAAGAAGCGTGTGACGAACTGAGAGCTCTTCCAGAACTCTTCCTAGACCTGGCCATCCAGCCAAACTGAGCAATCATGGGTGAGGAGCCTTGGTGAGAGAGGTAAAGAAGGACCCAATGATCACTGTGACTGAGCTTCAGAGATGCAGTAGGGAGATGGGAGAAAGTTCCTCAACTGTCACTGCAGCCCTCCACCAGTCAGGACTTTATGGCATAGTGGCCCGACGGAAGCCTCTTCTCAGTTCAAGACATATGAAAGCCTGCATAGAGTTTGCTGGAAAACACGCGAAAGACTCCCAGACTTTGAGAAAGAAGATTATCTGGTCTGCTGAGACCAAGCTTGAACTTTTTGCCGTTAACTTTAAGCGGTATGTGTGGAAAAAACCAGGCGCTGCTCATCACCTGCCTAATACAATCCCAACAGTGAAACATGGTGGTGGCAGCATATGCTATGGGGGTGTTTTTCCAGCTGTAGGAACAGAACGACTGGTTGCAATTGAAGGAAAGATGAACGCGGCCAAGTACTGGGATATCCTGGAAGAAAACCTCTTCCAGAGTGCTCAAGACCTCAGACTGGGCCGAAGGTTCACCTTCCAACAAGACAATGAACCTCAGCCCACGGGTAAAATAACAAATTGGTGGCTTGGGAACAACTCTGTGACCATTCTTAACTGGCCCAGCCAGAGCCCTGACCTAAACCCAATGGAGCATCTCTGGAGAGACCTGAAACTGTCCGTCCACCAACATGCCCCATCTAACCTGACAGAACTGGTGAGGATCTGCAAGGAAGAATGGCAGAAGATCCGCAAATCCTGGTGTGAAAAGCTTGGGTTGCATCATTCCCAATAGGACTCATGGATGTACTAGCTCAACAGGGTGCTTCTACTTAATACTGAGCAAAGGGTCTGAATACCTATGATAATGTGATATTTCAGTTTTTCTTTATTGATAAATTTTCAAAAATTCTACATTTTTATTTTTTTTTCTGTCAAGATGGGTTGCTGAGTGTACATTAATGAGACATAAAATGAACTTGATTTTAGTAAATGACTGCAATGAAAGAAAGAGTGAAATATTTAAAGGGGTTTGAATACTTTCTGTACCCACTTTACATATATATATGTTCTATAAATGAGCTAAACTTTATTAATTATGCAACACAGCACTCTTTAAACCCTGTGCAACATGGTGTGGATCGGGCTTTTCTTGTGAACTGATCCTTTTCTGTTTGTGGGTGGGTTTACTCAGCTGATGCAGAGGACTCTCCTCCTCTTACACCGGTTGCATGCAAGTATCCTCTTACATTTTCACCCCATGTTCTCAGAATTAACAAAACATCCAGATATCATGTTAAGCTTTCAAATTTCACCCATTTTATTCTGTTTTTTTTTTTTTTCCTTAGCCCCTTATGGACCATCAGTCCCCCCTTACCCAAGCAAGTATAATATCCTGTAGTGAAACTTAGAGATAGATTGAGCCATTATTTATTCTTTAGTATAGGGTTTCGATCCAATTCTGATATCTCAATTTTCTACATATCTGCTGATGTTAATATTTTCTGATCCAGAACACCTTAAAGCTAACAAAATCTGTTTTGGTCGATTTTGTCTCACCCCTGTGGACAAAAAGTGTATTGTTTTGCCTGAAGGAAAACAGCATTTCCCACGAGTAGCACAGAAGTAGCACAAAGTGTGGTAAAATTCTCTGCTGCCTGCAGTTCGGATTGAACTACATTTGTGTTTCCAGTGGCTGTGTGAATGAAGAATAGCGATGAAGTAATGAATCTAATTGTGGTGAAACTATGTTATAAGTTTAACTTTGGTTTTCTACCGTATTCCTGCAACGCTACTACCCCTGACCTCACCTGACTCATCAGCGACTGATGTGGTGACGAGCTTAGAGCCCTGAAACAGATGATTATAAGCTATGTTTGATCATTTGACAGTAAACACACTTATAGATCCCAGCAGGAAGGTGCTGCATTTCCTGAATATCAACCCTGCACAATTTGCACCAATATATAGCTTCTCATTAGCAAGGTTACTGCCAACATCCTAAAAGTTGCTTAGTGCTGTTGAAGGTCATTAAGACCCCCTCTGGCCATGACAGTTGTAATTCAACGTATAATCATAAAACTTATAAAAATAATTTATGAACGTTAAAAAATTACTTTGTGTTAGTTTAAGATGAACCATCTTTTATATTATGACATTGTCTGGGCTGGAGGGGTATAGACTCGAAAACAGCTTCACTATTACATTTTAACGTTAATTTGGGTGTAAAATGTTTGTAAAATAGGTTGAAAAGCCTATTTATTTATCTATCACAAAGCTACTTGGTAATTGTGTAATTTAATTCTGCAGTTCTGCTTCAGTTAGTGAGGTGAAAAAAACCTCAGCAACGCCTTAAGTTCTTGGCACCGATTTTATCACCAGACTGATGCTTTTTTGTCTTGTGTTTTTGCACAAGCCAAATTTGGGCACCATAGAAAACTCTGCAATATAACCTAAACTATAGGAAAATACTCTGTTTTACCTTTACATAAGTACTAATAGATCTTTGGACTTAAGTTAAATATTCACCCAATATTAACACCTCTGTCAGCACCTTCAAGAAGCTGTGGGGGGGGAAAACGGCCTTGTCTTTCCTAACACAGAATGCCGGCATATGCAAAGCAACTTCTGTTTCTAAAACTCGCCCTATTCTTCACATATATCCCAACATTTTTTTATTTATTTAAGTCCTGATTTTCAAACTTTGCTTTTCTTACCAAAAAAAAAAAAAAAAAAAGTTTAAGAATGGGCGGAAAGAGCAGGGAAAAAATACAGCTGAGGGGACATGGTACAATAGTTTAATATTTAGATACGGTCTTTCATCCTAATATCTCAGAAGGCGATGTCCAGCAGCAGAGTTTGCAATGTGTAGCCAGCAGACCCTCTAGTGACTGCAGATATCTTAAACAACCTCCACCTGTATGTATCAAGTATTTAATACGTATATTTCATCATCTAAGTAGGAAACATTTTGGGCTGCGAGCTTAAACATACAGAATAAAATGACCAAATATCTGACATGACAGGACCATGGAGTCTGGACCAGTTTGTTCAGCTCTATTTTTAATCTGATGATTATGTCAGTATCAGTTCCAATACAGACACTGGATCCAATTAGCCATACATCTAGTGAAAATGTAACAACACCTCTAGGCTTGTAGTACACTCTAGATTAGAAGAACCCCGCTTTAGCAGTAAACTGAATATCCTGTTTTTTAATTAATAACTCTCTCTGTGTGGAAGTCAAGGAAGGTCTTTGTGGAGCCCCTGCTAAAAGCAAGTAACATGTCCCTTGTTGTCCTTTGTAACATGTCTCTTAGATGTCATAAATAAATCGGTTATAAAGGGACCTAGAATTTGATCGAAAGATTAATATTTATAAGCTTATTCTAACAGCTATATATCAGAAGTTTGCTCTGCTTTATGTTAAATAGAAACAAGGTTTGCACTGCATTCTTATTCATTTTCCTTCTCTTTTTTTTATAAAGAACAACCATGATAAAGAAAATATAGAGCATACTTGCAGTGCTTTTGATGTAAATTATTGTCTTTTCCTTTTCCTCAGGTGTCCATCCAGATAACTACCAAGCACTGTGGTTCGAGAAGATTCATGACCCGGTGTCTGGAGAGACCTTGCACGTGTACAAGGGAGGTTACTGGGAAGCTAAGGAACAAGGAGACTGGGAATTGTGCCCTGACATCTTCTGATTACAGCTTTCTGATATCTGTAGCCTCAGGATCACAGTGTTATGGACTTCTTTCTCAGAGCAGGTTCTTGCTCATGTGGCATTGTAATTGTTTTGCTGCTGGTTGCGTTGCATTCCTTTAGCCTCATAAGTAAAATCTGGGAATGATGTCACCCCCAACTCAACAACCTCCAGGTGCGAATGAGAAAACCCGTAAGGTATGTTTGGTGTACTTTGCAACTGGTAGAAATCATCATCATCAACACAAGGACATGAGAACACAGAAAATACTGTATGTATTTTTCTCTTTGAAATATGGCATTCTGAAACAAGGTGGAATAAATTGACAAAGAAGTAAACTACAAGTTTGTGATTGCAACAGCCAAGATTTCTTATGCATTAGGCAGCCATATTGGGTTTTCTTTCATGTTTCATAAAACTACTTCCTCTGTCCTGAAACTCAGACTTCGGTGTTTGAATGAAGGCTTGTTCAGATCACATTCTCACTCATCCTGCAATGATACTTTGTTTATCCTCTTCATATTATCTTTTACACAGTGCCTTACAAAAGTATTAATCCGCACTGGAAAATATCGAAATCAGTAATTTTATCTTAAAATAAGTGCATTTGTTCTTGGATTGAGGAGGTAAAAGAGACACTTTGCCAATGGAACAAGACAATTTACATTTAAAATAAGAAAAAACAACTGCATTGTCTTTTTTCAGGTGCATGTAAAAATCCTCATTCCATTGGCAAATCATCTCATTTACCTACTCAAATTAAGGTTAAATACACTTAATTTAAGAAATGTTTACTTATTTCTAGATCGTTTTTCCAGTGCACCTTCTCTTAAACTTCCCCCATTTTGTTCAATTATAACCAAATAACATTTTATTAGTTTCATCCGATTGACCAAAACAAAGTAAACAAAGATTATGAAGTGGAACAAAATGGTAAATAGAGTTTCAGTTTTTGTTAGCTGTAAAGATGGGAAACATTTGGGATGTACATGTATTGATACCTGCTTTATACTGAGTTTGGTATGACTGAACGTCTTTAGTGTGTGGATATTCCAGATTTGTGAGTCTAGACTGATTTTTTTTTTGCCCATTATTTGCAAAATAGCGCCAGCTCAGTCAGGTTAATTTGATACTTTCTGTATATCTTCTTTTTTTAATAAGGGATGCACAGTAAATCTGATTTAACTTTGATATTAGCAGATCTTAGCCATTTTAATGTACAGATATTGATATTATAAGCCAAACTGGTTTACTATTAACAATTGCTGTTTTTTTCCATCTTGTTGCCGTTAGTTGCTTTCAGGAAAGTGTTGACGGCTGGTATCTGATTGAGCATATGTGGTGATTGATAGTGGGACAGTACGGGTTTGTGACATGTTTTAAATGAAGAACAGAAGCAATATTGGATACAGTCTTCATATAGGTGAAGTTTGCAGTTGTGCTGTACACATCTATGAATTAAACAATTCTCTGACAGATACTCCAAACTTGGTGTATTTTATAATCCAACTCTGCTTTATACTTCTCCCTAATATTGACCTGACTAACTGCTGTGCTACTGGATCTTCATGTTGCTCTTTATTTACTTATGTTTTCTAATTTAGCTCTGGGGTCTATAGCTGGATTTATCCTTGGTTAAATTATATAAAGATTGACTGCATTAATTAGGCAACTTCTGAGGGCAATTTGTTGACCTGAATTTGATTTGAAGGTATCAGATAAAAGGTGTCTAAATACAAAGGTGCCACAAATGTACCCTGCATCCTTTTCTCCGTCTTTACAATCATATAGGTCTTTGTTTCTGTCTATAACGCATCATGTCAAAATTAATTAAACTGTAGTTGAAATGTGACAGCATACGGAAAATTGTTAACATGTTAATACTTTTCCAAAAACTGTATGTATTTGATATTTTTTAGCTCAGAGTATTAATTCCCTTTTATTGATTTTGTTTGTTTTTTTAAGGTGGATCTTATTTAGATTTCTATTTTCTGGACTAAATCTTTAAACCAACACCACATATTTTTATCATACCAAAGCTGGTAAATATTTAGACCTTTGTGCTGTGTGTTACTTTAGTGTCTTTTTACCTGAGGTGAACCTTTTTTCTACATTATTAAACTCTTTATAGCCTTTATTTTTTATTTTACTTTCCAGACTTTTGATCTCTTTAAAACGGATTAAATTAATACAAGGTCATGGTAATATATCTTATTCCAATAATTTTAAAAAGACTGTCTTTTTTTTTTTTTTTTTTCCTCCACTTGCATCAGTTATACCATTTCATATAATTCTAAAATATAAAAAATGGACAGGGTATTTGAGTTTTAGAAGGAAACATTTTTATTTTTTATTTTTATCATATCCTTAAAACGTACTAAACTTTAATTTTATGTAGGGAAATTTTAGTGTTTGACATGTGCTGCAAATGTTGCATTTCTGCTTAAAGCAATAAGAATGCCACTGTTCAGGCATACCCACAAGATGAAATAAAAAGTCTTTAAGACACTGAAGCCACACAATAGTCATATTTTTTGTTTTAAAATTTGAGCTGAGATACAATGTGGCTGATCACAAGAAAAGTGCAATGTTAATAATCTTTATTAAAGTGTACTTAAGATAATCTTTAAAAAACAAACGTGATGTAAACAATGCCATGTACATGGATGAAATGGTTCCTTATGGCTGCATTCAGGGAATCCTAAAGCAGAGAAGCAGTTCCAAGTACTTCAGTCATTTTTTAAAATTTAAATATATGTTACAGTATGAGATTTCCTTACTAGCTCCAAGGACTTTTTATTTTGCGTTCTTTATAGAATTACGCCACAGATCTCATTTTGTGTCCTCACCCTCAGTATTTTTGTCTTTCCAAATTACTATTTATAGGTTTTTAAATGGTCATATTTTATTCCTGTATCCATTTTCATTGTTCTTTTGGTTTTGTTTCTCTGTTGTTTTAGGCAGTATATTATTTTAACTAATTTTTATCCTATTTACTGTATTTCCATGTGTGATTTCTAAAACACTGCACTGTGTAGAGTGTCACTCATTGAAAGACAGCTATAGCTGTTCTTGCACTTTATAACTATATGAGTGTTCCCAGGTGTAATATCACTAATAAATGGCTGTTTTTAATTCCACCTTGGCTCTTAAACTGTTGTCATTTGGACAGCTTCTCTTTAAAAATTCCTCGTTCTTGTTCAGTTATTGTAAACTAGAATTTGCCCATTTGGGCCTTTTCTAAATGTAACAGGTGTAAAAAGAAACATGGTTTAAAGCAGAAGGTGTGGTTTAAGATGCTCACAATATAACATTGTTTAAAAAATAAATAAGTAAAATAGAGTTACTTTTCAAGTATAAAAGCTAGCTGGATAGCAGTGGACAGGAACTGGCTGGTGGTGAAGCCCTGTGCTCATCTGACCCATGCAGCCAAAGTAAAACTCTGGCCTCTGATTAACAGCGATTGGGACCATAAATGAAAATGTAGTGTAAAATGTAAAAGAGGCATAGACTTACAGACATTTCAGAATACAGATACTGGTGTAATATATAGATACTGATGTGGCTAGTTTTGCAGAGTCATCCTGTCACAAGTTTGATGTGACCTTACACAAATAACTTAATCCCCCTTTGCTGATTTTTGCATTGTTCTGTGAGAGCAGCTTGTTTAAATTCTTTTGATTGAACCCCCTTTTTGAGGCAAGAAGGTGTGATTCCTGGCCCAGGGTCTTTCTGCATGGAGTTTGCATGTTCTCCCTGTGCATCTTTGGGTTCTCTCCAGGTACTCCAGCTTCCTCCCACAGTCCAAAAACATGACTGCTAGGTTATTTGGCTTCTCTAAGTTCTCCTTAGATGTGAGTATGTACCTGAATGGTTGTTTGACTTTCATGTCTCTGTGTTGCCCTGCGATGGACTGGTGACCGGTCCAGGGTGTACCCCACCTCTCGCCTGTAGACAGCTGGAGATAGGCACCAGCACCCCTCGAGACCCCAGCAGGTATAAGAGTGACAGAAATGTATGGATGTCACATTTCAGGCTTCGAACATAAAGATATTAAATTGGGACACCATCTTGAATTGGAACAGAATTTATTGGACAATTAACATGTTTTTAAGACTGAAGAGTGGACCATGAAAAATTAATTGGCCCCTTTACTTTTAGTGCAGCAAACTCTCCAGAAGTTCAGTGAGGATCTCTGAATGATCCCGTGTTGACCATTCTTGATGCAGCAATCACAATTATTAGCTGTGATGGGTCCTCAAGAGAGCAGACCTGAGAAAACTTCTATTTGGCATGAGAGAATAAACAATTTTTAACTTTTCCAAGTTTTAACAAAAAAGAACAAAATACAATAATTTAATTTTTCAGGAAAAATAAACCGTTTGTTTTGGGAGATTCTAAAAACTGAATCAATTTTTTTCTTGATATTGTTACAGAGGAACAAATCAGTCTAAACTTGACTAACTTTGCAATGGTATGAATGGCTGGGAAAGGCCTAAAACCGTTTTAAAATGAAGTATGCACCATAAAATTAAGTGCCTGTTTACCTGCAAGGGAAGTGCAGGGATTTTCCCAACTGTATTTTACAGAAGCCTTTTTATAGTATATTGTTGAATGTTCTTAGTTTTCATTTAAAGTAAAGCAGTACATTGATCTTTTTATATGTGACGAATGGATTAGACTACATTTTCAATGCTGGGTCAATAAATAATACATTTCATCCCCACCTTGGCCATCTTGGTAAATGTAATCTAGAACCACCATTATGTCTTTATCTTTGGTTTATATTTTTTAAGGTAAAAATTGAGCTTCCTTTCTTCCTAATTATATTTACAGTATCTTAGTATTTAGGACCATTCATATGGAGGACCAACTCTGCCATACTTAAAAACAAATACAGAAATAAATAAATGCTCCAAAAATAAATAAGCATACAATTAATCCCCCCCTAAAATTACCTTATTTATTTATTGTCCGTTATAATCTTAAACTTTATTTATAACTTTTTTTTTAAGTATTTATTTAAGTGCATGTTAACATAGAAGCTAATTAAAAGAGATATATACATTTAAGTCTCACTGTATAATTTCATTTCTTTCTACATTTATTTATTGTATTTTTAGAGGGGAATTAATTGTATGCGTACTTATTTTTGGAGCATTTATTTATTTCTCTATTTTTAATTATGGCAGGATGGATCCTCCACACTTGCAAAGGCATTTCTGTTATGACGGGATGTCCGCATGAACAAAACGAACGCATCTAGGCGTGACGTCACATCTTTGTTTACTAGGCGTGTGGGAGCGGCTAGATGCTAATTAACCCTACCTGTTGAAACACGTCTACGCCAAGCTACTGTTTAGCAGCTGGTTCACCCGTTCAGTACTCTGTTATTTCCATATTGGGCTCTGCGCTGTCTTATTCTCGTGAAGGAAGTATGTCTGCCGATAGATCCGATGCTGGAGGGGACACAACAGACGCGAAGCAAGACAATGGAAAACAGTAAGCGAGGGTTTATAGACACTGACCTTTATCCTCCGCAGGTTATTGTTTCACTGTCCCGCTGAAGTAATGGAAGAAACTATTATCTCCCAACCCTCTTTGCAGCACTATATGTTGGTTTCCGTTAGTAAGCATATGTGTTGTGGTTTGTTTTGTGTTCCTGCAGGTCAGCGGGGTCTTTGTCTGCCGCTGCTCCCATGGAAGTTGATGCTAAGCCTCACTCCCACAGCTTCAGATACAGCATGAACTTCCCCAGCATTGGCCAGTGCATCGTCATCAACAACAAGAATTTTGGCAGGAACACAGGTGAATCTGATGTTTTCAGTCAAAATTCTCAGAACTTGTCAAAAATATCACATATCTACAAATATGAAACATAACTACATGTTTGATAAACAACAATCATGGTTGGTATAATGATTTTAAAACAATGAAGTAAACATATTCCATGCAATTTATGTAAATCTAAGATCAAAGTTAAAAGCTCTGCACAAGCATAGGATTATTACATCCACATAGTTTTATATAAAGCACAATATTTGCCGAAAAGTGCATTGCAATTGCAATGTAAGGCTGGGGTTATTTCATTATTATCAAACATGACTGCATCAATAAGGAAACAAGTTTGTATTCATAATCCTCTAGTTATGTGACACTATGGTTTCTGATGGTACATTTTTGTTGAATGTGGTCAAACTGCTGGGCATTCCTTCCTTAAACTGGGTTAAATCATGCAGTCACTTGATTTGCAGAAATTGTGCCTGGTTGAGCATAAGACCTGTTTAGTCAACTACAATTTAAAGTTCAGTTAGAAGTGGCAGTTTGTTTTGTTTGTTCAGAGTGAAACTCCTGACAGGAAGTGATAAGTCATATCTGAACTGGTTGTTGCCTCTTATTGGCTGTTGGTCTGCTTGCCATTTGTTTCAAAAAGGGGTTTGAATAAACAAGCGATTGAGCAGTTTATCACCTCAAAGTCTCCATGATGTTTAATAATTGATCTATTTTAGATTTTAAATGATCCACCCATGGCACAAAACTTTCATATACATTAGAGCTGCATTTAAAGCTAGATTTGCTTTCATTTCTAGGCGAGATGATATCCATTGAAAGTGTGTGATCTCTGGTTTCTCTGTGGGACTTCTAGACTTTCACTACATTATTCAGGTGAATGGGTGGTGCTGTTTGATTTGAGGAAATGGCGCCTACGCCGCCTGGAAAAGCCTGGAGCTTTATTTAAACATTTCCTATGTCTAGATAAACAAGGGCAAAGAAGAGTATGGAAAGTAATGATATGTTTTCCTGTTGTTAAAATCATTTCTTAATTATTTTTATTGGTCCTTATTTCCTTCCTTCCTATGTTCCATCCTTTCCTATGTCCTTCCTTTCTTACTTTGTCGATTTTCTTGTTCAATTTTTTTAACCTTTAAGTGTTTGTTTGTTTTGTTATCCTTATTTTGTTCTTTTTTTCCTTAAGGAAAGAAGGACAGAAAAGGCCTGCTGTAAGAATATCTTCCCTGGATTGTGACCTTCAGTATTGTCTAGGATGAAACCATTCACCTCCATCCCCTGATAGTTCATTACATGTTAGCTATGCTAACTGTGCTTGTCCCCATGGTGACAAATGAGACAGTGCTTGTGAAAACAAGTGCTTGTTCAGTCAGTTGATCATATTAGTGAATGCCTTTCAGATCTTTGCATCATTATTTGTCACCCATGCATGCCAATACGATCTGATTTAAATGTTATGATCTTTAAATTTCATGCATTCTTGGTCATTCATTGCAGGTGTGTCTGAACCGTAAGCTGAGCTGGGTGTGTTTGAGAAATGTCACCGGGTGTTTTTAGGGCTAAAAGTGCTCTTGACAAAGATGGAAGTCTTTTTTCCGGACATTGGTTTTCAAAATGTTCTGGTTTTCTCCCACACCCTTTAAAGGAAATATGAGAAATTCTCAGTGACATTCTCTGCAATAGGATGTTTTAACATAATTTGCTTTAAATATTTTCCCTTGGTGTTGTCAGTGGACAGTCTTTAAAGACAAAATGGAACATAGCTGTCTCCTAGTTTTGCAGTCTGGGCACCAGATAGGCTTAATTTAAACCTTATTCAGTTCAGTAGCTTTTATTTGTCCCAGTATGGGCATTTTTTGTGCAGTAGTAGTACACATTTCACTAACAAAAGCACAAGAAATACAAAAAAATATTTTAAAAAGATAACAGTAGGGTGGATAAGTTAATATGTACAGTGCAGGAGATGAATAAAAGCTTAGGCATATATGCATGCAACATATGACTATCTGCTTTTCCTAGTAGAGTTAAGCAGCTCAACAGTAGAGGGAATAAAGAAGTGTTTGTATCTGTTGGTCCGAGCTGGTGGATATTTAAAATGGGAACCAGAGGTTAAACAAATAGGGATAACCCAAACTTTAAATATATTTTAAAAAGCAGTAAAAACCCACTCCAACCATGTGACTCCGGAATGGGCTTTGCTTTTCAGTAATTCAGCTGTTATCCCATTTGCCTGGTTACATCTTAATTCAATTCAATTAAATTCAATTCAATTCAATTCAGTTTATTTATATAGCGCCAAATTCACAACACATGTCATCTCAAGGCACTTTACAGTTCAACCAGATCATACAGTCAAATTGATACAAAGTTTTCTAAGGAAAACCAGTTGATTGCATTGACTCATTGACTCAAATACAATCCCCCACACTAAGCATGCTTGTAGCGACAGTGGAGAGGAAAAACTCCCTTTTAACAGGAAGAAACCTCCAGCAGAACCAGGCTCAGTGTGAGCGGCCATCTGCCGAGGCCGACTGGGGTTCAAGGAGACAGAAGCAGAGATACAAAAAGCAGCTGTAAAAGGCGGCCCCGTCCAGGAAACACGCAGCCAGGCAGACAAGCTCCAAGGCAGCTCCCATGCCAGAGGACGAAGAGAGCACATCCACTCAGTCACGGTCAGAGAAACAGGACCACACTGGAAAACAGGCCGATCTCCAACATCTATAAACAAGGGTGTTGATAGAAGCAGCACAGCTGATGTTTCTTTCCAGGATGACGTCACAGCCAAACAGGAACAGACGAGGCAAAGCTACTCTGAGGAAAAGCAGAGAGAGCAGAAGGTTAGAGATTGAACTAACAGATTCTGCAGAATAGGAGAACAGAGAGAGAATGAAGCAGAATGATGAAATGGGGGTCCCTATGTCCTCCAAAAGTCTAAGCCTATAGCAGCATAACTATAGAGATAGCTCAGGATAACCTGAGCCACCCTAACTATAAGCTTTATCAAAAAGGAAAGTTTTAAGCCTAACCTTAAAAGTAGACAGGGTGTCTGCCTCACGGACTAAAACTGGTAGTTGGTTCCACAGGAGAGGAGCCTGATAACTAAAAGATCTGCCTCCCATTCTACTTTTAGAAATTCTAGGAACCATTAGTAAACCTGCAGATTGAGAGCGAAGTGCTCTGTTAGGAACATAAGGAACAATCAGATCTCTGATATAAGATGGAGCTTGGCCATTTAAGGCTTTATATGTGAGAAGGAGGATTTTAAATTCTATTCTTGATTTAACAGGAAGCCAATGAAGAGAAGCCAGGATAGGCGAGATATGATCTCTCTTTTTAATTTTCATTAGAACTCTGGCTGCAGCATTTTGGATCAGCTGAAGGCTTTTAACTACAATTTGTGGACTTCCTGATAGTAAAGAATTACAATAGTCCAGCCTTGAAGTAACAAATGCATGGACTAGTGTCTCAGCATCACCCCTGGACAGGATATTTCTAATTTTTGTAATGTTCCTCAGATGAAAGAAGGAAATTCTAGAAACCTCTTTGATGTGGGATTTAAATGACAGGTCCTGATCAAAAATAACACCAAGATTTTTTACTTTATTATCTGAAATCAGTTTAATCCCATCCAAATGAAGTGACTGGCTAATCAGTTTCTTTTTCAGAGACTCTGGTCCAAAGACTATAACTTCTGTTTTGTCTGCATTCAGGAGCAGAAAGTTAAGAGTTATCCAGGTTTTTATGTCTTCAAGACATGCCTGTAATCTATGTAATGGGTTAGCTTCATCTGGATTTATAGACAGATATAGCTGGGTATCATCAGCGTAACAGTGGAAATGAATCCCATGCTGTCTAATAATTCTACCAATTGGGAGCATGTATAAAGTAAAGAGAATTGGTCCTAGCACTGATCCCTGTGGTACTCCACAGGTAACCTTTGAGCGTGTTGAAGATCTATCATTAACATGAACAAACTGAATTCGATCAGATAGATAAGATTTAAACCAGTCTAGTGCTGTTCCTTTAATTCCAACAAAATATTCAAGTCTTTCTAAAAGAATATTATGGTAAACTGTATCAAATGCAGCACTAAGATCCAACAGGACGAGCACAGATACAAGTCCATTATCTGAGGCCATGAGAATATCATTAGTGACTTTCACCAGAGCTGTTTCAGTGCTATGATGAGCTCTAAAGCCAGACTGAAACTCTTCAAAAAGTTCATTATGGTGGAAGTGATCGCAAACTTGTTTGGCAACTACTTTCTCAAGAATTTTGGATAAGAAAGGAAGATTGGATATAGGTCTATAATTGACCAAGTCATCTGGGTCAAGAGACGGTTTCTTAAGCAGAGGTTTAATTACAGCAACCTTAAAAGCTTTAGGTACATATCCCTGTAACAGAGATAGATTAATCACATCTAAAATGGAGGAGGAGATCAAAGGGAATACCTCCTTAAATAACCTGGTTGGAACTGGATCTAACATACAAGTTGAAGGCTTAGATGAAGACAATAATTTTGCTAATTCAGAGAGTTCAACTGGATCAAAGCAGTCTAAACCCGGTTCAGATTCCATGACTACCTCAGGTACAATCGCGGATAGAGGAGTGCTTATGATCTTATTTTTAATAAGATCAATCTTATTTATAAAGAATCCCATAAAATCATTGCTGCTAAGAGCAGGTGGAATGGACGGTTCAACAGAGCTATGGCTCTGGGTGAGTTTGGCCACTGTATTAAAAAGAAATCTAGGATTATTCTTATTCTCCTCTATTAATGAGGAGAAGTATGCTGCTCTTGCTTTACAAAGAGTCCTCTTATACAGCAGTAAACCATTTTTCCAGACTAGGAAGGACTCTCGCAGGCCTGTGGAGCGATATTTTCTCTCCAGTTTCCTAGCATTTTGCTTCAAAGTACGCAGCTCTGCATTAAACCAAGGAGCAAGCTTTCTATTTTTAACGGTTTTCATTTTCAAAGGAGCTGCGTTGTCTAAGGCAATACGCAGAGAACTAGCAACCCCATCAACAAAATCATCAACCTGTGAAGGGGAATAAGCTAAGCTTTTGCACTCTGCAGCACTGCTCAGTGACACAGAGGAGAGAGAAAGTGAAGCAGATTCTTTAAAATTTATAACTGCACTATCTGATAAAGATCTACTAAAATTGAACCTTCTTTTGGGGGAGGAGAACTCTGTTAAAGTAATCCTGAAGGTTATTGGAAAGTGGTCAGAGAGGACAGGGTTGTGAGGAAATACTGTTATTTCTTCACATTCTATGCCGTATGTCAGCACAAGATCCAAAGTATGAAGATGAGAATGCGTGGGACTATTCACATTTTGAACAAAGCCAATAGTGTCTAAGATAGCATTAAAGGCTGCTCTTAAGCTATCGCCTTCAATGTCAGCATGGATGTTAAAATCTCCCACTATGATGACCCTGTCAGTATTTATTACCAAATCAGAAAGGAACTCTGAAAACTCATCTAAAAAATTCAGAGTAAGGACCTGGTGGACGATACAAAGTTACAAAAAGAAGAGGTTTTCTTGCCTTGAAATTTGGATCAGGGAAATTAAGGGTTAAATGTTCAAAAGAGTTGTAGGTATTAATTGTTTTGGGAGTAATCAGTAAGTCAGACTGGAAGATTGTTGCTACTCCTCCTCCTCGCCCAGAACTTCTGGGGATGTGAAAATTTAAATAGCTTGAAGGAGTTGCCTCATTTATGCTCACATAATCCTCTTGCTGCAGCCAGGTTTCTGTAAGGCAAAACAAGTCAATGTGATTATCACAAATCAAGTCATTAACTAGTAGACTTTTAGAGGAAAGCGATCTTATGTTAAACAGACCGCATTTAATTGTTTTAACTTTTTCCCCAATTGGAGTTATTTTGATTTTAATTAGATTGTCATGATTTACTCCTTTGGGAATCTTTGCTAATTTATTAGATTTTGGTCGTGGGCAAGACACTGTCTGGATGGAGTAAAGAGTGGGTAACAGTAGAGAAGCTGCAGAGATGTGTGTTAAACTACAACTCTGCTTCCTGGTCTGCACCCTGGGTGGTCAGGGTTTTGGAGGACTAATAAATGTGGCCAGATTCCTAGAAAGAAGAGCTGCACCATCCAAAGTGGGATGGATGCCGTCTCTCCGAATCAGACCAGGCTTTCCCCAAAAGGATTGCCAATTATTAATGTAGCCCACGTTGTTTTCAGGACACCACCTAGACAACCAGCGGTTGAATGACGACATGCGGCTAAACATGTCATCACTGGTCAGATCAGGGAGGGGACCAGAGAAAATTACGGAGTCCGACATTTTTTTGGCAAACTTACACACCGAAGCAACACTAATTTTAGTGACCTCCGATCGGCGTAACCGGGTGTCATTACCACCAGCGTGAATAACAATCTTACTGTATTTAACCTTATCCTTAGCCAGTAGTTTCAGGTAGGATTTGATGTCGCCCGTTCTGGCCCCCGGCAAACATTTGACTATGGTCCCTGGTGTCTCTAATGCCACGTTTCTGACTATGGAGCTGCCAATCACCAGAGTGGGCTTCTCAGTGGGTGTGTCACTGAGTGGGGAAAACCGGTTAGAAACGTGAACGGGTTGGTGGTGACCAGTGGGCAGAGATCCACGACTACGCTTTCTGCGTACAGTTACCCAATCGCCTGGCTGCTCAGGCACTTTTGGAGGACAGCTACGTGGGGGGCCTACTTTAACTCCTGGATGTTCAACAGCCTGAAGCCTGGATTCTAACTCTGACACCCTCGCCTCCAAAGCTACAAAAATACTACACTTATTACACATCCCATTATCACTAAAGGAGGCAGAGGAATAACTGAACATCTGACACAGAGAGCAGGAGAGAGGAGAGGAAGAAGGAAGAGTTGGAAAAGAGTCAAGGGAGGGAGAGAGAGAAGCCATAGCAATGCTAAGCTAGCGCTAGCCTAGGCTAGCTACTCCTTGCTATCAGAAATAAAACCGTGTGAAACTGACAAGTGCTCAGTAGAAAAGTGCAGCAGAAGGTGCTATGTTTTAAAGTAGTCAGTTAGAGTTACTTAGATACAGAGATATCACAGAGAAAATAACTTAACTTCAGATGGGGATCCTCTGAACAGCTGCACACTCAGTTAATCCAAACAGTTAATCTTACTACTGTGTTTTTTTCCTTCCGCTCAACTTTCAAGTTCTATGCATGGATACCTCATTCTGTGCATATTCTCCACTTTTAACGATGACCTTCTTTGGTTGTGTGAGCTGATATAACAGTATCCAACATCCATTCAGAGGGGAATCAGTCATTGTTTCAGCCCTAGAGAAGTTAGATTATTTTCTTCTACCAACTATTTTCCTTTTGGTTTTTAATTAGAGCTGCATTGTCTATGGAAGAGCAACTACAATATATGTAGTTTCAAATGACAGGTATTTAAATTCTCCATGTAGCTTTTATATTTGACCAGCTGGATGGTTTGGATCCACCGTCACTTCTTCATTCCCAGCCATTCAGCTTTAGAAAGGCATGTTGATGGCCTACTGTATTTATTAGATGCATGTGTGTTGGAGCAGGGATACATGTAAAAGTTACAGGATAGTAGCTGTACAGGACTGGATGTGGGCATCCATCATGTAACTCAAGCTTAAGAAGTGAACGACCCGTTTCTGCTTCTATTAAGGAAAAAAACAAACATTGTGAGATAAGGAAGGAAGTTGGATATGATTTCCACTGAATGTAGTTTCAGTCGGCTCACCGACAGACATGCACACAGTAATCGCTTAGTGGATTTTGTTTTGAAAACCTGTCTAGCAGGAACCAAAAAGAACACATGGTTCCATAGAAGCTGTTATAAGGCAGTATTTGACTGGGGTAAACACTGGCATCCTATTCAGGTTTATTGTGCTGCTGTCTCATTGCATCTAACTTGTCTAGTCTCCATGATATATGGTACATTGCTTCTTTTTTTATGATAAATTGAAGGTTTAAAAACTAGACCCTGACTGCATACACTATTATACTTTAAAGTGGGACAATTAACCTTAATGGAAAGTATACAACAACGCTTCTTTCTATTGGCTAATAATTGACAGTTATGTGTATTTGGTCTTTTCATAACTTTTCGTTGCTAAAACACCAGCGTGTTACATACGGTAACCGAATTCCTTATTTTTTTTAAGTATTTGATTTCAACTCACAAACTGACACATTAAGAATGCTGAAACAAAAAAAAATCTGATCTGCATCTGAAGATGTTGCTGCTTTTTTCCATTCACCAGCATTACTAGCAGCAAAACAGCCCCATATTATTTTACTACCACCACTCTGACTCTTTTTAACTTCTTCATGAATAGTTTGTTCAAATGTGGCTAAGTAGCTCAATCTTTGAGCAAAATGAGCTGAATTTTCCAATCTTTTGTTTAATGCAATGATTGCAAACAAATTGTCTTTATGTTACCAGTGAGAAATAAACTGTTAATCATGTCACTACTCAGAAGTTAATAGGCGTTGGTATTCTAAAATTAAGACATTGATGAGCCTTGTGCACCACTTATGAGTTTATTTGTGTACATTAGAAATATATTTGTAATTTTCCTTTTGTGTTGATCAGAGGAAAATATTAATACAATTAACCAGAACTCTGAATCATGCATCATTTGAAATACAAAAATAAGCAGGTTAAAGTTGTTCCCTTTTCTTTTTATTTATTTTTTTTTTTTGAAAACAGTGTTATTGTGTGAAGTAATTTGACTCGATCTGTTTTACTTCTTTTTCTTTTTTTTTGTCAGGCATGAATCAGAGGAACGGCACAGATGTTGATGCAGGCAATGTGTTTAAAGTATTTACAAAGCTGGGGTATACAGTGAAGATTCACAATGACCAAACAACCGATCAGATGATTAATATTTTGAGGAAAGGTGAGTAAATTATTCCTCAACACTCTTGGAAATATTTGCATTTTTCAGTTTAGATCCTGCCTTATGAAGTGTTTGCCTCCTAACACATTTCCTATATTTTTTACTATATTTTCAAAAAAATATATATGTGATTAAATGTAAAAAAAGAGAGTATAGGTTCCAAATGATGATTTCATATGTTAAAATACAAAAGTTTTCCTGCTTCTATGTAAAAAAAAAAAAAAAGGGACTAGGGTTTATCACACGTTAATAAGCAGTCATCTTTGATCAGTCGCATTATTTTTTGTTCAATACACAACACCCTGATCTGACCACAGCTTGACCTGTATAATCCAAATAAAAATAAAAATACCTGAATAGAACATGCCTGACTACATGAAATAGGCTAAGAGATCTCAAATACCAACACATCATGTCCGTATCTAAAGAAATTCCAACACAGGTAAGAAACATTCAGTCTGGAGAGGCTTTAGAGCTACAGTGGGGGAAATCTGACCTGCTTCAGGACCTAGAAAACCTATTTTTAAGTGACAACGTTTAACGTTTAACTTTTAGCTTAAAGGTATAGGGGAGGAATTAGCAATTTTGGGGAAAAAAATAAAATGCACATGCACAACCCTGTACCCGCTCCAGAGAGGGACCGCCTATTAAACGTGTGCAAGAGCATGCATGAGCCCATTTCTCCTCGTGCACGCTCTGTTTAAAAGTTGCTGTTTGCATCGATCATACAAGCGTACTTTCCAAAAGAAGATTTTTCCACTATGTCAGACTCACCACCAATAAGTGAAAATAGAGTAGGTAGGACGGCCTTACGTAAACGTATCACCAGAATGATTGACAATTAGGAGGGCCCCTTATTTTTTATGATCCTCCCGGAAAAAGAACATCCTCCACTATACTTTTAAGAGTTGCTGGTTCAAAGCACCTGGGAAGGGTGCACTGTCACAAAATGAACCAGTCTCCCTCCATGTTTTAGAATCTGAATGCAGACCACTTTGTACCAACAGGTGAAGAAGTTAAGGAGTTACTGAAAAGACAAGACCTCATTCACCCCTCTAGATAACATCCCACATTAGAGAAGCTAAATTATGTCTGATCAGCTAAGTGTCTAATTTGCTGCCAAAATGTTTAACTCTGTTAGCTCTCATGTTTAAGGGGAGCTCAAACTGCCATAAAGAAGCGCTCTTGGTCACACGACCGTCTCAAGTTGCATAGGGGTGATTTTTAGGAAGAGCAGCCCACATAGAGCACTGAATGCTGCATATTTACCCCCCAAAATTATTTTATATAGATCTCAAAATAAGCTAATACTTAAGCAGAGTTGCTTTACATAATTCAACTGTAAATGTTGCTGTGTAGCACAAACTTCAGAAGGAGAATCTCTCCCCATCATTTTGACCTTAATCTCTATTAAAGTTTAGTTTTGCAGCAGGACCATTCATAGCACGTGAGCAAAGTCCACTTCTGAATAACTCAAATAACCTAGGTTTAGTTGAAGCCTAGTCAAAGTTTTTTCTAAAGATTCTGAGAACATTGGGCCAAATATCCTCCACACCAATAGGAAAGACTCTTGGACAGATGATGAAAACCCTGAGACAAATTATCAGTTAAATTGAAGGTTGCTACTCAATGTAGCTTCCCTGTAGTGTTTTGATTGACTTATCGACTCTTTTCCTTTATACATATACATTTTTATATGCATTTAATTTTATTAATGCTGGTCTGTTTCATGAAATTAAAGTTAATGTGCAGGAAAAAGGCAAAAACACATTTGTAAATGGGGTAAATACTTTTGTAGAGCAAGCTTTCTATTAGTGCTTGCTACATCTTTTTTTTCATTCTCCGTTGTTTCTGTAGCATCCCAGGAAGATCACAGCAACTCTGCTTCATTTGTCTGCGTTCTCCTGAGCCACGGGGATGAAGGCATATTCTTTGGGACTGATGGCCCACTGCAGCTTCAGATGCTTACCTCGTTTTTCAGAGGCGACCGTTGTAAATCTTTGGTGGGAAAACCCAAACTGTTCTTTATCCAGGTAGGCTAAGGGGTTGTTGTTTATTTATTTTTGCTTATCCATTTAAGTTTTCTAACCGTTTGCTTGTTTTCCACTCTGAGTAGGCTTGCAGAGGCACAGATCTTGATCCAGGTGTTGAATCAGATAGCCAAGAAAACACAAAGATCCCAGTGGAAGCAGACTTTCTATATGCCTACTCCACAGCCCCAGGTTAATGCATAAACATGTTTTAATTTCTAGAATGCTTTTTTTATTATGTACTAATCCAGGTTAAACATCTGTGATTCATGCAGGCTACTACTCCTGGAGGAACACCATGAGTGGGTCCTGGTTTATCCAGTCACTTTGTGACTTAATCAGCAAATATGGAAAAGAATTGGAGCTCCTGCATATCATGACACGAGTAAACCACAAGGTGGCAGTAGAATTTGAGTCTGTGTCCAATTCACCAGGGTTCAATGCAAGGAAGCAGATCCCTTGCATTGTGTCCATGCTGACCAAAGAGATGTATTTTTTCCCTTGATGTTGAATTTACTCAGGGAACCTGAGCTTGACAGACAAGATTAAGAGTTGGGTTCGAGATAGTAGTTTCTACTCAAATAATCGGCTGAAAATTACATTTCTTGGTGCAACGTCATGCATTACAAACGTTATTTTTCGCGGGCTTTGGAATTAGTTTCTCACTTTCTATTGTGTATTTCTAAAATGAACGTTATTCGTTTTTTATTTTGCATGTGCCTTTTTGTTTTATATACACACAGCTGTAGAAATGTTTGAGTTTTTTTTTCTTTTTTTTTTCTTAGGCCAAAACAAACTGATATACTATAAATACAGTTGATGATAACTTCCTGCTCTGTGAGTTTGAGCTTACATGGTGTGATTGATGTGGGTTCTAGGTTGGTTTTCCCATAATTCACCCAAATTATTCTCCTACTTTATAGGATACAGATTCTCTCTCATTACCTGTTACCTTTTTGGAACTATTTTCTAATCTGATGATTGCATTTTGGACAATTTCTCTACATTGTAAAGCACTTCCGGATCTTGTGGAAATAATCATAAAAAATACAATTCTTCCATCTTTTATTATTTTTTCAAAGAACGTTGCTCTGATCTTAGAATGAGCCTGTTGGCTCTTAAATATAACAGTTTTTGCCTCTTGATTGACATGAGATTTCAAAATATTGTCCTGTGAAATGATTGGACTATTGAATGTTGAGCCATAGAATGGGTTCATAACAACCCACACTTTCTTTTCCAGCCTTATTTTATTAGTAATTACATTCAGACTTTCATTATTGCATTCTAAAGTTAACAGATAGGCTGAGCATTAAACTTCTTGGCTTTTTTTTACTACAAAGCAGCATTTGTGGTTTCAATATCCCAGTACCACCATCATGTTTGTGTTTAGTTTTGTATTAGATGTAAAACAAAGATACTTTTTTTAGGTCCCTGCAGCCTTTTTGGCCCACAGTGATTTTGCCCTGAAACTCTCTGTTGGATTAAGGTTTTCTTGTCTTCTAGAGCTTATAATCTAGTTCATGTTGTCAGGTCAGTTCTATTTAGGTGATTTTTTTCATTTTTCAGGTCTGTGTGTGGCTATAACGATAGAAAATTGGTTGGATTATGTACTGCAACTTGTACAGAAAATAGTTTTTAGCTAAATTTGTCTGACCCTAAGCATTTAGATATGTTAAAAGGTGCAAATGTAATGAAAATATTGAGGGCACAGATGCTTATTCATTACACTGCATATTATGTGTGTCAATCAAGGCCTTGGAAACTTCAACTGAATTATTTGGAAACAGCGTGAGGGTAAAGAATGTAAAATGTTTTTACTTAGGAAGCAATCTTTGCAAATGCAGTGTATTGCAGATATATTTGCAGTTGATATATTTTGCAACTCTGCTCTTGATTAAATCTACTTTAAGAGACCTTCTTGTAGTAGATAATACTTATTAGAATGCACACCTGTATTTACTTACAGCAGGTGTGAGGGGAAAATATTAAATAATTTTCTAGTATGAACCACCTCTAAGGTGGATTTGTATTGAGACATGATCAGTGCTTCGTTTGCATGAATAATCTCAGGTACGTAACATTCACAAATGATCAAAAGTGTGAAATAACCGGGGGTTAAAATGACCAGCATCTACTGATATTTACGTCTTTACTGTTTACACTTGACACATTTCAGGGAAATAGTTTTTTACAGTGAGTTTGACTCTAGTACTTTGTACTTTTATAATCATCTTAAGCAATTGAGCAGAATCATGTGTGAAATCAGACATTAAATTGTACAATGTGAATCCAAATAATGTTAGAAAATATGTGCTAATGTCAGGAGCGTTCTTTAAGCTCCTTTACACAGCTCTGAACTGGGTTTGTCTTTTATGGTCTGATATTAAATCTCCTCTGATCAGTTGTTTTCAAAGTAAGTTCAAAGTAATGGCTTAAGAGAGAGTTTCACTCGTAAACCTTGTTTTTTGTTTTTTTTGTTTCTTTTGTTTTTTGCAGTGATCAGATGCCCAATTTTAAACTCAAATGGCAAAACTGAAAGCAATAGTGAGTTGTTATCCATTGCAAAATAAACAAAAAAGGTTCTCCACATCAAGAATATCCTGTCTGACATTTTGTTTTGACTTAGATCCTGTTAATTGCTAAGTATGGATGAAACACATTTAGCACAGCAATAACTATGTGCACTAGCTTTTTTTTACGGAAACCATGAAAGCCATGCAGCCATTTTCCAATATTGTGATAACTTTTTATATTAGTTTGCATTGATAATCTAAGCAAAATGAATACATTTAAAGTGTCCTATAAAAGGGAAACAATTGGGCCCATGATTGGAATTGTGCTGCAATGCTTTTTTTCTAGGTTCTCTTGAATTTATAGTTTTTTTATTATTGTGGTTGTAAGTATGAATCTAGTTAAAGTAAGTACCATTCACTTTTGCTAGTTTTAGTTTATTCCATATTAAAGTTGGACACTTCCTGTTACTACATTTGTTATATACAATATCACTGTTAACTCGTAGTTACACTGTTAACTCAATGGAAGGTTTTTGTTCTGAAAAATAAACTTTTAGTCATACATTTCTTGTTTGGTTTAATGTTCAGAGCTCACATCTTTATCTTTTCAATAGTACTGGCATTTGTTATTGTTTTTGTGGCAGTTGCAGGAAAAAGTTTTCTCATCACTGCATGAAAAAGTACATTAAATAAAAATGGATAAGCAAATTGAAAAGGAAGTTTCCATGTCTGTTAGCTCAGTACAAGAATAAAGAAGTACACGAAACTTAACAGCTGGTAGAACCACGTGTAGTAACAGCATATCTAAGGTCATTGGTTTTGTATGAAGATTTCTTGTATGATCAAGGGAAGCAAGCTATCAAAGCTTTAAATTTTATAAAAGTTGTCATTTTGCATCCTGTGTCCAAGGGCTAAAGTGTGACAGGAAAGAAGGAACTTTGCCCAGTTGGCCAAAACAACAAATGAGATGGTGGGATGTCCCCTTCCTGAGAACAAAGACCACCACATCTATCCCTTCTCACCCTGCTGCATAAAGCAACTTTGTACAACTGTATTTGATAAAGTAGAGCTGAACCATTAGAAAGCTGCTTGTCTAAAGCCATCACTCCCATCAGACTCTTATTTGCACTACTTACTGTTTTTTAATGCTACAATTTTGACCTGATAAATAAAATAATATATTCTTATAGTTTTTAATTGCTCTGATGGCGCCAACTATTTTTTTCTTGTGGCAGCAAAACAATAAGGATTTTGATTTTTATCACACAAACTAGCACTCAAATTCAGCACTCAAATTCTTTAATGCTGTATTTTCTAAACATCCTGATTTTGAATTTAGTTGACCGCACTGTCCTTTTTTTAAAATTATTTTATGATCTGCTAAGTTTTTCAACCTGTTCACCTAAATTACTGTTGATCAGTTATTGGATATGCTGCTAAAGCAAAATGTGGTTTTACAAATTAGGTTAAACTTAAGTTCAACTCAGTTTATTTATATAGCGTCAATCACAACACACATCATCTCAAGGCACTTTACAGTTCACCAGATCATAGCCTTATTGATTAAAAGTTTTCTATCTAAGAAAAAACAATTGATTGCATTGACTCAGATGCAATCTCTCACACTAAGCATGTAGCGACAGTGAAGAGGAAAAATTTCCCTTTAACAGGAAGAAACCTCCAGCAGAACCAGGCTCAGTGTGAGCTGCCATCTGCCGAGGCCGACTGAGGTTTAAGAAGACAGAAGCAGAGAGACAAAAAACATCTTTAAAAGGCGACCCCGTCCAGGAAACACACAGCTAGACAGACGAGCTCTGAGCCTACTCCCATGTCAGGATGAAGAGAGCACATCCAGCCAGTCACAGTCAGAGAAACAGGACTACACTGGAAAAACAGGCCGATCACCAACATCTATAAAAACAAAGGTGTTGATGGCAGCAGTCCTTAAAGTGAAACTTTAAGGAAAAAATGTATGCTGTGTTTATATCGCATTAATACCAGCAGCCTTTGTAGTTGCTACGTTCAAATGGAATGTGAAGTCATGTCTTCTGGACCAGCAGTTAATTTGTTAGATTTTAACTCTGGGTTTAGAAAACATAAGTTTGCAACTTTTTATTTTTTTAACCATTTGTTGAAAAAAAAAATATATATATAGCCTTGACCAGATGTTGTTGCCTATTTTCACTCCTCCATGCATTTCTAGCTTTTCTTTAGTCGTTTCCTTAAGTCCTTTGGTTAAAGAAGTTTAGTCGTAGTTCTCATCTGTGATCATAACAATTACAATGGAGGCGCAACGCTCGGCAAAACTTAGGAATTATTTAGATTACGAGCAAGCTTTGAACGCAGCACAAAGTCCTCGCCTCTTTTGTGGCTGAAAGTCGGTCTTAATGCTCTTTGACAGTTACAGTTGGAGAACAGTGAATGCCTCTGAACTCCCCGTTTTACATGCTTGTCCTGAACAAAGGCTCCTCTTCCTCTTCATAAATGTCATTTAAGATTTAAGACGCGTTCACATGGGAGATTTGAGGACTTGAATGGTTTACGTGTCAGAAATATCCTTGTTCTGTATGTAAAGCAGGGATGGAGAAGTTTCTCCTCATAACTCCGCACTCCCTGGCTCTGGTGCTGTCGCGGGTTTGCGGGGAGGCTGAGGAGGCTTCCCCATCTTCATCAACAACAGCTGCGGCTGCAGCATCAACAGCTGAGGTCTGGAAAAGGTTAGAGCATCAGTCCGGCTACGAGGTGTTCGCCAGCTTTAAGGTTGCCAACATGCAGCAGTTCTGGAACAAGGCGCTAACCGACGCTCTGCCAGAGGTCTTCTTCCTCGGCTGGATAGACGAGCGTGTGCTGCTGATCCAGAGCCAGGAGGCGCATCTTCAGGTGCTCAGGAGCGCATGGACCAGGAGGACCCTGAAGCCACCACAGGGGTTTCATATCAAATGCATAGGTAAAAAAATGTTTCAGAGTCCATCTGTGACAATCGCTTATCATAATGCCATATAATTATATGTAAACCCGTATTTACAGCCATACATTTCATTAGTGCAATATATTCTGACAGACCAAGGAAATGTAGTAGGCCTATTATGGCCAAGCTAGAGATCTTTATTTTATTTCGAGAATAAAGTCCTAATATTATGAAAATAAAGTTGTTTTTCATGACAACTCTTACAAGAAGCACTTTCTTCCCTAAAATTTAGATTTTTTATTTTATTTATTATAGAAATAAATAATAAAAAATCTGTAGCCAGGCCTTAATACTCCGCCATGGTAGGCTTCATTAATCAATTAAGGAAGAAATTATTTTGGTTGCATGTTTAGGATTGTTGTCCTCCATAAAGGTCAACAGCTGTTCCAAACTCTTTTTCACAGCCTATTGAATGAATCTCCCAGGATGGATGTGTCTTAAGCAATGTTCATGAACTATGTGAAATGTTACTTATTTGTACCTTAGTACCTTATTTCTTATCTTTACTGGTTCCTCTGCATGGCTTGTAGAAATCTGCAAACAGGACTTAGTGTGGTTCTTTTTCCTGGAGTGGCTTTTCTCTTTTCACTCTTTAAAAACAGTGTTGTGATGTGCAGGACTAATACCTGTCCTGAAGAGCTTATTTCACCAAGCTGTAGATCACTGTAGTTCCTCCAGAGTTACTATGGGCATCATTGATGCAGCATCTCTTTTGGGGAGTCCTGCCACCCTCCTCATCTTTTCCGATGATGCGATAAATCGAGCTCCATGAGATGTAGAAATTTTGGAGTATAATTATATAACTTGCTTGAAACTTCTTAACTTTATGCCATGTCTCTTTTTTCTGTATTTTCTTAAACCAGTTACACTTAAGGCAATGTAGGCAGCACCATAAATGTATTCCATCTTCATAGTCTTGCTTCTGAGCTAATGTAAAAGATGAGTTACGTTTATAAATGCAGTAGATGGATCTCCACACAAATGATCTGACCTTTAATACAACACTATAGCAGTACACATATAGTCCTTATGAGAATGACCCAAGAGTTTATCATCCTTGCAAAAATTAAGTCATTTTTTTAAGTAATGATGATTAAAGAACCACATTTAAAGAGAAAAAGACTTTATTTTGTCTCAAACTACAGTGTAGCATATCTGAAGATTCTTATGGTGTTCTGATTTTGAATTTAAAAAATAAAGCATAATCCAGATTCCTCATATAGTGGAATGATCTGTAAGCTTTGTGCCCTTAAGGATTGTAGCTGGCCTTGGCAGACTGACATATTTCAAGTAAGCGCTAACCCAATGCATAAAAAGAGTAGGTGCTCAGTCTCCATTAATTAGTAATTTAATAAACCAATAGGAAACTCATAAAAATATAAATGAAAGCTAACTCTTCTTTTCTTTGTTATTGTGATGCTTCTTCGCTGCCAATGCCAGACTTACCTCAGGATCATAATCTAGTGTCTCTGAAAGTAAAAACAAACTGTATTATAACTTACCTTTAATAGTAAAACTTTGTTCTTCATCAATTCTTGTCAACTGAGGCTTTTCAGATGTATTTTTAAGCCCTTTAAACCATGTTAAAACGTGCATGGAACAGCTGGGAGGTAAAAAACCGGTAGCTGAGGTTTTGACTTGAAGTTGTGAGTCTGTGATTCCAGCAAAGATGCCCCCAGGTTGCGTCAAACTAGTCAGAGCTAGTTGGAATTAAAAGGCAGTTTAGGTTTCATCTCAGCTCGAGACCACAGCTTATGACTTGTACTCCTGCTCATTCACAAAAACGGGTTCAGGAACGTGGCTCCCTGAGTTCTACCTACCTGCACCTTTGCACTGCAGATATGTGCGATATGTTGAGGCGTCTCAAGGTTCTGTTAGTAAGTCTAACCACAGCAACTCTTTTGAAAAAATGACGAAAGTCAGAAATCTGCCAGTTCTCGTGTCTTTAATATAACGTCTCATTAACCGGAAAAGTGGTTTACATCATCGAGACACCAATGCCAGGTATCAGAAGGCTGAGAAAAAAGGTATAATTTATTAGTTAGAGGGTACATGTTTCCTGTTAAGATGTTCATCATCCTCAAAGCAATTTATACCCCTTGAAATTTAGTAGCGTGTGATTCTGAACTTATACCATTTCTTTCGAAAAATGTTTACAAAGAAAAAAACAGCAGTAAGCCATACATGCATCTTAAGTACCCAGTTCAACAACATACATTACATGTAAAAATATAGCATTTCTTTTTTGGGTTGGTTTATACCACATTGGGGAATACATTGGGGAGCGTCTTCCAAAATAACTCAACTTTTGAATTATTGAGCACTAAGTATTAAAGTCTTGGCACAGATTCTCAGCCAGACTTACACATAAACTTTGAATGAGGTATTTGAACTTATGATTATGCTTTGAATTTAACCTTTATGTCATGTCTGGCTGTTTTTTAGGGGACATAGTGAGAGTAGTCACCAGTTCCAATGATCTTCCCTGTCACTGCATAAACACAGGATCTCTATAGTATGATGCTATTTCACAGGAGAGATGTAGAGGCTGGTGTGATTTTATAAGGAAGAATCTTATTTTAGAGATCAACAAATG